AGTATCTAGATTGTAAATTAAACTAATCTAAAAGTCAATAAATCTTTAACTTAGATGATTCTACTTTAAGAGATATTTTTCTCAGTGTATTTTATATATTTAAAAGTATATAGAGCCTCACCTCCGCCCCCGCTTCGCAAACACACACCCTACGGGGGGAGCACAAACAATTTGTAGGTGTGGCCGGAGTGATCCGAATCAAATGTGGCATCTACAGGGACGTGGTCATGGATGTGTGTGGTGCATTGTGGATCAAACTGCAAATGCTGTTGGTGCCAATGACGTTCCGTTGATGGCCATTCCGCGCCAGATCAAGCGGAAATGTGACGTTGACGGCAATAAATATATAAAGTGAATCGCTTTGTTAGTCCAAGAGTTCAAAGCTTGCGGAAAAATGGAAAAAAATTCAAAAAAGAAAAAACAAATTGTTAGTGGGAGTGCAAAATAACAGGCCTATTAATAGACAATCGAGAATATTCGGCAGGGTAATCGAAACTCAGGAAACATGTGGAGTCGGAAATCAATTGGGGCAGCCAGAATAGGAAGTGGAAAGCCAGACAGTTATTCTATGGGAAAAACGAGAAAATCAGCGCTTTTTATCTTGCCGTTTTTTGGAGCAGAAAAGCTATAAAATTTAACAGTAAACATTATAGTGTGGGAGATTATCCATGTAAGTTAGTATTTTGTATATTTAGTATTTAGTATATTCAGTATTCAGTATATTTATTTAATAATTATCTGTACTTCAAATATTAGTATATTTCAACGCAAACCATAACAAAATGTTATATTATATCCACAAAGTGTCAACTTTAAAGCTCAGATATATAGCTCTAGCCAAGTAACTTTATAACTTCCATAAAAATAACTCAAAAAACCAATTGCTAATAAGTACCACTTTAACTGCCTTTGTCAGGTGATTTATAGTTTATTTATTTGCTCGTTGAATGTTTATCTATTAACACGAATACCTGTAAAAGAAAGTTAACAACTTATCGTTATTAATATCTCAAATTTCTCACTGCGTTTACATCATCTTCCGCAATGTTCCTGCCAACAAAGAAGTTTGTTATTTAATTTCAAAGCCATTTTTCGTTCGCTAATGAAATTCCGCCTTTTCGATCAGGCCCAGCCCACAGCGGCAAATTAAAAATTAAATAACAAACAGCCAAATATCAATTGTTGGCCATCAAATACAATTTGGCCAAAAAAAAAGTAACGGAATCGCCAGAAAACAGTTAACAGAAAAAGGCCGAGGCCGCCGCTTACACATCATAATTATCCATCGCTGGCGGCGCTTTTGACCAGGTGTGGCCCTTTTTTCCCAACAAATTAATTATGGCTTGAGGTGAAAAATTTAGGAAAAATATGTTCAGCCAAAAAAAATTGGCAATAAACGAAATTTGAACCCCAATTTTTGGGTTGCCCACAATTTGTTAAGACAACAAGCCAAGTGCATGTGAATGTGTCGATGACTGTGTTTCTCGACTTCTTTTTTTATTTTTGTGCAACGCCCTGAATGCGTAATTTTAGTGGCACCGATGGTGGTCTCTTGGTTCTTCGGTTATCCAGAGATACAAACAAACCCCCGGCGGAGTCCAAAATCCAAATCCGTGTACGACTGCACCCGCATTGAATAATTGCCATAGGCTGGGCGCCACACGCCGGGACATGGCCATTTATACTTGGCCTCCCTGGCCACACACCAACCAAAAATATATATGTATATCGAGATATGTTTATATCTGCATATACTCGTATGCTAATGCCGGGCCATGTCGGCTTGATTACTCATATATTGCGGATCGTCGATTCGCTGTCTTGGCCGCCTGTTGATGGGTTTTTGTTTCGTTTCGTTTTGCGGCTGCCGGTCGGTAATTTAGTTTTCAACATCAAAGGCGTGGGAATGAGCAAAAAAGTACAAAAAACAAAAAACCAAAAAACAACAACAAACAATGATGAAATGATATATGCTCTGATCCAGGCCAGGATTCAGACAAATCCTCGACAAAATCTGCCCGCAGATTTATGGCCAGGCACTCGAAAGCCAAAAGCCGCCAATGGAACGGAAATTTGTCGCCCCGCAACAAATTGAAAGCAACCCAAGAGCCAGAACAAAAAAGATACTTTTGTATCTTTGTGGTGAAATACCCTTCGTTTTCCCTTTTTTTTTTTGTGTCTACAATTCTGGGAAGAATCAAAATGGTATTTGGAAGCCGTTTTCTGGAATGTTTTTTAGGGGAAATATGTTTGGTTCTAGGAGGGTTAGTTTTATACCCAAAAGTATTAATAATCAGGAATTCCTAACTCTTCACAATTTGAGAAGCTAAGTAGATATAGAATATAAAAGAGTGTGAAGGTTTAAATAAGTAAAGTTCAGTTCTGTAAGCTTTAAGAATATAAAACTGTGACAAGCTTACTTGATTCTAATCCCAACTGTCCTTCAAAGTTTATTCTTTCCATAACAAGACTTGAATAGTTTGACTTGTCGTTGGACATAAAATCGAACATTATATGACAGTACCGCTGCTAGGAGAGGGTTTGTGCAATGTTCAGTGTTCCAGTGTAGGCGACACCATCAAAAACAAATAACAACAACAAGCAACAATATAACAACATCGATGACAATGACAAGCGGCGTCCGAGCGACGCGCGCATTTGGGTCAATGACGACGAAACTGAAACGCTTCCAATGATTTAGAACCCCCCTTTGGTTTTGGATTGGCTTTGGATTGGATCCGATCGGAACAGATCGTATCAGTGATGGAGATGGTGAACGAGAAGGAGTAGGAGAAGGCACCGGCACCGCCAGTATGGAACATGGAACTTGGCATCGAGCTGGGTCTGGGAGCAATCATGCAGAAAATGTTACGAAAATCATTATTTTAGCATGTGGCGACAGGGGCTTATACAACGATACCTCCCTGAAATACACTGGAATGAATAAAGAAAATATTTATAAAGACAAATAAATAAACTTGAAGTATTCAAATATTTAAGTATTTAAATATAATTTTTCTTTTAGTTTTTTAGTTTTTTTTAGCGATTCTAGCAAGCGGTCACACTAACTCATCTAAACACAGTTAGTTGTAAGCACGGAATGTTTTCTCTCCCCCTCTTACATAAAGATCCTGCCAACGAACACTATGTGTATCCCGTTCGCACGATCAACAAATGTCACCAATACAAGTTCAAATTAGGCTAGGATTGAATAAGATAAAGGAATAAAGAACAGTTCGATTTTGAGCACAGAAGAGGTCGGCACGTGTTTAAATCAAAGTTTAAAGTACTTAAGATGTTTGTTTAACCTTCAAGTAAAGTAAATAAATAAAGTGGTTAAACATTTGACTGAAACCTCTAACTTTGAGCTTTAAATCACATTTGAAGTTTACATATTTTTACAAAGATTTGTTTACCTTAACTAGAAATCTTAATGGTAAAACATTAAAATGTTTGAAGGACTTAAAATATGTTAATTTTTTTTAGTGCATCTCCAAAACAACAGACAGAAAGAGAAGGCAGAAGGGGCAGAGAGAGATGGCCTTTAGAGCGGAGGAAGTGGTTGCGTTGCTGTCGTTGTGTGGTTCGGTTGATCGGCGATGATCATTTTGTTCAATCGATTGTAAACGATGCGTTGCGATCGTTGCTGCGGCTTTGATCAAATGACAAAATTGATCATTTTCTGTTTGAATGGATTTCGATCGGGGTACCCTCTTCAAGCTCCGTCACCCCCTTCATACCCCTTGAAAATACCCCACCAAAAAAATAAAAACTCCGTAACCCCCCATTGAATGCCTCCTCTAGAGCGACAACAATTGATTTATGTTCGCGTCTCTCTCTTTTTCCCCTCTACATCTAGCTCTCTCTCTCTCTCTCTTTCCCTCCTGGCTGGGTGGCATGTGCAATAAAAACAACAACAACAACATCAACAACAATCGCTTTGTTACCAATAAAATATCCAAGTTTTTGTGTTGAGTCAAAAGGCGCTATAAATCAAGCCAGTGCGCACCTTTTTTCCCCCTGTCCGATTTTCCGAAAAAGCGAAACGAAAACAAAGCCAAAATCAAATGTCCAACAAAAAATCTGAGCAACTGGCAAATTAGCAACAATGTGAAGAAACATTTTCGCATTGCAACAATTAATAGCTGACCAAAGGATCGGGCTTAAACTCGAGTCTCTAGGAGCTCTCTCTTTGCGCTTTTTTTTGTTTTTGCTGGTTTTTTCTTGATTTTTTGAAGTCGCGGGACTCAAATTCGATTTCACATTCCCGTAGGGGTGAAATCTGCGTTGGGCTTTCTGCTTTTCAGCCTTTTCAGTTTGGCACAAACGCTGAGGGTAATAACCAAAAATTAGCAAAAATTGCCAAAAAGTTTGACTTGCATGATTTATCTATAATTTTCCATCGCCATCGCCAGGCGGTGCCTGTTTTCCGTTAAGTTTTTTTTCTGTCTGTTTTAGGCTTTTTGGGCTTACACAGAGAGAAATTTATGTTATTTTAAGGAGTAGCTACATTTTAAAGAATATTTTTCATATTTCCATTTAAGAGATTAGAATTTAATGATATTTATTGCCACTTTCTTACATTTACCACTACACCCATTTTAGATAACCAACCATTATTTTTCCTGTGCACTTTTCGTACTGGGGCGGCCAAAAAGTTGCCACATTCGCCATCTCCGATATGGCCAACTTGCGGACAAACATGGGGGAGACCTCGAACATTCAGGCCTCCAAATATCCAAATATCCCAAGCTCTGATGTCTGACGTCGGACAGTCTGGGCCATTTTTAATGCACTTTCCAGGCATATAGCCTCGGTTTTAGTTTTAGTTTGACTTTAGTTTTGGTTTTCGGTTTCCTTTCCGCAGCTTAACACTTGCGGGTGTTGTGGCCTGCACAATTTTGCTGGCCGAACATGTAATCGCAGTAATAATAAAAATTTGCAAATGATTTCGTTACTCAATCTGCAATCAGGCACTTATACCGCTTATCGTCTTACAGTCCTGGTTATGGCATCCCGGCTGGCCTTTGGCAACATCCAATGGAGCGCTGGTCTTGCAGCTGAGCGACGCTGAGATCGCGCACGCACTTCGCCCGGCGGAGCTGTATCTCTGCATCAAATTGGGTAAGTGGGTCGACCGGGATCGGAGGCGGAGGGGCATGGCCCTTCTCATGGCTATATGATTATAGGTGCTGGTGCACATGGTTGGCATACAACCCTCTAATCATAATAATCGATCACTTACTAGGCCCGTCTAGGGCTAGCTTGATCAATTTAAATGGGACTAGAATGGGGAGTATGTCTAAGAGTTGGAGTTGGGATACAGGATTTTCTAGGTGCTTATCTTTAAGCAAATTATCAAGACTTGCAACACTTATTTAGCCTTTCTTGACTTCTATTTTTTGAGAATTTTGTAATGTATTCATTAATTAAGGTGACTCTAACGAAGCTACATTGATAGGTCAGTAACTTACCATTTAAGCCAAGAAGAGTTACAACTTTTTCATTGAAGATTTTTATGATTTTACTATTTCTTATAGCTTGTATTTTATAGTTTCCAGTCTTAACCTGATCCTCAATAAACTGGTTAAAATCGCATCATTTTTTAAGATAACTTTTTTATTAGGCGAGCTATGGCAGCTGTAGGAAATTTATGACTAATAACTTTTTTATGGGTTGACCTCCAAAGTTAGCTTAAAATGTTAATAAATCTGTATTGAAATTTTATCAAATATATTAAATCATTAGATTTGTAAGTGGATTTCTGGAGTAACAATCCTGTTTTCCCATCCTAACTTATCTTTCCGTTTCCCTGTTATTTCCAGAATCTTCAACCGAAACCGACGCGGATTGCATACCGCGGCTCTATGCTGTTTGGCGTTCGTCCCGCAAGGAGGAGAGCGTCCAGAGCCATTGCATCGACCACGAGAATCCCGGCCAATTGCCCCTGAGCGTGCTCCAACTGGAAATGTCCACGGCAGCGGCGGCACTAATGGCTTCGGATTGCGGTGAACTGCCGCAATTGCTGCAGAATCTTCTCGTAAGCGTGGAGCGGAGTATCGAGCGAGTTTCCCTCAACGAGCTGCAGATGCCGTTGCATCATGACCTCGGGGAGGATTCCCTCGATGAGGCCAACAATAATGGCTGCAACAATAACCTGATGGGATCACCCAAGTGCGCGTTGCGACGCAGCGATTTGATAACCAAAAACAAGCTGTTCAACAGCCGTTACATGCTGAGGCGCTTGACCAATCGGCAGGACAGCATGAACTCCACCTCGTCGGGAAATAGTAATGTTAGTGACAGGAGCAGCAGCTCCAGTTCCAGTTCGAGTGCTGGCGAGGAGCTCTTGTCTAACAATTCGGAGGCCAAAAAGAGGAGTAACAGTGGTGGTAATGAGGCAAGTGGAGCATCTACCTCGCCGGCATTACCGCTCTTTTGTCTGGGCAACTCATTTCCGCACATTGACAGCGATGAGGAGGCCAGCGATAGCATCGGACCGGGGAAACTCCACAGTCTGGGTAAGCCACGCAGCGTATACGTAATATCGTATTACGCATGCGCACCGATAGCCGCAGGATACAGAAATTACTCCGATATCGGTATCGGTATTTCGTTTCGCTATTAATACACAGAAAATATTAGTTTTGAAAGTAGTTTATAGACCAGTGAAGGATTTTTATAGTTTTAAGAAAAACTCTTTCTCAGTGTACCTGCAACAGTTGCAACAGAGCGACCAGTTCGTGGCTTGCTTATCGCAATTTCTGGGCGTGATTTGTCTTATTTGTTTTAGCTCCGTGGCCTGCATCGTATGCAAATCTGTGAGCCCGAACTATTCAATTAAACGCCCCGCAGCCAAAAGTCGGTTAAACCCAAAACTGGAGTCAAATTTGCGTTCATTTCGAACGGCGCTTTGAAGTCGATAGCTTTTCCAGGGGGTGGGGTCTAATGGATAGCGCTTTGATAGCGTTCAGTTTTGGCGCTAATTTGATATATTTGCTGTAACACAAAATGCTGGCCAACGTTTTTAAATCAATTAATGGTCTTAGATTGGCGAGAGATAAAAGCAGTTTTGGTTTTGCCCTGAATTCTAGCGAAAGTATGAGAGAGTGAAATTTGTGACATATTTTCCTATCTGGTTGATATTTGGTTTTGATCTCCATCCGGTTTTTGATTTGTTTAGGATGTCATTTGACTTACGTTTATGCCATTTGATTAATTAACAGTTTACCGACATCTTAAAGCCATGACATCACAATCCATTAAATGCCAAAATTCATTCTCAATTAAGTTGGCAATGCTTGGGAATTGCCACTTCTATCTGTGCCCATTTATTTTGGAAAATATCTGAAAAGCCGTTCTTTATTGCCGGCTAAAAATGCCCCTTCAAAATGCTCCATTGAGAAGAAGAAGGAGGAGGAGGAAGAGGAGGAGGTCCGCCGGCAGCCGTGGCTTTAGCCATTAGCCATTAACATCGACAACCCACGGCATCCGGCGAGACGCGGTTAGCCGCAAAATATCGTTGTCTCTGTGGCAGCCACAACGGTGCAAATGCCTTTTAATTTGTCAAAGCCTAAAATATGAAAATTAAATGAGAAACCAAAGCAATGCCAGTGTAGAGGCACAGTGGTACGAAAGTAGCCAATAAAGACAAAAATGATTCAAGTTTTCGTAGTTAGAATGGACATTAGAAGAGGTTCCCCACACATATTCATCTCATTTGAATGAAAAGTGTAACTCCCAGTATCTCTCCACTCTAGTTTAAGATCACTTTTCCCATCACTTCTTACCACTGTTCCCTGGAATGCGTTCAACTGCGATCTGGGCTGGGTGTGGGTGCAATTTGCAAGCGGACATAAATCAGTTGGCAAGTGCGGGGGCTATTGTGGTTTTGGCTATTGAATTACAATCCACCGGGTCGCATTCGCTTTTGGCTCTCTGCCATTGGAAAAGCAACGGCAACAGGTGGCCAACACCGGAGTTCACTTCGACGAGTGCAGAATTTTCCCGAGACGCTGAAATGTGTCGCATTTATCATTGGGGGAAGCGAAATATTTGTCGCATGCGAAAGTCCCCGGGGGCAGGCTGAACAATTTATGATGAACTAGTTTTTCGGTGGGCAAGCGAAGCCAAGACGGCGGCCTGCCACGCCCCCTAGAGAGCTGGTGTGGGCCTGGTAGCTGGCAGCTTGAAATTAATCAAATGACATTATTATGCAAACGGCGCAGATCCTGGACCAGTTTTCAAGGTTCCGTCGAGCGTTTAAAATACAATTAACCCATATTTCTAGGCCCCCCGCCTGCGTCTTTATTTTCGTTTGAGTTTTCGCAAGTCTTAGGAAAGAAAATTTGTTTTTTTTTAAATATTATTTTTCTAACCATAAACATTTTTCTCTCTGCAGAGACCTGCGAGACCGAGCTACTGCCGCCCAGCTCGATTGGCGAGCTGCCTGAGAAACTGCTGACCAGCGGCGTCTATCTACCAGGTGAGCATCCATCCATCCGCATGTGTGGTGGACCTAGGTGACAAACTTTCCATTTTCGCCGCGCCCCAGTCCCAATCTCATCTAATTCTAGACTTTCACTGAACCGAAATCTCAAAATTTGCTTATAAATTGGAATCGCTTTTGTAACGCCCCGCCGGGCAATTTGCCGCTGGCCATTTTCCTGGCATGTTTGGCGAAAAGCGATTAGATTGGAATTGTGGTGGGAGAGGGGGAGGTGGAAAATGCATAAAGTTGGCGCTTTTCAATTAATGTGCACACGCTTTTTCGCACATTATCGAATAGGCGAAGTGGCCACCCAGGGTGCACCAATTGAGACCGTGGCGTAGTGCGATTTCCCACATCTCGAGATCTTTTATGGCCCATCTCTTAACTATTTTTTGTAACTTCTTTTCCTTCCAGGCACACGCACCCTCCAAGGCGACCCACTTGTGACTGTGGACGCTGCCTGTGTGGCGTCCGCCGGCCTCAATTGCTACGAGCTGGCCACGCTGCTCCTCTACTACAGTACGATTCCAGAGCGCAGGTGAGTGGGGGATCTATAGAGCTACACTTGGAAGAAATATCAAAGAAATCGGTCAAGATAAAGGCTTTCTTCTTGGGTAAATGGGTCATATTGGTGGGTTATTAAAGAATATGTCTCATCATAAAAAAATACTTTACTTAATGTTAGAAGATTTTCCATAGCCTATAGCTTACATAATTACATATCTTACAGAACTTTTTCCCCGTGTGCATATCTCAATTTCCATATCTGAATCAGAATTAGAATCAGCCTCATCGGTTTAGTGTCAAAGTAACGCATGGGAATGGGCTCAACGAGCAGCTGTAGGCAATCGCGAGATTTCAGAGCTAGAACCAGTATGAGTACGAGTTCGAGTACTAGTACTCCCCCCTAGCATCCCAGAATCAGCATCTGCATCCGAATCAGGCATTTCAATTTGTCTGGCAATAAGTTCATAGACTCGCAGACCCAGGAGACCCGTCGGCCCATCCATATTTACGAGCCGATATGCAAATGCGCCAGCCAGCCAGTCAGCCAGTCAGCTAGTCAGCCAAATGGCGCTGGGAACGATGTGGAGCTGCATTTAAGCCTTTAAGTCGGCATTCCCACCTTCCACTCCTCAGAATTCACTCCCCCAAAGAGTTTCGTTTCGTTTCGGCCCGAATGCATGTCAGTCAATTTGCCACTTTGGCTAAAAGGAAACATGCAGCAGCAGCAGCAGAGGCAGCCGCAGCAGAGGAAAAACAACGGCAACATCGAACAGCACTTGCATTGTAAGCCAAGAACTTTGCCTTAGAAAATAGAACAAAAGTCTAAGCTAAAAGTCGATAAACACTGTCCAGCAGGGTTGGCTATCTGTCCCAGATCTTTGAGTGAATGGGGGGAGGGCTTCATGAAGTGGGGAAAACTCTGGTACTCTCAATTAGTGCTCACATGCAAGAGGGTCAAGTGCGAATGGGTTTTTGAGAGAATGATAGATAAGATTTAGAGATCAAATGAAGATAAAGTAAAGATGAAATTCTAATGGTTAAAATCAGATTAAAAGCTTTTTTGTTTAATGGAAAACTGGTAATGACGAAAGTTCTTATTAGGATTTTCAAATTGTAATATTAAAATTTTAAGATGAGAACTTCCAACTCTTTCAGGGAAATACCTTTTACAAAAACTTCTAAAATAAATTCTACTCACACTGCCCCTTAAAAGTGTATTAACGAGCTGCCCGTTTACGGGTCCATCCCAAAAGGTCATGGGAAAAGGTCTTGAAAAATCCCAATAAACTTCAACTGAAAAGTTGAGTTTTTCCCCTGCTGTTTAGTGTAAATTAGAATTCCACTCAGGCTGGCTGGCAATGTTTGTGGGGCTGGTTGTTGCGGGCACGTCTTTCGAGGGACGACTGTGTGCGGCTTCCCTTTGAGGAGAGAGTGAGAGGCAGTGTGATTGGGGGAGGTTGGAAAGAGAGCGAACGATAACTGCAGGCATATGAATGATTTTTTTTTTTTTATTTTTTTTATTTTCTACCTTCAGACAGATTCGTGACACTTTAAAATTTATGATGTGAACTTTTATTTTTCCGCAAATGGTTGTTGCTGTTTCTTCTATTCTGGGCAAAAGGTTCCAACTGCCACACGATTCCTGGAAATATCAGAAGATCTGTGAAATCTAAATCGACAGAGGAGAGCACTCTGGTATCTGGCGGCCACTAGGCAGCGGAGATGGCAGTGCGATTCCCGTTCCAGTTTTTAAGCCAAAGAGATTCAGCTTGAAATCCAGCTGCATGCTGCTGATGTTAATTGCTTCAATGCCAATTGGTAAAAACGCGGCCAAATCGTGTAGAAAAGTCTTTGACAAACATTGGCAGTGGCAGCAACAGCAACAGCAACAGCAGCAGCAGCAGCTGAAAAGTGGCACATCTGCTGTAGACGCCTCATCATCATCAGCATCTCAACTCATCCCATTCCATCCAGTCCAGTCTTCGCTTTTTTTTTTTTCTATTTTGACCTGACTCATGACGAGTTGGATCTGCCAGACCATTGACATTATTTGCGTTTTGTTTGCCGACATGTGTAAGGTATTCATTAGCTGGCTGTCCAATTCGGAATGTCAGCCAGATGGACGGCAAATATTAGATGTTGGCTCTTTGGTCTGCGTTTAGTTTTCACCACTGCGTCAGTGTCAACATGGCCACTTGGCTTATCCATAGCTTACATCATTTGTCTGGGCCAGAGGTCTGACCTCGACTCCAACTCCCTAACTATCTGACTCCAAAAAGACCAACTCAAACTTCCATCTGCGATGCCAATCCACAACTCCCTCCATCGTGTGTGTGTGACAGCTTGCAATTAAATTTGTTTTTATGGACACAGTTTGGCGGGCTCTGCACTTCTCGGAATCTTCGGCTGCGAAAGGTACCCAGAGTACCCGGGCATAAGTATAAATATGCATGCCCGCGCATAATACGGATATAAAAGAAAAGCTCGGGTTACACACGCTCGACCTAGGATTGTGCTCATATTTTAATGCGTCTTGCCCTACAAAATCAATGGAGAGAGCATAAGCGGCTGTTCCCAAAACCGAAATGCATTCGGAATCATTTTAAGGTTTTGAATTATAACAGGTTGAAAGGGGTTAAAGGCTGTTTCGCAAAATGGTTTCGCAGAAGATGTGATTTTTCTACTAAACAAGTCAGGGAAAAGGCTAATAGATACCCTATTAGTTCTTCTCTTAGTATTAGAGTATTTCCCACCTCGACGTGGCCAAATTACTAAGATAACCGCTGTCGGCTGGCTCATTTGAGCGTGTATATAGGCTGCCACGGAATTGAAATGCCAGGCGCTCTTTATAGCCTGTTCGCACTGTGCGGCATCATTAGGCCGCGGTCTTGGCCGCCAAGATACCGCAGAAACACGCCACATCGGCTTAGATCTTGGACCCGTGAGCATTGCGTGCAATTTGCAACTGAAACTGCATCTGGAAAGCTAACCTCGGGGGTGGACTTATAGCTAAGACTGGCAATTGAGAACTACATGTGAGAACTGAGAACTGAGAACTACTTAAGAACCTGGCCTGGCCTGGCCTGGCATGGCATGCGTTTACAGTTAACTTAACTTAACTTGGCCGCTTAAGAATTTCCAAGAGAGACTGTGCAAACTTTGGCTAAAGTGTTAGGACACGGCTCTTGGCTTCTGTTAATGCCCACTGGCACTGGCCAGAGCTGCCATTAGCAGCAATTTTCAATTTTTATTTACGCTGATTAAAAGTGGCTACCAACTTGTCATAGTTACGTGATTCCACCCCGCTGAGTTACTGAAAGGTAAAGTGCTTCATCTAGTTGAGAGCCGTAAAGTCCAAGTGCAGAGGCCGCTTATTGCCAATTAAAGTGAACTTGTTTTGGGCGTAGCCAAGACGGTGTGTTCTGCTACCCAAACGGACACCAGCAGCCACCCAATCCGCCCAAGCATTATGTGATCTTGGATCTGAGCGGCCCACATGGGAACCAGTTCACATGGCAGTTCAGTGGAAGAAAGAAGCAGAAGCCTGGGAGTTAGCGGGAAAGAGAACGATTAAGTCTTAGGCGGGAAATGCTCTACAAGATTATAATGATTTATTGAAAAATTATAGCCTGAAAGCAAATTAAATTTAACAATTCTAATAAGGTGCTCTCAAGCGGTAAGTTTCATTTTGTTTTTACTGTTTTTGTAGCGGAGGAATAATTTATGAAGACTAGGTCTAGCAGAAAATTACTTTATTAGATGCTGAATTCTAGATTCTAGAGAATTCTAGAGAAATTTACAAAATTTATTAAGCTTGGCACTACTTACTACTTTTCTACTACTAATAATACTACTTATTCTGCTACTACTACTACTAATTCTACTACTACTACTACTATTATTACTACTAATTCTACTACGAGTACTACTACAATTTCTACTACTACTACTACAATTACCACTACTAATTCTACTTCTACTACTAATATTTCTACTACTACTAATTCTACTACTATTAGTACTTCTACTACTACTACTACTTCCTACTTTTAGCTTTTTAATAAAATATTTATGAACTAGTTCCGCAAACGCTAGTTCCTTGCTCACCTCTGATCGACAGCAGGCAAACACTTTTGATGTTATTTATGCGACTTGACCGTGCACCTTCTCGGCCAGCTTTGGACCACAACTCATGGCTCGTTTTCCATTGCTATTTGCAGCACCTGCCCCTTTGCCACCCCGACAACACCCGGAACGACAGCAACAATCAATGGCCATAAAAGCAGCGAACAGCAGCAGCAGCAGCAGCAACAGAAACAGAAACAACAACCCGCCCAACAGACATTTACCATTTTAATTGCCATCGAGAAGTCTCAACATTTATGCGTAATCGACTTAATTTGCCAAAGTCTCAGACTCTTAGCCAAGCAAATTGGCAATTGTGAAATTTTGGCCATTTGTCCCGATTCAAGTCTGCTGCAATTGTGCAACGAGCAGCAGCAACAGAAGCAGCAGCAGCAGCAGCAGCAACAACAGCAGCAGAACAATAACAGTGATCACCCGGTGAGTTTAAGGTTTATCCAGCCTGACCTTTCAGATTGCAACAAAGAAGCACAGAGAAAAAATCATAAAAAAAAAGTAGCTAAAACTATAAGAAATTCAAAAAACAAGGAATCATTTATTAGACCCTTAAAAATATTCAAAACAATAACATTTACAATCTTGAAATCAAAGTTAAGTCATTTTTTCTCTGTGCCGCCTGTCAGAGGGTGGGATCGAAAGGCCAGGCAACGGGCTAACGCCCCAGCCTGATCTCTCTCTAGAGTCTGATCCCCAGCCAATTAACCCGCCCCGACATGACCGGCTGAGTACCAAACAAAAACAAAAAACAGAACTTGTCCACTAATGACAACGAATCCGATGTTTTTCTCTGCTCTGACTCTGACCCCAAAAAAAAACAACAAAAAACAAACAGGAGCCGACGTCGCCATCGTCAGTGGATTTGGTTAAATTCATTAGCGTGGACCAAGTCACGACAAGTGTTGCGCCATCACAGCTGCCCGCTGGATTGCTGCCCTCCGTGCCCGCCTTATCCACGCTGGCCGGGATTAACCAGCGTCATCACGATGCCACCAAGTGGCGGGAGTTTTTCGCCCAACTTGAGGCCTTCCAGCGTCAATGCTCAACGGCCGGCGGTCGTTTGGTAAGTGCCCTCAGCGAAATACGCGCCGCCGATCTTCAGGGATTGCCCACGCGCCGCCAACTTTATGGTCAACATCGCGCTCTCAGTCGTGCGCTGATGGATTCACAGCTTCACAGTCTTCGTAAGATGGGTGCTGGCCAATTGGCCAGGCTTCAGGATTTGGCCAGGGGCATAACCTCTGCTCCTGGCTCTATGCCACGCATGACGTCACAGCCCCAATCACCATCTTCAGGGGCATTCCTTAACGTGGATGCCGCCTGTAAGCTGCGCAAGGTGACGCTCCTCTTCAACGAAGTCGATCGAGCGGCCCAGCGATTGGAACAGCTGACGGAGCAGCGCCGGGAGAAGCTCAGGCAGTTGACCAGGCAACGGGCTCTCGAGGATGAGATCAGGGAGGTAAGTCTTTTGATAAATTCAAATATAATTGGGTGGGAAAAGGGCAACCTTAATGTTTTTATCATTTTATAGCTTAAAAACCGAATATATATGTATATGGATCTTCCATTGGTCAAAAAACTTAAAATTTGTCTGCCAAAACTGTCCTTACTTTGTCGAGAGCATTGACAAAATTGGTCGTTATAAGGAGTGCAATACCCCGATGAGCTTAATTCTTAAATAGGGATCCTTAGCGATGGTCCTTAGCTGCTCAAAGCAGACTCAGCATCTTCTGATAGATATTGTTTCACACTTTCTAGCCCAGTAAAAGCGTCTTTCGAAGGCAATATTACTAAGGTTCGCCGAACGATTTAGACTATTCATAAAAATTGGTTTCTCCCGGTAAGTTTGTAGCCTCGAAAATTTAATGAGCTGTGGCCTCGGATTTGGTATTTGCTGACAGGAAATGCGGCAGGCGCAACGAAATGCAGCGAATGTGACTGCAAATGGCAAATGCCGAATGTATCTGCAAGATACGCGATGCACTGACCTTGTTAATTGAATATGCATTGCGTATAATGCGGGCTTTATTAATTTATTACGCACATCCGCTTAGTGTCCACTCCTCGGGCTGCTTTCGCATTAGTTTCAGGATCGGTCGGCAGAGATTGGAATTGAGAGATGATGCTGCCAGTCAGCGGCCAAATGGAGTCGTTAGATAAGCGGAGGTAGATCCAGGTGGATGGCACTCAAGAGATGTAGTCACATGGACCATCTGTGCACTTCCTGGCCTTTTAATTGACTTGTTAATGAGTTTTTGGCCCATCGTGGAAAGGGATCCCATTCACATTGCATGCTCTGAGCTACCGTGCGCGCCATTCGCATAATTGCAGACGCACGCACCCACAACTCCATGTCTTTGGTATCTTCCATTGGGAATCTCACTTAATCAGCGGCTGTGACAGTTGGAGTTACGCCCATGGGCGGCTACTCCTTTACGGAGTCTTGGGGCTAATGCAATTCCCCCCGCTGATTAATCGCATTCATTTGTTGCGGGATTAGCTGCAGTTTACATATTCGTCATACTTTCGCGCCACTATTAAGTTTTGCCATTATTATTATGATTGTTGATGCTGCCGCAAGATGCTGCTTTAGCTTTAGCTACTGCTGCAGTTGCAGTTGCAGTTGCTGGTTAACAAAAGTATGTCAAATTGAAAATACACGACACGCAGCAAGTGTACTGAGAGAAATATTGGACTGGTAACTAGAAAACCATCAAAAAAGAAGAATTTCTTCGAAGAAAAATACGATTTTGAGTAGAATTTCTTATATAGAAATCATTTAATAAGATACACAAATAGTACCAAATAAAATCAGTATTTTCTCTCACTGTACGACACACCATATATGGCCCCCACAGCCGATTGAATTCCCCATAACCAAAGATGTATAGATAGCCGTGCGGAATCCTCAATTTCATTTAATAATTTGCGGAAATTGGCATTTAAAAATTTGCCGAGCCTTGTTAACGTTTTCGTATGTGGCCCGTACCCGTCTTGGCCTTTTTCACACGCTCCCGCGCACTCCCCTTCTCCATTCCATTTGATCCATGAGAAATGTGCGGCCATTTATCTGACTTGATTTTTGAGCAAAAATTGAATTTTAATTGCCAACGAAAAGTTAATGAGAAAAGTGAAAGCAAGGTTAAAGAAATTAAATGCAATCTTTATTTTTCTCTCTCTTAGTCTCTTGGTTAGTCGTTTGTTTTTGAGTTAGTATGTGTTTGTGTTTGATTTTTCAATCGATTTGTCGACTTAGTTTGGGGCGCCCATTGATTCGCAACTTGCATTCGATTCGATTCGTTGACTCTGGTCATTTCATTTCATTTTTCATTCGCTTTGATTTGATTTCATTCATTTCCATTCCGAAAAGTAGTTCACCGATAAGCCACAGCCGTCCATTCATCTGTCTTTATGTCCGCTCAAGAGTCCGTCCGTCTGACTGTCCGCTTGTCATATCGCGATCGGCGCAAAAATCATACTAAGAGATACTTACGAGTATTTAACACCAACACGCTTTCAATTAAAAAGGCGTTGACAGCTACCAATTTTGTGCAGATCGTTGTTTGCGTTTGTCTTGCCAATGATTGTAGTTTTTCAGATACTCTAACAGAAAAGTGTTTATTAGATTATTTATGATCAATATTTAAGCTTTAAAGAGGCATGAAGTTAGAAAAAGTAAAGTTAAGTTCAAATTTTGAGAAGGTTTTAAAGGGAGTTAGAAACTTGTAAGGCATAGGGTGTGAGTATCTTCTTTAAGCTAATAAAAATCAATGGAATTTACGGGCTTTTTTATACAAAGTTTGATTTTAAAAATAACTTTTATTCGTGAGAAAGTTGAGGCATCTGCACTCCCAGCCCTTTTAGCATACTTCTTCTTAGTTTCTTCTCTATCAGCTAAAAATATCTCCCAGCTCTATAGACAGCGTATCCACCACTAGCCATGCCAATTGATCTCGCATTCATCTTGTTTCTTTTTAATTAAATATATTTAATCTGCGATGCCAAAACAAGCCAAACACACGAAACTGGACCACAAAAAGCGTCTCCAGCCGGCCGGCAAACTAATGTTGCTGTCGTCCATTAGGCGCGAGCATTCAAACAAGGTGCGAAAAAAGATGCCGCCGTGGTTGATGTTGCTGCTGCTGAAGTTGCAACAGTTGCGACTGCTGTAGTGTCGCCATTTTGCTGACCAAGAGGAGGATGACGACGACGACGACGACATTATGATGCGATATGCGATACTGTATCTAAATTGTTGATCGGCTGCATTAGCTAGGAGCTGGAAGCTGGGAGCTGTGAGCTGGTAGCTTGGAACTCGGGTGTCCCGGTGATGAAGGTGGATTGCTCCACAAATATGGCCATGATGGGTGTTTGCTGTGCCGGCCGGAGAAAGGGGTAAATGCAGCTGCGGCGACAGATAAATAAACATTGCTGACGGTGAAATTGGATTTGCTTAGCGCGCTTTCTTTGAGACGATTGCTCTTTTTTTTGTTTCTTCTCCTACTTTTTTCTGCACAAATTAATTTGCGCAATGTCGGCTTCTTTGTGCAATGAAAACTATGTTTAATTGTTTCGCGCCTTGAATTGCAATTGCCATAAGGAGTGCTTTTTGGACTTGGACTTGGATTTGGATTTGGCTACTGCGGAGGCACCTCACCGTCTAGGCATCTGTGTCGCGGAAGCCAGCTTATTTATGGCCCCTGACATTTGACCGGCTGTCTTATGGGCCAGGAATGCGGTGGCAATACTACCTCCAGCTCCTTTCTCTGTTAACAATTTTTTGTTTTTTTGGTTTTTTAGCTTGCATAACCGCACTGCTGCCAGCTGCTTTTGGCCAAGAACTGGCTGCATAGAATTCGGTCAGGCGAGAGCCATGAAAAATGAAGGCTTATTTACTGTCGACATGCCGAGGCTTACCCCCTTGAAAGCGGCAACCTCGAACCGCGGGACCCCATCCACACACGGGGCATTAATAATAACCGCATGTATTAGCCCTCGCGGGCATAATGAGAATTTTTCCATCCAATAGAGATGGACAAAAGTTTATTTGGTAATTAACATGGGCTATCCAGAATTTCTCCACTTTTCCACCTGCGTGGCTTTTAAGACCTCATTACATAAAACTCTCATTAATTTTTTCCCCCCCCCCAACGGTTAACGATGAGGAAAACTCGTTGCAATATACAGGAAAATAAGATTACCCTTAATTGCAATTAGTTGGCGGAAAATGAGTTTTTGATTTCGGGTTTTATTCATTTGCCAGACGACGCGTTTATCTGTCTTTCGTCTTTCAACTGCTTAGCCAACTGTCGATTAGCCGTTGACATTTGGATAAATGCTAACCAGAAACCGAGAATTGAAAAATAAGCTCATAGGCACTTTGCCAGATTGACAAATCTTAAGTGGACCAAAGCCAAAAAACTTGACTAACAAGAAGCTCAGTAGGCTTAAAAGGATTTGAAGTTAAGAGCAAATTGGCATTCAAGCCAACTTTATGCATTAAATCTAATGAAAAAGATATTCTAATTTGAAGAAAAGTCAAAGCCAAACTACTTCTGTTCTACCTCTGACTATCTTTAATCCCAAAAACCTCCTCGTGCGTGACGATGTATAGCACCCGTGTCCGCTGTCATCTCTACCCAAAAAGCTACCAAGATACGAGTGCTCGTACGAAATGAACACATGCTTGCCGCAAGTGCCGCCAATCCCAACCGGTTGAGATTGTTGCATGCAAATGTTCCACGCAAACAAACAATGCAGATGTAGCTGGTGTTCCTCCAGCTCCAGCTCAAGCTCCTGCTCCTGCTTCAGCACACATGTATATGGTCGTACCTCCTCCATGGCTCCTTGATGCCATGTTGGCTGTGTCATCAAAACGGACGTTAATCATACGCTTAGCAAGCCAGCCATCGCCGATGGCCATCGCCGCTTTGGCCAGAATGTCCAGGTTATTGAATTAACACGGGTCCCGGGGTCCTGGCTCTTAGACTCTTTGCCTCTCGAAACGTGCAACATATATGTAGCAGATGTATGCATGGCTCTTGGCGGGGCAGACAAAGTGTAATTGTTGTCATGTCAAAACGTAACTGTCACATTGGGTTTGACATGTTTTTTAACACTAATTTTACACGCATTTTTAGAAATCGTCAACTTCATCAACAGCTGTCATCATTTTTTGAGCGTCGTCACGTCCGCTCCCCAATGCAATTGAAATGGAGTTGGAGTTGGAGTTGGAGCTGAAGTTGGACAGTGTCGCCGTCGCCTGATCGGCGATAAGCTGCCACGCCCCAAGTCCCGCCAAGCTATGTGTTTTGGATGCACTTGCTGTGCCAAAGCAGGCAGGCGGCGGTAAAGCTGCTTTTCCACAACAGCAGCAGCAGCAGCAGCAACACCAAGGTGCACCAGCAAGTCGGTTGCATGCAATATTGTCACCACATTAACGTCTTGGCCTTTTGTGGCCACTATTTATGACTTTGTGCGTGTCGCACAATCTGGAGACCTGGTCAATGGGATTTCGACGGGAGATTGCCGCTGGGTTGGCTCCGGCATTGGCTTTGGCTGGTTTGGAAAGTGAAAAATAAGTAAAATTGTAATCGCCTTTTGCCGTAAAAATAGTCAAACGAAATTGCTTTATTACTTTCGGGAATGAAGGCAGCCAGCCATGCGTGCCAAGCGGTTTTCCATATTCCATATGCCAGACATATAAACCCCTTACTTGGCCCAGTGGGGTGTATCGAATGTGGGTATGTGGGCCCAGTAAAGGGATTACAGACCCGGTTAGCAGGGCAATAAAATTCCAAATAAATCATATTGGCCTGTTGGTAAATGTTAAACAGAAAGAAGTTTGGTTTCTTACCAAGAACATTGGTTAACCCCTTAATATGGCAGTCATTTGTATAAGTTTACTTTACTTAAAGAATGCTATCTTGTATTTTGCTCAGTGTATAGCTGGGTGCCAAGAAAAATTGAAGTTGCAATTGGTTTTTGCCTTGCCATTAATGGTCGGCTTTCATGTTTAATGTCTCACTTGGCGCACTCGCACTCGCACTGGCATTCCGATATTGCCATTCGTGTGATCTCTTAGCCAGTTATCGCCGCTATAAGTTCTAACACGCTGCCATAAATTCAAATGTAAAACACCCAAGACAAGAGCAGAACACACTTAAAAGCCAGAGATAAGCCGGCTGCGATATGCTTGAGGAACCAAGGAAGGCGACACATCACCATCAATAACAGCCGAACATAGAGAACAAATTAGCCAACAAGAAATGAGACAGCCAAATGGCAAAGGCATATCATTTAGGAGGCACTTCAAATAAATTACCCAATACCAGAAATAGAAGCAGAATTCAAAGGATTCTGGGAAAGTAAATGTTGTTCTAGGGAAACCGAATTGTAAATATTCTTCAAAAGGCAATAAGTTAGTGTTAAATAAACAAACTTTATTTGTAAATATTTTGGGAATATTATATTCTAACTTAGTTAAGTTCTCGGAGCTCTAAAACTTCCATAAAATCTTTTAAAAATATCTGTGTCACAATGTGGAACCAATGGACAAAAGACTATACAGATGACTTCAATTATCTAATTAAAAACGGAAGCTGTGACCAAGGAAAACTTATACAGGAAACCATAAGCTCAAAAGATAGACCTAACCCCAGACTTTAAAACGAATCGATAACATGTGCTGGCTATGATTAAGACCCAAAGAGTACTCCAAATCCCCTCCAAACTCAATTACCCCGTTGAAGGGTAAACCAAATGCCAATAGCTGTTGTTGTTTTTTTCGGTTGTCTATGATAGGCTGCAACAACAACAACAACAACAAGAACAACTGCAACAACATTGGCGACAACTTTGTAAAGTGTCAAAATAAATTCGATATTGTGGCTTAAAAAATGTTTATGGCCATGAGATAAATGCGCGACATTTGTGTAAATTACACGACAGCCGCAGGAGTAAGGAGTAGAGAGCAGGGATCATGGATCGGGAGGCTGGAGGTAGGAAGGAGTAAGGAGTGGCCACCACTGGAAGCCACGCATGCTCACAACTAGCCGACGCTCTTGTTGTTGTTGTTGTTGTTGTAGGTGTTGCATGTGTTTTATGGCGCATGCAATCAACTTGTTAAACTGTCACGTTAAATTTGCGTTTTATGTCAGGCGGCAGCCAGCAACAGCAACAGCAGCAGCAACAGCAACAGCTTCTAAGATCATACCGTCGAGAACAGAGTGCAGTCAACTCGAATGCAGTGGCTTATCAGCAGAGAGCTCCACATCCGCCATAGATGGACGCATTCTTATCGCCGCAGAAGCAACTTCAGCCACCGAAGACAAAGTGGCAGGCGGATGGTTGACATTTGCCTATTTACTTAGAGATGCACTGCGCGGAAATAGTTGACAAGAAGTTCTCAAAGTTTAAATGAACTTAAAAGATTAGATTAGAGATTAGATAGAAGATGATGATTTAGACAGGAAGATAAAGCTTAATAGGAATAGTTATATATGTTATCTTAGATCCCGATTCTTTCGGTGTAAGCAAATGCAAGACTCCACCGATATTGGCGACATCGTCATCGGCTTTGTCGTGGGTGCCGCAGCTCCCTGTCTAACCCATTTTTTTTTCTGTTTACGTTTGCTAATTGTTTTGATTTTTATTGAATTTCATTGAGTGCCGCCGCCTGCCAGCTCCGCCGAGGACGGAAAACCGAAATGAAATTGAAAATGGCTCATTATGTGCCGAGTACTTGCTTGCTGTTGTGTGTATATAGAGAAGATCGTGGGCATGGGTGAAGCGGAGCAGCTGCCTCGGCTTTTCCACATCCAGTCGCGATTCTGAGCTGCCTGTGGCATGTTGTTGCAGTTTTTGTCGCGTTTGGCGGACATCGTTACCAACAATCGCTCCATGATTCCCTGGCCAAAAACGGAAGAACCAAGTGCCGGCAAATTGGCAGCCGAAATAGCCAACTATGTGAGTCAGCCAGTGAGTGAGTGAGTGAGTGACTTAACGGGCATAATGATATAGCAATCGAGTTGGCTATTAATAGTTCACAGTTCACAGTTGATCAACCCACGTCTTATCGCCGCCCATCGGTTAGCAGTGAAAATCCACTTGGGGGCCGAGTTTTACTAAATCAATTAATTAATTTATGGCCAGCCAGTGCGCGGGTTTCGATCATTGAAAAATAATCTGCCGCCGATCAGTTGCACAGAGCCAAAAAGGCCAAAACTTCCCGATCGGTTTCAATGTAAACAATTTCAGCTTGAGCCGGCTCTCCATCTTCGGAATACAGGGTGTCGACAGTTCTACAGAGTGATGTGTGATTTATTATAAGAGTATGAAAAGCATTTCAAAACCCATTCAAATCGATTATATAGAGAGCACTTCCCATTTTGACATACTCCTCACAATGACATCATCGAACTTTGCTTGGTGTTCTGTTTTATTTGATTGGAAATTGTTGAGCCACTAAATTGAAAAATTCAAGGTTCGCATTCAATGTCCGGCTTAATTATTTCATTTCGTCTATGTGTTCTCTGCTAATAAACAGACTAGTGTGGCAATTAAATATTTTATTTACTTTTATTTCTAATCTTTTGTTGGCTTTTCCAGCCTGGCAACTTGCTGTGATTCATTTTTAAGTTTTTCTTTTGTTGAGATTACATTTTATTTACCTAAAAGTGAGTCAAAAGCTTCTCGTTCTTTATTTATACTAGCAAAATAATGCATTTTGTGGGTTAAATATTTACATTACTTTAAAGTTAAATGAGCTTTTCTAAGATAAGTACCATTCCTTCTTTGAAGTACCTCTTGAGACCTCACATTATGTGGACCATTCCATGCAATTAACAATCCGCCGCACTCAATCGAATGCTCGAAAGCTCTCAGTTCCGAAATTAGATTAATTAAAGAACGAAGTCAATTAAGAAATCAAGTTGATTGCCTCACCCTGTACATGGCTTAGATCGGTATATATATAAACATATATATGTATAACGCCGCTAAAACCCGTGCCTGCCATATCTGATGAGCATGAAGAGTCAGCGTCTCTGGCAGCCGATTGTGCTGCGACTGTGAAACTGGAGCAGCTGTTTTAAGCCCCTGCTCCAAATCCCCCCTATAAGACCATCTCCCCAACTCCCACTCTCCGGCCCCTTGAGACGTTATTTTCATTCATTGGGTGGGATGCAGACGTGGACATGCCCCAAAAGAGTTTCGAGATAGTGAATCTCGAAGTTAGAAATAAACACTGCCAGAAAACAGAAGATCAGTTTTCACTTTAAGTAAATAAATAAGTGCTTAGGGTTCGATTTTTTGAATATATTCATCCATAAGCAAGAGTTCTATATGATATGTTTATCATATATATACATTTATATAAAAATATCACAATGAAAATGAAATCAAAAAGGTTTCTTTCTGTGTAAAACTTAAATCGAGGCAGAACCCAAAAACGGAAAGTGAATGCGCCGGTGCACGCGTCTCGACCTGGGAATTGGGAGTTTGGATGTTGGTAGTCGTCGTCGGATGGGCGCTTTCTGGGATGGGTTGGTATGGGAGCTGGTTAACTCCGTTCCATAGCATCATCATCATCATTATCATCATCAGCAGCAGCAGCAGCGGCGTCGTCTTCGATTGTATCAATTCAATTGGACGCAGCAGGTGATTAAAAATTGGTTAGAGCCACAAAATTATCAATGTGAGATCGTTGATTGCCCATGGCTGTTGTTTTTGTTTTGGATGGCATGACTGAGACTACCTGTGTGGTAGGTTGGCTAGTTTATATTGTGGTTTCCAATACCTTTGGGAGGCTTAGATGCCCCTCCAAAATACCCATAGTTGAGTCGTTTTATTTGATTTGTGTTCGATTGGATTTTAATTTGTAAAGTGGAGGCTAATTAGAGCGCCGATCATTTCTATGAGTTTCACTTTTCAGCGCTGTGAATGGGGAATTGGAAATTGGGAGGAGACGCTGATGACGATGATGATGATGACGAACTCAAACATGGCAATGGGAAACCTTGGCCTAGCGTGTGGGCTTGTTTACAACGAGTTGAAGGTTTCCCACTGATTTCTGTTTTCATGTCCTATTTTTAAAGGTCACCTCTTGGCTGGGCAGCGATGGAGCTGAGAATCTGCAAAAGTTTTCTCAACTGCAATGGGACAATGAGTCACAGCTGAGGACCCAGGAGCAGGACTTTGAGAAGTACTACTTTATAGCTATGGTAAGTTACAAATTATATGACCTTAATCTTGGGACTTCCTTTGACTAATTTATAATCCCACAGAAACACTTGGCCAAAGGAAGGGATCTTCATGCCGCTGCCCTGAAAGTTTCCGTTCTAAGTGAAAGCGCCAATAACCTGAAATCTGCCCTAGATCAATTTGCCCAGAAATTAGAGCTGGCCCACGAGCGTTATGAAGCCACCGCTCGTCTGCTGCACTTACTCACTCAACATCAGCGGGAAACTGCTGCCAGGGATGAGTTGCAGCGTTTGGCGGAGCAACTGGGCGCCACCTCGTTGCTGGAGAAGCACTGGCCAGCGATGAGGAAGAGTCACTCGTTGCCAGTGGCCAGTAGCACACCAGCTCCAGCGGCTGGCAAAAGAGTTAGCTATCGTTGCAGTTCGGCCAGTGGCAGCTCCTTTGAAGGAGCTCCTTCGAGCAGCAGTTGCAGTTGCTGGCGGGAAAGTCGCAACCTGGAGGACATGGACCAGATGGAGGAGGAGGATGAGGAACAGGATCATGACTGCGACGGTGGTGATGGAGAGGAGCAGCAGTCCAAGATTGCCGATTCTGGAGTAGGCGTTTGTGATAATTGCGAACGCAATCCCAAGCTGGCCAGAATCTGCTCCTGCCAAAGTCTCAACGAGAAGAGGTTGGTTTCTAGAAAGGAATTCAAGTTCCTATTACAAAAATGGTGTAACTCTAATCCTTTCCAGTCATGATGAGCTGCTCGAGGACGAGTGCTTCGATCGGCCCTCCAAGAGATACATGGACATGCACTCGCCCATGGAGGCGAATGCCCATCTGCAGTGCCATGGCTCCAGTCTAGAGCTGCCCAAGCTAGAAGAGCTCAGTTGCCTGGATCCCAAAATACAAAAGTAAGTTGCACATAAAGACAGAAACATTGGCAACCTTTATTAATATGAAACCCTTTCAGAACGCTTCTATTGATCATGCGCGAGATGATTGGTACCGAACGCGACTATGTGCGCTCCCTGTACTACGTGATCGAGAACTATATCGATGAGCTGCTGCGCGAGGATATCCCACAACCTCTGAGGGGCCAACGGAATGTAATCTTCGGCAACATAGAAAAGATCTTCGAGTTCCACAACTCTCACTTTCTGGGCGAACTGGAGCGTTACGAAAGGAATCCTCTGAAAGTCGGAGCTGCCTTTTTGGAAATGGAGTCCAAGTTCTATCTGTATGCGCTGTACAATAAGAACAAGCCCAAGAGCGACACTTTGCTAAGCGAATATGGTAGCTCCTTCTTCAAGCCCAAGCAAATGCAGCTCCAGGATAAGCTAGATCTGGCATCATATCTCCTGAAACCTGTACAGCGGATGGGAAAGTATGCTTTACTGCTGCAGCAATTGGTCAAAGCATGCAAGGGAGTCGAAGGAGCAGCTCTGCAAGAAATTGCTGCAGATGTCGAGGAGCTGCAGCGAGCGGAGGAAATGGTCAAGTTCCAGCTGCGCCATGGAAATGATCTACTGGCCATGGATTCCCTGCGCGATTGCGATGTTAATGTCAAGGAGCAGGGACGACTGCTGCGCCAAAATGAGTTCCTCGTTTGGCAGGGACGCGGTGGCAAGAAGACACTGCGACAGGTGTTCCTTTTCGAAGAACTGGTTCTGTTCAGCAAGGCTCGTCGTTTTCCTGATCACAAGGTAAGATTGGGATATGGAAATTTGAAATTTGAAAGAGTTTCTAAAACATTTTGAAAGAATTAAAATAAGTAATGTAGTTGTAGGTTTTCATAATTTTACATTATCTTTTCTTTTAATGCATCAAAAGACAACTTATGAAAGGCTTAAGGTACCACATAGAATCCTCCCTTAATTGAAGGTCTGCTCCTGATTGATACTTTATATTTCCCAACAGAATCTGGACATCTACATCTACAAGAACAGCATAAAAACATCAGATATTGGCCTCACAGCGCACACAGGTGATTCGGCCACCAAGTTTGAGATTTGGTTCCGGAAAAGAAAGCCAGATGACACATGGATGCTGCAGTGCATGTCGGAAGATATCAAAAACGCCTGGACCGAGGAGATCTCCAAACTGCTCTGGAAGCAGGCGAAACGAAACCGAGGTTTGTTTATATCTCAATAATAATAATATGATTAAAAAATATAATTTACTTGATTTTACAGAAGTTCGTCTGGCGGAGATGTCCTCGATGGGCATTGGCAGTAAACCCTGTCTAGATATTCGTCCCAGCAACAACCAGATCAGCGATCGCTCCATTCCACTGGCGCAGCTGAACAAGAGTAAGTTGATCGCCTTTGCCGAAGAAATCCAATATAAATCCTTCTTTTTATAGCTCCTAAGCTGCGTCACTCGGAGCCGGGAAAGGGCAGTATGCGACGGCCCAATTCGCTGATCTCGGAGAGCTCTTTGTCCAGCGGCACCAGCAGTGGCTCCTCCATCAGCGGTGGCTCCTCATCGGGACTCCATGATGCTGGCGGCAGACATAGTCTACATTTTGGCAAGCTACCTGGACCACATAGCACTAGTTCCACGAACTGCAGTGCCACCTTAGAACTGATCAACGAAACACAGGCCCTCAAGTTGGGTAAATCCTCGAGTGGAGGAGGAATCAAGGGGACGGAAGGAGCTGGCGAGGGAGTCGGCACTTCCGGAAGCGGAAACGGAAATGGAAACGGACTCGGAAGCAGCAAACGACACCACAAACGATCGACAACCATTGTCAGCCAACTGTCCATGGGTATTGACCTTGAACTGTGCTACTTCTTCTAGACTTCTAGACGCACCCCGTAGCTAGTAGTTGATCCCTGTACATAATCTCGAAGAGCCCCCCAGTATTATTGTATATAATCCCCACCAACACCAACACAAAAACCAAAACCTAACCCATAATCCGTGCCTGTCGAGTGCTGCATGTTTTTATGTTCTATGTCTATTGTTGTGGCCCCTTTAGTGGCATGTTCTCATCCAGATATATAATATCCAATATGTGTAAATATTCCTTCATTCAGAAAGCGGCATTGTCTCCGATATATGCGTAACCCCGGATCAGGAACAATCGGCGGCGGAGAGCAGCCGGAGCAGTTGGTCAACATCAACGACTGGAGCATCGGGAGCTTCAACGACGAGTGCATCCACGGTGATCCTGCGGCGATATAGATCCTATGCCCATGCAGCGGAATCCGCAAGTCCGGACAGCGGCAAATAGATGAGCTCCTGGAGCACCGAATCTAGAAATATACATATATATATATAGAAATCCCCATTAATAGCTTTAGCAGAACGGTTTCATTGGATCCAGATAGTATCATTACGTTCGATCGCTAATTTTATTTCATTATTTTTGTTATTTATTATTTATTACATTTTTAGTTTTCGTTAATTTGTCATAGTCGCTGCTTTTGGTTTGGCCTCAGTTTTGTTTTTACGGAAAACTCATTTGAAATTATTGAATTCAGCGTGTCAATGTCGAAGCATATATTTCACATATAGTTCATAGTCTACGATCCACACACACACACACACAGATGGGAGCCATGAGCACCACCCGAAAAGGGGCGTGACCGATGCCCAACATATCTGAATCGAAGTTCATTACGTACAGTTAGTTAATATGTAACCTAAGTGCCTACATTTAAAATAATCGTAAACGAACATAAAAAATATATTTCTATATATATTATTATTATTAAATCGAGAAATAAGTATAAGCGAAAATTTAAAATCAATAAATGTTGCTTAAATGTAGAAAGAATCTTTTCACTCCAATTCAAATAACCCGCCAAATCAGTTAGTATATTTATACCTACCTTACAATTCCCAAGCGCTTTTTCAGCATCGTGTTCGTTTAAATAGCGAAATATTGCTGACTTACAATCTCTAAATGATATGATGAAAACTTTACTACCCGAACCATCGTGTGGGCCTTTGCCATTTTTGGTAAAGGGACGTAATTCTGATTCACTCAAAAAAAACTGTTTTTGTTTTTTTTCGTTCATAATTTAATGGCTGATCGTACAAAAATAAACTTTCCTCTTAAACCTAGCTAACTTTAGGTAACTTTATTAACCGCCATGAAGAGTGGATATGAAAAGAACGTTATCGTTGGGCTGCAGCTCGTAGTCCAATTCACCCTGAAAATGTATATATTTGAACTTATATTCTTTATATGTACATATATCCAGGATTTATGCTCACCAGCAGTTCCCAGTCTGTGTCGTTTATAAGGACCAAAATTCCTGGTCGTCTGTAAACATCAAAGTTTTTAACTAAACCTGGAAAATATACATACATATATTGAATTTTGAAGCAACTTACACAGTATCCCCTTGGAGGAAGAGTTCCGGTCGTTCCGTTAAAATATTGGCATGCATCCACTTTAGTAGGTTGGCAATTGTCCCTTCAAAAATATACACCTTATTATAGGATATAAATTCAAAACAATACCTTAACTTACATTTTTGACTACCATCTAAGGCTAGTTGGCGGCGTTTAATGTTACCAAAGAGTAACTCCGCTCCTGCGCTGTGTATTTAGCTAATTAGTTTACAAATTAAACTTTGAATAAAGTCATATTTACCTGAATTCCAGTATTATTTTTAATTCCGGCGTGCACATCATATGTTCGATGTAAATAATATGACCGTGCTCGGACCACCCCAAAAATATCTGTTCTCCACAAATAGTACTAAATACTAATCAAGAGCAACAGCTTGGAGCTTGGAGATCTAAAAACGAAGTTTCGATTTACATACTTGAATTTCTGGGAATTTCATCGTTTTTTTTAAATAACAGTCTAGTCGAGAAAAGCTTTGTGTTATAGTAGTTGCTTAAAAATATTTTTTTTCTATAACAAAAAATTTAAATTCATTGATTAAAAACTTAAATTAAGCTTAGAGATTCTCCGTTTAACAAGTACATATATAATATATATACATATCTACATTATATAAATAAAAAATGGAAAACTCTTTTGCAAAACCACAAACCTTCGGCGAGGGGATTCAATTTGTGCTCGATCAAATTTCTATAACACCCGAAGACCGGCAAACCTTCAAGGAAGATGCTCAGAAAATTGAAAATGAATTTATCGGAGCGATTTCCTGCAAAGATCCCTTTTTCGCCTCTGCTTTTCGTGGTCTTGCCTTGACGGGAAGTAATTTTGACAATGTCAGGATAAATTTGCCGGATGAGTTTGATATGCTGACCCAAATCAAGATGCCATGTAACTTAGAACCAGTGCCGATCAAAAGTCATCCAGGCTACGTTTGCCTGCGTGCCAGTGGTGATAACATTCCGCTACATCTGGTTAATCACCAAGGAGATGAGTACTATATTAACCGTCGGAAGATTCAAGCCTGGTTTCGGGAAAATGTCGACGAAGTAATCCAGGAACTAGCCTACATCCACCGCATTGGCGAGAGATCGTATGAGCTCAAATGCGTAACCGGTGGTCATATTGCCCACACCATTAAAGCTACTTGCCTATCCGATCCTGCACGCAAAATCTGCTTCGATTTTGTACTTGCTATTATGTTTTCTCCATCGATGTGGCCCAGTGTTTTTCCCCAACAACGGAATCAAGAACGAAGCTGGTATGCCGTTCCTTGTAAGATCAAGTCTCCGAATGTGGAGAATGATTTACTATCTTTCATCGTTTGCTCTCCATATTGGGAGCATATGGCCCTCAAGAAAAAGCAAAACCTCAAAGACGGATTACGACTTATGAAAGCTTTGCGGGATGCCAATGATATGCCCAAGATCTTCAGCTATACAATCAAAAGCCTTTTTCTAAATGCGGCCAGTGTTAAAAGGATCAACTGGAATCAATCTCCGGGTCGTATACTCATTAGGGTAAGCACTATTAATTTTTGCTTGTGATCTTTACTAATCATCCTTTTCCATAAGATGATTGTCCTGATGGTAAAGTTTCTCCGGAAGGGTTTTCTTCCTCTCTACTTGGTCCCAGATTCTAACGTTTTAGAGGGCCTCGGCAAGGATGAGAGAATGGATTATATGAGAAGACTGTTCAGAATATTAAAGCTACTTATTAAGTGCCGAAATCGAAATTGCATGACCATAGATGATATTGAATTAATTTTTGGGATTTCTGTTTTGCAATCTCTTTGAGAATTATTATCATTAAATATTAAAAGAAAAAGTTAGCCCACAACCAGAATATATTTTTTATTGCTGGTCCTTAGTTTTTGGGAATTTTTCTGGATTTGAGCTTAAATCCAATTTAAAATCGATGGGTTTGTCGTAGCCCATGATCTTAACATAGTGCTCGGGATCATCGAAAAGCGCGGGGTCAACGAAAAGAGGACGTTTGTTGACTAGGAAAGAGGTGAACATGCCGGGAACTTCAGGAACGACCACATCATTAGTTCGGAATTTCGTCTGGAAAAAAAGTATAAAGTTAATAAATAGAGCAAACGCATTGGGTGTAGACACTAACCTTGATCTTTTGCAGAAGTAAGGATATTGTTGTGGCTGTGTATTCCTCCGTTTGGGGGTTATAGTGCAGCTCCGTTACGTATTTCTTGGTGATGAAGTGCAGCAGCAATGGTGTAACGAAGGTGAAGAATCCTCCAATCGTGCAAAGGAATACGGCCATTCCAGTTCCTCCGATTTTCATTCCCTGTTCTAGGAGAATCGGTTGGGCAGCCAAGCCGGCTAAACTGGTGCTCAGTGAAAAGAACTTGACCATTTTCATCCGTGGAGCTAGAGTTCCATAATAGATTCGCTGCAGTGCATGCTGTGATTCAGTTTTTGTAGACTTGACCGAAAGCCACCTGTTTTGTTGCAGTTTTTGTGGCTGTGATTGCTTGGGTTTTGTCCAACTGTAACTAGTAATACATCTGCAGTTTTGTGGCAGCGAAATCTGACGGGTGGCAGTTCCCAGGACAACAGCAAACTGTTTCCCTCTTGGGAGTACTGCTCGTAAGCCTAACATCGTGTAATTTACTAATTTTAATTGAAATAAACAGATGTTCTTGCCGAACGTTAAATAACACGAGCTGCAGTATGACCTTCACTTGGGCGCTAAAAAATCCCAACCGAATTAAGAACTTTCCCCTAAGATACCAACTCAATTTTTAAATACTGAAATAGGGAACGGCAGCATTGCTTTAATAACGTAAATTTAAATTGGGAAATAATTTAAAGGTATTTGCTGTTCCTAAAATAACAAAATATATATTATATCTGGCTGAAAAAACGTCAAATTAATAGATAGAAAACTAGTATCGCATGCCGAAGATAAACTGCAGATCCTCTGAAGTCATACAATCGCGATCTCGGCACCTTATTAGACGACGGAAGATGTGGCATAATTTTCTCCTGTAATCCTGCCGCATATCGACGGAGAGCCTATCCAACATATTTCGATCTGGCACCAAGTAGGATGGCAACTTTCCCTTTCGAAGGAACATTGCCAAAAGATCGATTGCCTGAAAGGACACTAAAAAGTCTTTCCTCCTCTTTAATATTTCAGATCTCTTACCCGGATGAGAATGCGTCCCGGCGATTGATTCCAGTTAATCAGCTTGTTTACATTAGAGGCGTTCAGGAATACACTTTTGATTGTATAGCTATAGATCTTGGGCATATCATTGGCATCTCGCATGGCCTTCATCAGTCGGTATCCGTCCTTGAGGTGCTGTTTCTTGGTCAGCACCATTCGTTCCCAATAAGGCGCACAAACAAGAAATGACAAAGGATCATCTCCGACATTGGGATACTTGAATTCAGAAGGCACGGCATACCAGCTGCGATCCTCGTTCCGGTGTTGGGGAAATATTCTTGGCCACTCCGAGGCCGAGAACTCAAAAGCGGGCACAAAATCAAAGGATATAGAGCGATCTGGGTCAGATAAGCACTTGGCCTGAATGGTGTGGGCTACATCTCCAATTGTCTTGTTAACTAGTTCGTAAGATCGTCCGTCGTTACAGCGGATATTGCTAAGCTCCGGTATAACTGCAGTAATGTTATCTCGGAACCATGCCTGAACCTTCAGTCGATCAATACAGTACTCATCCTCCCAGCGATCCACTAGGTGAATGGGAATATTATCCCCACTGGCACGCAGGAAAACATAGCCTGGATGACTTCTAATCGGCACTGGTTCCAGCTTACATGGCATCTTGATCTTAGTCAGCATATCGAACTCATCTGGCAAATTTATTCTCACATTATCCAAGCTGCTACCGGTCAAGGCAAGACCACGAAAAGCAGAGGCAAAATAGGGATCTTGTTTGGAAATCGCCCGGACAAACTCATTTTGTATTTGCTGTGCATCTTCCTTGAAGGTTTGGCGATCCTCGGGTTTAATGGAAATCCGATCGAGCACATATTGTATCCCCTCTCCAAAGGTCAATGGCTTTGAAATCTTCTTTTCAGCGAAATTTTCCATTGTCGTTTATTTTTTTAAATAATTTAAGCACAGAGTCTCCTGAATATTTGGAAATATAAAATAGATTGGAAGAAAATTTTAAATCCAGAAAAGTAATTTTTGTTTTAGTTAGTTCTTCTATAACTGGCTGTTGTTTTGCTTTTGACGGGTTGTATTTTTCTCTACAACACAAAGATTGTTATACATTTAAAACTAATTTATTTTAAATAAACAGCTGTTACAGTTAAAAGTTAAATAACATGAGTAGCGACCTTCGCTTGATTCCAAAAGATTAATAAATAATACAAAATACGTAAATCTAGCTTACATGGAATAGCTTTATAAAATTCTTTAAATGCTGTTGACCTATTTTAAAGCTTTTGAGCTGAAAATGCATATTTCACCAACGATTTTCCAACCAATTCGAACAAAAGAGCTAATAATTTGGGAAAGGTCGAGTGCGTAGTGGAGATTGTAATTGATTAACAATGAGTGGAGGCAGGGCCCCGCCCAATTTGCGGTGTTATCCTGAAACCAAAAACACACACATAAAACTGGCATGTGGATTCGAATTAATATGCTCGAATTAATGGCAACTGATGTGGGGGGCGTGGCAGATGTGACTCTAGTTACCACTACCAACATGCAATTTGTCACTGTTGGCGGTGTCCGGCGCTTAACCACATTTTTAATTTATGTTGCTTTAATTGTTTAAATGGAATTGCACACATAGAGGTTATGGTTACATAGAGGTCTTTTTTTTTGGCCCGTCAATTGTTTGGGAGTAGTGTGCCAAGTGCACGCCCGGGTGAGCTGTACTTTCAGTACCATGTCCAGCTGACCAGCCCATCCCGTCCCTTGAACCAGCAACTCCCCTTTGAATTCCGGCAGTTGAGTGACAGGCGGGCGGAGATCTTGAAATTGCTTTAATGCAGCGGCCTCCGGTTTCATTGGGCTGCATTCAGGCGTCACTAATCAACAATTTTCAAAGTGACCAAAAATCACATTTGATTTTGAATTGCCCCAGTCATGTGGCTCTGTATCACCCTCTCTATCCATCATCCATAAATCCATCTCTTTCTCACTGGCAATCCTTTTGTTATCCGTGCCTTTTGTTGTCATTTCATTATTGTTATTTCATGCATCATATTCATTCCACGAATATGGTTACACGCGACAAAATTGCTAGCTAGGCAATCCAAAACAAAATGTATAAGAGAATGCTGTGCAAATCGTATATCCATATTCAGCATTTAAGCTAGCCATAATAAATCGTAGCATACTTTTAGACACCAATTGATTGATTTACGTCCTTTTAAGTTATTTCTCTTTGAAAAACATCAACCAAAATGATTTTAATTGCTTATATTGCTTATTTGAAAAGCGAATTGAAGATGAATAGAATTTCTTTATCTGCAGTTGCTGCTTGGCAATTGTTTGGCCAAAAATTTCACATGCAGCGGGCCAAAATAATTCATTGCAAAAAAGAAGCGCTGATATATGAACGAGTGGCAGGGCAGGAAAAATAGCAGGAAGACCATATTGCTCATTCAAATTCGCTGTGATATCAATTTATTTTTATGCTTTGGTGACGACCTTTTTTAAGCCACCATCACCCGAGTATACCCACACATTGGCTGCCACCCATTTTGTCTATCTGGTCCATAAATATGCCACCTTACCATAGAAGTCCTGGTGCCTGATTGATGTGATTTTCGATTGCAGTTGGCAATTTGTTTAATTTACCTTTTTGGTCGTCCCATGTGGCGGCTTATTTGTTTTAATTGCTTTATTAATTTATCAAATTATGCAATACAATTAATAATTATTCTGAATCGCTTGTAATTCGCATTACACTCAAACACCCCTGCTTTGTAATTTTCACTCTAGGATTTCACTCGCTTCTGCAAAGTTGGAAGCTCATTTAAGGGTTGTGTTTGATGGCAACTGGGACCTGTTTGGATAAATCTTGTATTAAGTTTGAGTTGGCTGTTGAAGGGGCTTTTGAACGGTTTCAAACTAAGTTTGAAAGTGGATTTTATTCGAGTTTGATGCAACTCTTCAGTGCAAATGATGTCCACTTTCTACTTTTACTCCAAATTAAACTGAGTGAAAAGCGTATAAGTTGGAAATACTCGTATACAGTTTTTGAGTTATATTTCCTTACCCCTGTATAAGTTTGAAATGGACTTATACTAAAATTAGGTTGTTATTTTGTAAAAAAAATGTTATAAATCTGAATTTAAGGACTTTCTACTAATGAAAAATAAAGAACAATATTTTTTGTAGCGAGCTTTTGGGCAAACATTTTTTTTTAAAGTACCTCTTGTTGAGAAACTTTAAAGTGCTTTACCAATGTCTTAAGTTAAACTTAAAACTGTCATTAAATATAGAAAACCCACCTTAGCAATTTTTATGTAGAGTTTCGCTTTAACAACAGCCTCATACTGATACCAAGCTAATGTAAATAATTCTAAGAATAATATTTCTAGAGCACAAGACTTAATGTTAAGGTCTCGAAACAAAAACCTGGACTCATTTTTGCAGCTAAAATGCAATTAGGACACGCTTTACAATTAACATGCTAACGAGCTAGAGGGAAAAAGCCGGAAAACCATCTGAAAAAAATCAGCAGAGAGAGAAAGAGAGAGAGAGTAAGGTCAGGGAAATGGTGTGAATGGGTGGGTGGGATGCGTGGGTGTGTGCCCTGTAATTGTAGAATTTGTAGTATCAGTGGTTTGGCTAGATGTGCAATAAATCATTTCGAATTCACTTTAACACGCGCATGCAGTGAACTCTAGAGGGGAGGAAATGCACACCGTCGCCATGGAAAATTCAGGGGGGGCCGTGTCAGGAGGTGAATGGGCGTGGTTTAATGTTAAACTAAATGTTGGAATAATTACATGCTTAAACTATGCGCATATTCAGAGTGAAAAGTTAAGGGAATTCATATACATATCAGCGAATAAAAGAGTGCGGAAAACTCGCACAGGTGTTCCCTCTCGGGAGGAAAACGCTCCATTTACCAGGCCATCTAATGCCAAGTGCTCCCTTTCAAGCATTGAACCCGTACTTGGGTACCCGTACCCGTACCCGTACCCGTATTTCATGTTCACGCTCACCCAGAGCCATTATTATGTTTCGTTCCGTTGTTCTCCACAAATTGGTAGTTCATTTTGAGCACATTCTGTGCCTGCCTGGCTGGTTATTAAATTGGTTTATAATTTATACGCTCGTGAACTCGTAATTTTGCGCATTTAATAAAGACAAATGTGTAGCAAGTGGGTCACTTTAACAAGCTGCGATCTCTGAGTTATGAGTACTGCAGCAGAAGGAGCAGCATGGGCAGTGCATCCGATCAGGAGTATCCATATACCAAGGACCAACCAACCAACACCCAGTCAATGCCTTTTGTATTCTTCAATTTCCCTGGGAAACGACAAAGGAAATGTTCCGCCATCTGCGCTGAAATAATTACGGACAAAGCCTTAAATATTAAATTACACACTTATTTATTTTGGCCAGCCAGTTCTGTTCAGTTTGGTTGAGCTCGCCCGAAGGACATCGACGACGCATCGACATCGCCGTGTCCTGTCCTCACGTACAATGTCCTTGTCCGTGGCTGTGGCTGTGGCTGTGCAACAGTGTGCGAGAGCACGCAATGTCTTCGCCGGCTATTCAAATAGACGAACCTCTCCTCCTCCAGCCGTACTCCCACAACAACCACTCAGAAACTCCCGACTTTGGACGAAGGACTACAGACTATCGGACGAAAGACGGCGGACTACGGACTGCGCCACTCTGGTGTTTACTTTGTGGTTATTTTGAGGCTACAAGTTGCAACTTTTACATTTACGAGAACGAGAGCAAACAGCAATAGCAACAGCAGCTACTGCCAGCCCAGCCGGGAGCTGTCTGGGCAAGTCCCTATTCCAACAGCTCTTAGGACACTAACAAAAAACAAAATCATTCAAATTTGTAAGTCATTCACAATCTTGTAATATCATAGCAGCTTTTTATTGTAAAACAAGTGATATTATGAAACAGTTTGACAGATTTTATCATGCTTTAATTACTTGATTTCCAATAAGAAAAACATTTATTTGTACAAATTTCCCACAGTGCATCATACGCCCCTTTAATCTTTGAGAGTCCGCCCACTCAAATGCTTACCTTAATCTAATGAAAATTAAATGGCTGACAAGGAGCATCGATTGGATGGAGGCGCAGCTGCCTTAAAGTGTCCTTTCATTAGCCCAGTTCCGCCTGCTGTCCCTCTCAAACGCACCCACTCCACAGGACACACTGGTGCCCCCTCCAAAAAGTGCAACTTAAATTTCAATAAAGCCCAGAAGTGTGCAAAACTTGCACCAGAGTCAAACTGAAAACTGCCATGTCCGAGTGAACGAGCATGTCTGTGCTTCCGGTTCAGCACGCAGCGGGCTTCAAGCTGTCTGCCAGCGTTTAAATCAAAATTAAACCCCGAAAATAAGCTGCCATGTGAAGTGAGTTCAGAGGGCTGTGGGGGAAGGGTGCAAAACAGCTGCCTCTGGAACTGCAGCAGCAATCAAGGCTCTAAAGTCATTTGCCGTCCTCCCCGTTGCCAACGCCACACTCACACACTTACCAACTATATATATTTTCAAGGGTCCTGCCATATTCTCTCAAGTAGTTGTTAAAGAAATTACTGGAAATTCCTTTTCATCCGCTTATCAATGAGAGTTCTTACAGAACGCTTCACCTGTTATTGCAATATTTAACGTTTATCTAGTTTACATTGGTCTTGAAGTTGTGCTTTCATTATCCTGCCCGAACAAGTTTTGATAAGATAAGATAACATTGATCCATATCAAAAAGATAAAAAGTCTTATAAATTTTCTTCCCCTTAAAAATTCAATCAAATTAAAACATACTAAATAAATAATTTAAATGCGAGACTTCGTTACTCCAAAAAAAATTTTTTTTCGGCTGCCAATAAATAATATTTCTGATGATGCCTTATGACCTCCGTTGGCTGGCTCCATGGTGTTGGCCCATGCCGCGTATACGTAACGTTGTGCCGGCGATGCAACAAAAAGCGAGACGAGGATGTGTGCATCCGTGGCGATTTAATAAAAATAGATGAGTAAACTGGCATTAGACAGGACCTTCGACCCCGCTGCGCCTGTCCCTTTCACACACTCCATTGGCTTTGTGCCGTTGACGTTGCCGCTGCCGCTGCCGCTGCCGTTTGCCTCACTTCGAGCGTTACAAATTCAACTTTAAGCGTTTTGACGCTAAGTAGTTGATGGCACTACCACTATAACGCAACCCACTATAACCCTTTTTTGCCCCTCAAAAAAATTATGACCCGAGCTCGTCTGTTGATGGCGATGCCAGGGCAACCACGATTGAGTGCACTCCCACAATATTTCCTTAGCATATATCAAAAGTTATAGTTAAAGAGTTGCCCGTTGTTTGGCTGCCCCCTATACTCGTATATCGTGGCACCAGCTAGCTTGTGTAGGTTCCCCCAGCGCACTTCCTTCCGGCACTTTGACTGCTCGGCTCTGGGAATGGTTGATTTTTGTCTGCCTTTTTTGGATCGACTGTTACTGCTGGTGCGGATCCTGGCAACTGGATATACTGGATCCTAGATTCTGGCCATACACATGCACATCCTTGAAGCCAAAAATTGAAGTGTTTGTGCCGGAGCACAAGTGCCCAAAATGTGCATGAAAACAGCTTACAGCAGCATGAAAATTTCTGACAAGATGTCGGCGGGAGAAGGAGTTTTTGGGATGACAAAACTAGCAAGGACCAAAAGGACGATGATGACGAGAATGACGATGAGGTTGTAGTTACGCACATCGTTTGGCTTTAATAAAACATCATATTGTTGCGCATATTTCTCAATGCATATTAAAAATAGTGCGGCTGGCAAAAGTGCAACGTTGGAAAAGCCAAAGTATGCACAAAAGATTGCAAATTCTGATTTATAATATGATATAGAAAGAGTATAAATGGCAAAAAGTATTCAGAAATGCATGTAGATTATTAAATCTTATTTATTGCCTAATAAAAGCTGAAAATTAAATGGTTGGTTACCCCAAAAACAATGCATAAATTCGAACGAAAGCAAAATGTTTAAATTTATGCAAATTTTAATTCCCTTTTATGTGATCATAAGCCAGATTTAGTCAGTTTAAAAAAACTGATGAATGGATATTTTAAAAAATTTTTACCATTTTGATTTTAAGGTGTCAAATGCCTAAAGCCAATTAAATTAATAATTATAATTTTCCAATTCAATACATATCAATTGTAATCAATCATTGAAACTAAAATGTAAAAAAGTCCTTGGAAAACATAAACTATGCCTATAAAAACCTAATTAATTCACTCAACGAATCCTTCTCATTTGTAATAATTAATGACTACAGCTTGTTGTTTTCTGTCATTCGAATAATGTAGTGTTTAATTGCACATTGCAATGTAGGTTTAAGTGCTCGAAATTATCATGTTCTATTAGCTAACTCTATTTGATGCCAAATTGCCAGCTAATTACCTTAAATTTATACGTTTAATATTCGGTAATTGTTCGAGAGCAAATATCAAGAAACTTTAAGGTCTAGGTTCAGGAATTTGCGGAATGCATATTCATAGCCGAGAACTTTATTCATTAGCGTAGAATAAGAAGAAGGCGAGGCAGCGCGGCGCGCCTTTGGAAAATATCGGGACACAAGTTGCGCGACTCGTAAACGAAATAAGTTTTCGTTTTCTGCTCGAGTTCTTGTTATGGAATTTAAGCAAGTTGTCATAAAAATGTCACCTCCATTGACACGCCCCCTCGGAAAATTGGGATTGCGGGGGCGGTGAGCGAAGGAGGTGTCAATCCGCAGTGCAAAGTTACCCGAATTTCAAATCCACACTGTGGTTGCAGTTGCAGGCAACTTTTGCTCTTTCCTGTTTCGTGGAAATGCCTTTGGGGGTACGGGGGGTGTTAGAGTGTTGTGGCTGAGGCTGGGAAGGGGGGCATGGCAGGCAGCAGATGTTGCAGAATTGCGTGCAAATTGTTGCTGCTAAAGGAGACAGAGAGTTGTTGCTACCTCGTTGTTAGCCACAACTTTCCGGGCTTGCACGATTGACACCTTTTGGGAATTTGCGACAGCTTTAACGGAGCCTGCAGTTTAATTTGTTTGCTGTCCAGGAAGAATGAAAGAAGGCCTACTACTACTACTCTATACATCTTGCAACATCATCATCACCATCGTCAACAACCAAGTTTTCCCAGCAATTTAATAGATGGCATTGTGTGTGCTAACAACAATAAGGAAAATGGGCAAAAGGAAAACGATAACGAAAACGAAGGAAAACTAAACGTGCCCAATGCGAGATTCCAGTGAATTCGCATAAAAACTTTCGCCCTAAACTTGTGCAAGTTCTTTTAATTTTAATTAAACGGATGAGCAGCAATTAGCGAAATAAATCTGACAATTTTGCAAATGAGCCAGCATGGCGCCGTTGCTAAATGCGGGACAAATTAAATTGAGACTATTTGGGCTTTTGGGGGAAACAAAAAATATGTTTTTCTCTATCCGCACTCGGGGAAAATTTTTAAATGCTTGAGGAAAACAATTTAAATAACCATACAACAAGTTCATGGGGTTTTGGGGTCCTCAGAACTCACTTAAATTCAAGTTAACAGCCCACGGACAAGAGTTTTTCCTAGTACCAGCTGGCTTTTCCAGCCGCGCATAGTTTTGGCTTCGGTTTTTCGGTTTCAGATTCGGCTTTTAAGCTTTTTGGCTGTTGCGGCTTTGCTCGTTTTCTTTTTATCCGTCGCATTTTATATTCATTTTGCCTTTTAATTGAGGGCGCTTACTTGCATTTTCGTTGTCACTTTGCGACTTCACTTCCTCATCAAGCCCTTTTCCGGGTGGCATAATGGGCCTGCACTCCGCTTTGTTTTTTGCAGTTTTTGCATTTAATTGCAAAAGTTTTTTAATTAAATCACTGCGTAGAACATCTGTGTCAAGTTGAGGTTTTTCGAGGGCTCCTATAAACTGGCAAAAAGTATGGCCAAATCGGGGGGCTTTCAGGAAATTAGGAGTATCTTTGGAATCCCCGGAGGGACACCCCGCGTTAACAAACATGAGGTTATTTATTGTCACTATTTGCTTGGTAAAAAACTTATGTTCAAATGTATGTAGCAACAGGGTTAGCTAACAAGTTCGAAACATTACCAAATAAATAAACAAACATTCAGTTTATAGAATCAACTTCTGTCTTAACCAATTTTAAAATAATAAGATTATCAATTCCGCTACATTTTTTTTTAATGAAATTAATTATATTTCTACTTTCACTTTCCTAACTGCCACGAAAATCCCCTATAAGCAATCTGTAATATGAGACTTCGCAGTGGGACTTTTTTTCACTATAGGAACCATATTCTAAGAAAATATTATATTCCTAAACTCAATCAATATTATTCTTTCCTGAGTAGGTAATAAACAGCACCCTCTCTGTGCTCAAGCATGGCCAAGAAAAATCCCCTCATCTCATGTACATATATGAGGTCTAATAGCTATCTGCCAAGGGGCACACGTCTTATCAGCGTCAATAAGTGCCGCACCGCTTCGAGATCACAAATCAGTCCGTTGACAGAAACGAAGGTGGAATGACTTTGATCGCTTTGTTCATCGTTTGCCTGGCAGTAATTGCTGTCCAGGGGGAAGTACCAATAGTGACGAGAGCCGAATGGAACGCCACCCATCCGAATGGTCCACTGGATAGCATGGAAACGCCCTTGCCCCGAGCTGTGATTGCCCATACCGCTGGAGGTGGTTGTACGGATGATGTGACATGCTCCCAGGCGATGCGCAATCTGCAGAGCTATCAGATGAACAGGCTGAAGTTCTCCGATATAGGATATCACTATTTGATTGGAGGTAATGGCAAGGTGTACGAGGGCAGGAGTCCAAACCAGAAGGGAGCCTTTGCTGCACCCAATAACGATGGTTCCCTGGGCATCGCTTTCATAGGTAACTTCGAGGAACAATCGCCCACTCAAGAGGCTTTAAATGTCGCCAATAAGCTCCTGGAACATGCCGTGAAACAAGCTCAAATATTGGAAGACTATAAACTAATGGGCCACAGTCAAGTCAGTGCCACCAGAAGTCCTGGGAAAGTTCTCTACTCTATCATACAACAATGGCCCAATTGGTCTGAACAAATATAAGAATATTAAGGTTTCGACACGTAAAGACCACTCCTTACACATTTATTTGTAAATATAATTATGTATAATTTGTTTTTTGCTTAAATACGAATACTAAAATTTTAATTTTGTTGATCTGTTTCCGATGTACTTCGCGTCGACTTCGCACATTTTGTCAGCTGCCGCCTTATTTTTTTTTTTATTCGGCCCAATTTATATAGGCCTGCTCCCCAGGAGCAGTGCACTGGGCCACAATAGAGATTTGAGACATCACATAGCATCATTCACCGAACCGGAACCGGAACTTCCGTAAGAAACTAAGCTAACTATACAGAACCCTAGATGAAGCACGGAACGCAGATGGAACGAACGTGAACGTAATCGTAATGGTATGCAGAGAAGAATGCGCCAAACGAGAGGTAAACAAGAGTCGGCAACGTGGCAACAGATGCTGTTACAGATTACAGATTACAAATTACAGATTACAGATTTAGAAAATATAAAACAAGGAACTATACAAAATTCGTAAAAGTACTTAGGTAAATTGCACTAATATAAACTCCCATTTGAGCTGCCACTCGCACTGTCTGTACTGCCGCCCATTCCACCATTGCCGCTCATGTTACTATTGCCAATTCCTATGCCAATACCACTTCCGTTTCCGCCCTGCTGGCCAAAGTCAAGCTGGAGCAGCCAGTCTCGCTTGGCCAGACCTTCGGGCGTCTCGCCGCGCTGCGTGCACAGCGGCTGGAAGCAGGTGGTCAGTCCAACGCTGGGCGTGAACTCGGCACGCTCGCGTAGCTCCTCCTCAGTGGCCAGCATTATGCAGTCATCATCAATCTCATCGCTATCGACGCTGTAGGCCGCCGCCAACTGTTGCTGCTCGGCCCTCTGCTGCACAATGCTGTCGCTGGTGCGCCGGAAGGAGTCGTCCGTTTTGCGCAGGAAATTATATAGCGCCACACAGCCGAGCACAACTTCGCGAATGTGCTTGTCACTAATGCGCAGTGGCTGCGCCAATATGGGAAACATATTGCAGAGTATCCGCATTGTTTGATCCGCGTGTGCATTGACCTGCTCCAGGGCCTCCAGCACAGCCCGATCCTTGGGCAGGTTGCGTGTAGTTACCAGATACGATGTGGCTGGCAGTACCGAATCGCCAGCGAAGTAATAGCCCTGTCGGTCCATCTCCGCCGACTGTTGTTCCTCCAGAGCGTGCATCTTGTGCCTGATCAGCTCAACGGCAGTGGTCTGGTTATAGATGTCATTGGGCCGGCTGCTTGCCGCCCGTTCCACCTTTGCGTACTGGAAATTGTTGTCGGCATCTACAATGCCCGTAAAGATGACGGTCGCCCGCTTGCGATCGTCGCCAGCGGCGGATCCGCTGCTAGCCGCACCGGAATTCGAATTGGATCCGGTTCCTGAACCCTGGAGCTGGATGCTGCGCATGAACAGATTGCCCACACAGTGGGGCAGGTTGTGCTTGCGCTCCATATCCTCGGCGGCGCTGCGCCACTGATCGTCAGTCTTTGGTAGTGTCACGTATTGGTCCTTGAGGTGCTCGTAGAAGCCCAGACAGATATTGGCAATCATTTCGTTTATCACAAATTTCGAGGCACGGAAGCAGTAGTTTCGACAAGAATGTACTTCACCTAAATCGCAGGATATATAATTATATTTATTAGGTTTATACCTTTACAACACTCACCCGTTGCCAAATACTTGAGCGTTATGGCCAGCCGCTCTTCTGCGCTGAAGGACTTCTTCTTGCGCTGCGGGGCATACTGGCTAATGATGGGCTCCAGCTTTTGCACTAAATACCGAAACTGGCTCTCTGTTATGGCTAGGAAGTAATTCAAGTGATAGCACTCATCCTTGCGCGACTGCAGTTCACTTAGTAGGTTCTCCTTGCTGAGGAACTCGGCCTGGTTCTTGCGCAGCCACTCCTTGGTCCACTCGAGTCGTCTCCGCGTGTTGAGTATGCCGGCCAGGTCTAGGGCACTGATTTTGGAGGTTTGTGGTCTGGATAGAACCGATGTTCTAGCGGCACCTCCAACTCCCGTCGATGGTCCTGCTCCTCCCGTTGTCTGGGGATCCATTGATGCTACTCCTGCCCCCTGGGCGTTGCCTTCATTGTTATTATCCTGCGTGACCCCAATCGAAGGCTGCGCCACGCCCACTCCTCCCGTGGATGCTAATTGATGACCTGTAGAGGCTGTCACTCCTCCAGATCCTCCACCACCACCACCAGCAGTTGCTGCCAATCCTCCAGAACCACTACGATTTCCACCATCGCGTTCACGCAGTACGCCAATAACCTTTAACTTGATTTTGTCCATAGGGCAACCTGCAAGAAAAATAGATCGCCAAATATTGTACTATAATCCCAGGTCGACCTAGAATCTATAGCTATAGCTATATAGCCGCACCCCACATTTCGGCCCCCGATTTTCGCCCACTCGTCGTGTGTTTTGTGCAACAAATCGATTTTTACTCACCCTCCCAACCTCCCGTGTTCCTTGCGATGTGTGTATAACCAGTTTCGGATCTTCGGGGGAATACGTTTTTACTACGACCTGGGTTGTATAATTAGAAATATCTGGTGGAACTCTATATGTCTGCTGCTAGTCTTTTTGTTGGTTTTTCAGGCGTTTATCGGTTCCGGATTTGCACGTACATTTATATGTACATCAAAGAGTACCCAAGAAAAATCCGATGCCAATACGAAAATGCAGCCATCAGCAAGCAGCAGCAGCAGCAACAACAACAACAGCCGAACGTCGACAAGTTTTAAGGGCCAGGAATTTCATGGGAGCACCGAGCCAATGAGTTTTCCAGCCAGTTGGTGATTTTCCGAACCGATCTCCGGTTTTCCTCGGCCCAGCTAACCTGCTTTGCGGCTATCACTTGACCGAAAACCACATTTTCCCCAATTCTTTCTTTTTTCACGGTGATGTTGCCCGAATCGAATCCCCAGCTGGAACAAAAATCGATGTGTATTCGATATAGTCGATGGATTGTTCAAAAACACCCTCAAAATATCGATTGCTATCGGTGGCTTAATATTCATCGGCGCTGTGGTGGCTTACTATGCTAAAAGTGAGGTTGTACCCCGCTAAATTTAAACTCTAGAAAAAAGGTGGGTAACTTTGCTAAACTAAATCATGGTGAAAATCGCTATATGAATTATATTTCCTGATTTATTTAAATTTATTTATCAATTGTGCTTCAAAATTTTCCCCAATATAAAATCTAATTATCTCAAAACTTTTTGAAAATTTAAATAATAATATCTCTCAATTTATAACAACTTGTCCTTATATATCTAAGTTATTTAGCTGATACTGTCAGTAGATAATTTTACTTTACTACTCCTTGCCCCTTATTAAAAATACAAACATGAGTTTTTATTAAGCATTTTATTTGGTTATTAATACGCGTGTGGGTTTACAATACAATAATGTTATTTTTTTTTTAATATTTCTTGTATGTTTTTAACACAAATATTATTTTTATTCATATTCCATTACAGTGGTGATGCTAAAACGTTTAAATCCTTTCAATAAGTAGGTTCGTTCACGCAAGATGTGCTTTACGAAAATTAGCGATACACTTCATGGCTCTTTGTGGTATTTCTATGTGAATTAATTTCATATCTTGTTTGTATATGCTTTAAATTTGATCTATGTACTGTTTTTTTCAAGTTGTATATTTATGTATATTTCACTGTTAAAATATGCAAGCGAAAAAATTTGCTTGGTTCTTGTAAAAAATAAGACTTTAAAAGCATTTCACTTGCCAGGCTTCGACTATTTCATTACGTCCCCTTTTCCACATGCGTTTGTATAATTGCTTAAATTAAACTACAATAATAAGCGATTCATTTAATAATAAGTATCCTTCGTACATGTACATATATAATAACTACATCAAATTAAAAGCAAAGGGTTATTTTCATTACAACGCTCTAGCACAAAAGGTTTTGGTTTCTCTTTTTTAATATTTCATTTAATTTTTAAACATTAAAGCCAATAAGAAAATGCGTTGAACGGCTAATGCTTGACATATTCATATTCGTATTAATGTTTGCGATTTTATAGTTTTTATAAATATATAAAATATATATATTTGCCTTTAAAAACTCGTGTATGCACTTCAATATCATTAAAAATGTGTGTAGATGGAAAATGTCGAAATTTGCTAATTAATAAATCCCTCTTGCTGTTCGATTTGAAATCGGTGATGTTTAGAGCCGGTGAAGATGCATTTCCCGTCCAGAGATCGATTCATTAGTGTTGCGCCTAGAAGTGCGCCTTGTCTGGAAAAATAAAAGGAGAGGAAATCTTATTTTAGTACCAATAATATTTAAGTGGGGCGGCGAGTATTACTTTTCTCTGTCAAAGTTGAGCTCTGCTTCTAAGTCGAAGATCAAGTAAAGACAAAAAACAAAAGTAAAACGAAAAGCCGCGCGGTCTGCTGATGCTTACCTAGCCGAATATTATAAGTCACCGTTTAAGCCCTATTTTCATATAGGATTACGCATGACTTCTCCCATCTCTCTCTCTTTCTCTCTATCTTTTTTCTCTATCCCATCCAGCATTTACTGGCCTTCATGGTGCTTCTTAGCTGTGTCATGTCCTTCATCCTCGACCACCGTGGATTCTTCGTGAGACCAAAAACTGGCCGACATCTGGGATGACGACATGCCACCCACACCAGGGAATGAATCCTCCATTAGAGTGCTAGATGCACAGCTCGTTACGCTCCCCGACATCTGGGAGTTTCCAGCACTGGTTTGATAGGTGGCCGTTGTGCCAGCCGAGCTGGTCGTTTGCTCTATACAAAGATTTAGAGAATCCACCGATACTTCCTTCGACATTCCGGACTCATCCATTGGGAGGTCCTGAATGCCACCACCAACACTTGTTGTGGTGGTAATCACCCGCGTTACCGTGTGTTCATGTCCATCGGCATCCGTACTGGTCGTGGTCGTAGTTGTGGTAGTGGTCAGGCCGTCTCCCAGTGTCACTCCTCCGCCGCTAACAAACTTCGTCATCAGATCTAATTGCTCATCGCCAAAAGACTCTATGCTCTCCTGTCGCGAGTGTCGCTTGTCGATCTCAAGGGAATCAATATCTGATCTCGTAGTGGCGTCTTTGGAAATGTCGAAGCTCTCTATGCTGCTGGTCATCATGTCGTGGCTCTTGCTTATTTCCATGCTATCGATGCTATCCTTTTCTGAGTCCTGGCTGTCGATCTTTGATTTAGGCTCCAACTCAGTAGTGCTTATGTCCGTGAATTTTACTTGAGCAGATCCTTCCTCCCGCTCCAATTTGTGTTTAAGCAGGGCTTCGATGTTCTCAGCTTGACTCGAGGGCACCACCTCAGTGCGGGTTACTGTGCGCGTGACCTTGGTCACCACCACATTACCCGTAGCACCTTTATCACTGCCATTGGATTTATTGGACTCATCAGAGCGTGATAGCAGAGCTGCTTCCTCCCTGGCCTTGATCTCTATCAGGTGGGCTTCAATGCAGGCATTCTCAAGACCCTCGAAATCTTTAAGACTGGAGACCGACACATCATCGCCCGGAGCAGTTCCACTGCCACTGTGACGAACAACGTATCGGCGGGTGAAGCTTCCATTGCTGGAATCTGTAGAACCTTGATGAGTGCGATTCCGATTCTCCAGTGAAATGGCCTGCTCCAGAGACTCAAACTCTTGCAGACTACTCATTGAGACATCGTCGTGTTCGCCACGGGAATGATAACGACGTGCCGCCACATCGTACTCCGGTGTACTCGAGAAGGAATCCTTGAAGCTGCTGATGCGACTGCTGCCTACCTCGAATTCACCGTCTTCCTCCTTAATGTCCTCTAGGACAGCTCCGGTTAAATCGTAGGGATACCGCAGCTGGTTATCGGTCAATTGCATCTCAACCCACCGCTTGTTTGCTGCTGCAGTTTCGCTAGAATCACTTTCCTCCTGCTGTTCGCTGCTGCTACTAGCTGCTGTGGGAGGACTTTCTTCGAACTCAAAGTTCAGATCGTCCTTGTAAAGCTGAGAGCCGAGCTTAGGGTCTGCCGGCGCAGACTTTATGATAATTTTTTCCACGTCCTCATCGTGCTTCTGCTCATACTTGGTTGGTTTAATCTTAATGCTCTGACCACCAAGATCAACTTCGTTGGCTTCCTTGGCCACTTCCTCAATGATCACGAACTCATCTGAGATATCGGGTTGTTCAACCATTTCAAAGGAATCTGGAGAGTCGGGAGCCTTGCGATCATCGTAGTCGGCGCCAACCTCAGCCCGCTTTAGTTCCTCAAGCTTCTGTCGGTACTGCTCCTGCACTCGTCGCTGAAAGTCCTGCTCCTTCTCTTCGGCCTTGGCCTTCTGGTACATAGAAGTATCGCTCGCCTTGTGCAACTCTTCTTCGGTGCGCACCTTGTACAGCGTCTTCTCAGGGAACTCATCCGATTCCTCCTCTAAGATAGGCGACTTAATGTCTTCCGTAACCATAATGTCGGGAATGTTGGAGTAGTCCTGCATGTTTTGTGAAGGGCGACGTTCTTCTATCATTGCTGCCTCTGCCTCTAACTCCTCTGTGGCACTGTCCTCAACGATTACCTCGGCTACCAGCTGGGATGGGGTAAATGGGCGCTTTTCCAACTCACCACTGTGATCCATTTCGGCTGCCGCCTGCTTCTTCTTTTTGCTCTTTCGTTCTTTTGGAGAACGGAACTGGCGGGCATATTCCGATTCGTAGGGATCCGTATCTGACTCACTTTCTGATTCTTTGCCTTCGCCAAGAAGCGCAACCTCTTTGTCCAGGTTCTTCAAAGCATCTCCTGAAATGCTCTCGTTTCGCTTGTGGCCCCGACGTTTGGATTCCCCTCCTGGCGGTGTACTGGCATTAGAGTCCTGTGGCGAATGTTCTTTGCTCTCCATTTCTAGCATAAATGTGGCATCCTCTGGCACAGAGGCAGATGGAATCGAATCATCATGTCCATACTGGAAACCTTCAATGCCTGTTAGGGAAGATGATCCCGCAGAACCAATAATGTCATCAAAATTCTCTACGACAGTATCAATGTTGGATGTGCTTGACATGCTTACAGAAAGAATGCTACCTTCGTCTAAGCTCGAGGCCAACTTAGACTCGTCAATTGATCGACGTGAGTCTCCATGATATAACAGGATGTCCTCGCCTTTTTCACTCTCCCGAGGACTATCCGCCTTGCTGTCCTCCAGAGGATAGGCAAGGCCCCAAGTGCGTTCTACCTCCTTGGGCTTAGGATATTCTTCGATTTGCACAGCTTCGACAGGTAATTGCTCTTCTTCCTCAACTTTGGGCTTGAAAATCATTTCCTGGGATCGTTTCATGAGGCTCTGCTGTTCGCTGGTTGGATACGCATTTCCTGGCAGTTCCAGACTCTCATCGCTATCATCGTCATCAGCTCGGAGATCACGTAGTCGCGCCATTTCTTCAGCCTCGAAAGCATCTGCTTCAGCAGAGGAGGCTACCAATGTTTCGGACAGCTCAGAAACATCAATGCTGGCCAAATTGGCAGAAGTCTCTGATTGAGAATCTAAGCTACTGCTGCCAAGAGTGCTGACTGCGCTTATATATTCGGTTCCCTCAGTACGACCAGTGGTAGTAAATTCCCTAGCTGTTTGGTACTCACTTGAGGTACCAGTGCCAGTGGCAGTCAAAAGGTTGTCTAAATCTGAGGACAGAGGTCGACTTTGAGTCTTGTCGAAGCTCTTGTGGAAGCTCTCACTGGAGCTTGAGGTATCCACGTCGGGAACAGACCAACGGTTGATGGAATCCGGTGATGTCTCTGTCTTTAGTCGATGCACCACCACATCGATTGGCTTCATCGATTGATCCGACGAAAGCTCCTCAAAAGTGCTGGTGGTAATTGATTTGTCGGTAGCAACATCATCTGCAACCGCACTGGCAATAGCTAATTTTTCGGAATAGTAATCTTCCATGGAACTAAAGTCTTCGGCAGTTTCAGTGGAGATAAAACCTAAAGAGGCTTGTTCCTCCTTTGCCATGTGCTCTTCCATGGAACTTAATTCTTCAGCTGTGCCAGTGGATATGAAACCTAGCGAACCGTGATCATCTCGCCTCTCCACTCTGCCAAAAACATCCTGAGCGTAGTGTGCCATTGCTGCTTGCTTATTCAGAGTCTCCTTGATTGTGGTGTCAAACAGACCTTCTGGAGGCTGTGTGCTGTCTAATGTTGAAGTTTGCATACTTGTATCAGGTATGCCTATGAATGATGAGATATCCTCACTCTCAGCAGTGGTAGAGTATTCTTGGGACATGGTATTGATACCTAAGGCTGATGACGACTCCTTCACAAATTCTTCTTGACCTTTCAAGCTCTTGAGCTCACTCATTCCGAATTCCCCAGATTCCTGCTCTTCGGCAAGGACATCACCAAGGAGAGACTTATCAGACATTCCCTTAATTTCGGTTTCTTGGGGTTGTTGTGGCGAGTGAACTACCTTTGGCTTGCCCGCAGTTGGGATTTCTTTCTCTGATGTTTCCCATTCACTTTTTTCCAAGGGCAATTCAAATCGATCAGATGAGGGCGTTTTTTCTGAGATAGTATTTACTATTTCGGGAATTTCCTTGCTGGACTCATCGGGATCTTCACTGCTTGATGGAGCAATTTCGATAATGGCTCGACCACTGGAGCCGGTGGACGTTGTCAAGCTTTCCTCGGTGGTTACCTTGGAGAGCTTGGGCTCTCCTGTTTTGTCTTTATCGGCATTCTCAAGTTCGAGTATATCATTTCTAGTCTCCGAACCTTGTCTGGTTATCTTGCTGTCCACTACAGCAGGATCATCGGGCTTCATTGTGACATACTCCTTGAAAACATCATTAGCTTCGTCCGAGTCGACGGATATCTCCTTCATTAAAGAAACATCCTTGGCATCAATGCCTATATCGCCTTGCGCTTCTTCTTCTTGCGGTGTAACGCTCGCAGATCTTGTTGAGGTCTTGATTATAACATTTCGGCTGGATTCTCCAATATAAAAGCTAGTGGTCTTTTCCGCTCCCTCTGATTTTTCCGTATCGGCATCATCCACGGAAATCTCGCTCGTTGGCTCAAAGCTTTCGGTGTGATCTTCTGATGCAGTGGTGGTAGTTGTGACTATGTCACGAAGCTGGGAACGGATGGAGAGCTCTGTGGAGGGTTCGTCCGTCTTGGATATATCCTCCGTAAATTCAAAGCTCCTCAGACTAATACTATCGGACTGCTCGGCTAAGGCAGCCAGGTTTTCGAACGGTTCCGTGTGTTTTATGGGAGCACGTGGCTTCGGAACCGGTGCGGCGGCATCAAAATTAATATCAATCGGTATTTCAGGTTTTGGCACTGGGCCAGGAATGGTAGTGCTATCGGTGCCTTCGGAGACTGGGGAGCTTGCTTTGAGTACTCGTGGTTTTGGTGTGGGTGTATCGTGGCTGGTGGTAGTAGTGAATACATTGGTTTCTACCGTCGGCACAGTTTCGGTTTTGGTTTCCGATTCTTTCGACGGTGGTACGGGAGTGGTTTCGGTTTCACTTGAGTTTGGTAAATCGCCGCCTGTTTCTACAAAACAATAGGTGTGAAAACGAAAGCAATTTTAAAAGTGTTGTGAAAGTCGAGAACAGAAGATGAGGAAGAATAAACACGATTACAGGAAAGAAACAGGAAATAGAAAAGGGTTAATGCATTCGAGTACATAGGTTAGCATAGGAAACACAAGTTTATAGAGATAGATAGGTAGGTAGTATAGGAGGGCATGCATATTTCATATGAGTTATTATGAGTACAAACTGAATTAAAAAATTTAAATGCAATTAGAGCTCAACTCGAACAAACAAAAAGTCATTATTGGCCGCCATGTTATATCTGCTATTGCACTAAGACAACATAAATCAAACAGAATACTGCACATACATCTATAGTGAGTTTTTATGCTCTGTCAATGGCATAAAGATAGGCAAATAAATATTAAATCATAGTATAGTTTTAGGCTCTTCGCTTTTTTTACTTATGGTACCTGCGATGAGATCTTGAATATCGTTATCGGGTGTTATTTGGTTCTGGGCCATATCGGCCATGGTGTTGGTCGTGGGCGACACGCTGTCATCCCAGCTCAGTTTGGAAAAGTCACCCTGCAAGGCGCTAATCTCGTCCTCGGGCACCGACATCTCAAACGCCTCATCGAACTTGGCGCTTACGTCGTCCATGTCCGTGGATAGTTTTTCGATCTTTCGATCAATGCGCCTCGCTCGTGTCTCCCTGTCTTCTTCGGTTTGATTTCGACTACTTTCTACGGTTGGGAGTACGGATTCGGATTCGAGTACTGGGACTGGATCTGGATGGTACATGACGTATGGCGGAGGGGTGGATGGGAGCAAAAAAGCAAACAATACAGGAGAGTGGTTATAGCCAACGGACTAAGGAACATTATGGAGTCTAATTCGCCTCGAGCTACAATCCTAACTTCTAGGCTAGCGTTAGACTACCTCAAGTCTTGACTCTATTTGGTATGTTACCTTTTGCTGCCGATGTACTTGTGGCAGCAGCCTGGGAAATGACTTGGGGTAGCTGCACCTGGGATTGCTGCTGTTGGAACTGAGTGGTAATTGTCGTTGTCATGGTGGTGGTCGTGTTCTGGGCATGCAAAGGTAAATGTATGTGCTCGTCGGTGAAGCTCATGTTGTCGTCAAACGACTTGCCCGACATGGACTCAATGGTGGGCGATTTGATGACATCGACGCCGCCGATATCGTCGCATGTGATTGCATAATTCTCACTTTCTGAGTTGTAATCCAGCTTAGCGATCTCGTGGCCATTGGCCTGATGACCATGACTTTCAATAATCTCGACACTTTCTTCAAGCACGCGATCCACCAGAATATTGGCTTCCTCGCGAATGCGTGCCACAAGATCTTCACCATCGAAATCACCATCATCATCACCACCACCAACTTTAACATCACCTGGAAGACAATTGCACAGTTCATTGGTAGATAGAAATTGGACAGATCGAAACACAGAGAGAGAAAGCGAGAGAAAGTAAGGGCAAGCTTTGAAATCATGTAGAGCATGAGAAGCGAGAAATATGTGCAGGTTATGTGTGATAGCTGATAGCTGATGATGGTGAGATTGATTGGTGAAGTTAGCGATATCTGACGCACTGAGTCAAAAGATTATATCAAACTTAAGGCCGTTAAAATTATCTTTTAATGAGCTTTAATTGCATTTAGGAAATCAATACGATCTACTGATTAATTTGGCATACAAATGAAGCATATGTTTTACGAGAACTATGACAAGCTGAAGTTAAATATCCGGAAGTGAGACTTACCAATTTCTTGTGAGAGCTTTGCGGTATCCAGACTAGATAGGTCTACTTTCTTTTCCTGAAGGGTTTCTGCAATAAACAAGGCCAATATTAGACAAGTTTTATTTGTATGAGAAACGAACACAAAAGTGACCTAGAAGTACATTATTTTACTCTACAAACGAAATGATAATGAATGATTACAGACAATCGAAACAAGAACAAACGAAACGAATTCCAAATAACATTTTTGTTAGCATCAAGTACAAGATTAGGATTAACAATAGAGAGTGAATGTTAGTACAACGGCGCCTAGGTGACGTTAAGAAATCTGTTAGTATGGCACGGGCACAAAGGTTAGGCTTATGGGAGCGATGCAAGTAGATTTAAGGCTTTTTGCTGCTTTTATTGTGGTAAGAACTTTAACGAAAATGTTTGGTAATTTTTTGGCTTTACTTACAAAATGCTTGAGTGTGTGTGTTGGGTTTTTCGTATCTATGAACACTTATTAACTATTGTTGAAACTTTTTTGGCAACAGCTTGGGACCGAATCGAGTCGGATTGGATGAGGACACGGAGGAAGCAGACTAGTTGCCTCCCCTAGCGGCTGACTCGTCGGACTCAACATACTCAACGTCGGTATGAGCATCTCGGATCATGCCTTTTGTATGCAGCTTTTCGGCCTCACTGTTGAAACTACGACCACTCTTCTCATGCACCACCGTATAGCTCTCGTTCAACATATCATTCAGCTCCTTACTATTGCTATTGGCCACTGGTACGGCCGGTGGTTCCAGTGCGTCTTCTGCATCCGATGGCAACTGAACATCCTCAACATCAGTGTGCTGCTGATTTATTATGTCATCCTTTAGCAGACGGAAGTGAAGCGATTGCGGCTTTGTCTTGTTGCAAAGTTTATCAGCCGTCGGTGGTGGTGGAGCGTCAGAGGCTTCTGAGATATCAGATACATCATCGGTGGATACATCCTCGGAATCGGAGGCTTTGTCGGCATTCGAGCCCTTTGCCTGTTGTTTCAGTTGCTCCACGCGCTTTACACCTGGAGGTAAGCCGCATTCACTCAGATCCATATCCTCGACATCAGTAACTCCATCTTCTTTGCCCTTAATCGCGTCAAGTAGTTTATTCTTGCCTTTGCTCAGAGTGCGGGTCTTTAACTTCTTGCGACGATTCGTACCGGCCACGAAGATTTCCTCCACATCCGTCACCGACTCGGCATTGCTTTGTACTTCAAGCCGCTTGTTTTGTTGTTGCTTCAAAAGTTCGTTGGACACAATTACTTCGTTCTCGATAAGGCTTGAACCTCCCACTGCTGCATCCTCGGCAAGTGAATGTTGAAGACTCCACTCATCGGCACACGAATAATCCTCGGAATCGGTATGGATCATGTCCTTCAGGTGGTTGTAAATGCCAAACTCATAATTACTGTCCATGGGCATTACATTAGTAATAGTATCCCCATACTTGTCTTCCTTTAGTTCCACAACCTCGCGATGTGGTAGTGGTAGGGCTTCGTGACAGATTGAACGAGTTTCAGGTTCAGCGCTGGTGGACTGTGACGTGTCCTCACAGAACATGTCCTCCACATCAGTTAGGCAGGTCCCATCATCGCCAGATGCAAGTATAATGGCACGTGGTATCGGCTGCTCGTCTTCCTCTTCATTGTCAAAACTATCTTCTGCTGCAGAGTCATCGATGCCCTCCACGTCAGTTAAAACCTCCTCGTTTTTTGAAGCCAATTGTAAAAAATTCTTCTGTCCTTGGAGGGGCATACTGGACTTAGAGTTTCGTCGCGGTTGACCACTGGCACTAATAAAGGCCACGTCAATAGGTGGTAAACTATTCTCACTTACACTCTGACTCCATGCGGCGGCCCCTTCCGACTCGGACTCGGTGCCCGAGCAGGCAATCTGGCAAACCTCTTCGTGGCCACTGTCGGATACTTCCAAAACCTCATCTTCGGACATTCCTCGTACTCCAATGCCGGTGCAGTCCGACATGGCTGAGGCCAAATCGCTAATGTCACTAATCACAGACACATCTTCATACTGATCGGAGTCATCCTGGTTCTTCTCGCCGTCGGCTATATTTACTCGCCCCTGATCTCCCATGGCGTGATCCAGATCAACGCATACGGATTTCTCGTAGCCATAGCCCACTTCGGAATCGGTGTCGTAATCCTCGCAATCAGTTAAATAGTCTGCCATACCATTCAGGTTTTGCGCTTGCACGAAATCTCCGGCTTTTATCTCACAGCTTTCCTTGGCATCATTGTCGACGGCTTCTTGGTTTTGGAGTCCCTGCTGGAGAAACTCTCTCAGCGATAGCTTTAGTTCTGGGTATGCTGTGCTCTTCTCATCATCTTCCGATTCTGTATCGTAGTCCTCCACATCAGTCACATCGTTGTCGCCGGTATTTGTTCTAGGTTGGGCTTTGGGCTTTAGGGATGCATTGCAAGAGTTTCGCCGGGAGCTTGGCTTCAAAACCTCCAACTGACTGTCAAAATCTTCGACGTCGGTTACGCCCCCGGCGCCATTGCGCCCATAGTCCATGTCATTGCTATCTGTGTCATGGGATGATGATGAAGAGGATATATCGGAGAAGTTGGTTCGTTTGTCGGCAGTTACGGATATAGTTGGAAGTTTCTTGGACATTATGTTAGACTTTGTTTGGTGGGTTTGTAGTAGTGTGTATTATGGCTTTAATTTGCAGCTTTAGTTATTTAAGTTTGCTATTTGTGAAGAATAAGTTAAAAATGGGTTAAGTAGATTCATTTCATATATAAGCATATCAATAAGAAAAGTTGCATTTGGTAACTAAGCCCTAGATTGATGGGTATCGTAGCTAAACTAATCTTAAGTATCAAAGTGCACTAGACCTAGCAAATATCTGGAATACTAGTACCATATTTACCTTTAGAAGTGCTGCTCTTCTCCAACTCTACCTCCGCTTCCTGTCGACTCTCTCCAAAAGCCACTTGCATCGGCAGAGATGGATCAAGGACAGCAGCACCGGATGTACCAACGCTACTGTGGTGGTAGTGCTGATGATGGTGGTGGTGCTGTTGCTGGCGGCGCAGGGTCTCCTCTATAAGGGCCAGGGGGCTACGGGTCGGTTTGGGAGAACCGGGGCTGGCGGCCAACAGACGCTCTGGATCGCCGGAGCCGAACATAGGTAAGGCAACAGAGTCGGAAAGACTGGAGTCGGTGGTGTCGATGAAGCTGACATCGAATTCGTTGATGCACCTCTGCTGATCGCCATATGTGGTGGATGGCGGACGCACTGACATGATGGTGTGGTGTTCTACATCAAACTCGGGCTGTCGGTAGACCACCTCGAGCGGCTTGTCGGGGCCGAAGGTTTTAGTGAATACCTCGCTGGTTAGCACTTTGCGACTGTTGCTGCCGCTACCGGAGGATGATGAGGTAGAACTTTTTGTACTATCGCTTGATTTAATGGAACGTATTGTTATCACCTCACAGTCGTCATCAACGAGCACGGTGCTAACAGCGCCGGTGGTTGCAGTTGGTTCCCGATGCACACGTACTGTCGATGTCGAAACAACAGCGCCCGCTGCCCGCCGAATGTTGGTTAAGTCCTTGTCTGTCTTCCGGCTAACTGTGCTGACGGAGCGCACACTTCGCCTTGTACTGTTGGAGGAGCCGCTAGCACTGGTAGTGCCGCTACCTGAATTCGAACTCGATTCGTTCATAGTGTCCTTCATCTTTTTTTGAAGTTTCGGCTCCATAGAGCTATTCACGGTTCTGGTCGATGTGGTAATGGTCGTAGTTCCGCTGCCTTCACTTGTCTTGCTTACCGTTCGCTTAACTGTTTTCTTATTGTCTACCTGAGGTCTCTTTTCGGTGTCATCACTCTTGCTTAGTTTTGCTGCAGTCCTTGCACTGGAAGACACGCTAATTGGAACTTTGGTGCGCTGTATAGTGGCTGTGGTCTTTTTCTGAAGCTTGTTGTCGGTTTCTATGGAAGTTCTGTAGGCAAGTGTCTTGGCTGAATTAGCTGATTGTGTCTTCATGCTTTTGGTTGCTTGGCTCTTGGAGCCTATCACGTTTGTTTGCTTATTTTCCTTGGATGTCTGTCGTTTGTATAGGCGGTCGGTACTTCTTTTCAGGGACTCCTTGCTATCACTTTGCGAGCCTTTTGTAATCTGGGAACGGGGTTGTGTTGGTTTCTTCTCAGCAATCGTGTTCTTTTGCTTCGTTATCTGTGATGTCGACTTTGTCAAGGCACTTGTTATTAAATGTGTTCTTTGAGTACTTTTGGATTGGACCAGAGCTGTCGATTTCGTTGGTGCTGGCGACTTTGGCGGTACCGGAGAGACACTCTGGCCAATGTCGCCATCGCCACTCAAACCGTATCTCATGCTGTGGGCCAGGGTGGGCTGCATATATCTGTGCGTGGCAGACGGTGTCGGTGTTTTCCTCTTCTCAATGTTATCTTGGCTGCCAATTCGCTCAGTGTTATTTGAACTCTTTTCTGAAAGCTCTTTGATAGATCGAATGGCAGTAGTTTTAGTTTGTTTGACAATTTTCTTTTCTGACTTTGTGGCTTTGGGCTGGGGACTGAACGATCGAATCGATGCATTATACGGTATTCTTGTCACGTCAGTCTTGACCCTTGGCCTGGGGGTGTTTGAGCGACTGCCTTCACCTTGCGGATGGCTTTCATAGAAAATGGAACTAGACGCAGGGCTCGCAGACCGTTCGAAGTGTATTTCACTTATCACTCGACTTGCGCCGGAAGCTGAACTAGTGGTGGTTGAAGTTGAGCTTGTGACTGAACGTCTCGACTCAGTTTTGCTTGGTAGTTTCGTTTTGTCCGTTATTGTCTTTCTAATTTGCGTTTGCATGTTAGTGGTCATCTTTACCTTTGCAGGGGAAACAGGTGTGGTCTTAGCATCAATCTTAGGTTTTTCCCTAACCCCCACTATTTTTTTACTAACGGTAATCTTAGTCGCTGCTTTTGGGCTGGATTTTTTTACTAACCTTTCTGCCTCTAATTTAGTTACCTTTTTCTGTTGTGACTTGACTATTTGTTTCTTAACAGGAACTATCGATTTTTCTTCATTGTCCAAATTTACAAAGTATGCAACCGGACGTACTTCTTTTGCTTCTATTTGATCAACCTTAGGAGGACACACTTTATCTTCTCTCGAAATATCAGAGTTCAATTTTGCATTCTTAAGTGTTTCTTCAACTATTTGTTTAACTGAGCGATCTTCATCATCGGTTTGATCCTTTACAATGCAAAAGTTTCTCGTATGTTGAACACTCTTCAGCGTTTCATCAACAATTTTTTGTACCTCAGCATCACCAGCTCTTATAGTATCCTCAACAATCTGTTGAACAGACCTACTTTCTTGGCGGTGCGAAATAGAAATTGATTCAGCATTACTGGACTCTTGTGAAAATGATATTAGGGATGGTGACTTCGGTTCTTCCCCATGCATGGACAGGACATTTTCCGGGTGAACAGACTTTGGTTTTCCGTCAGTTAAACGGGATGGTTTATCCACAGTTCTTTTGGGCTCTGAAAATTCAAGCTGCTTATTTCTTTCGTCCAAAAACTCTTTCTGACTAGGCTTTCCTGACTCTACAGGGGACTTGGACTTGTCGTCTAGCTTTGTTGGGGCCTTATCGCTTTTTACGCTAAGAGACTGTATAAGAGACTTATCACCACCACCACAAATTAACGGAGTCACCAATGAAATCGGCTGGAAAACTGGCTTGTCTTGGGGCTTTGGAATTCCAAACTCCTCATCACTTTCGTCGTCCGCTTTTGGACTAGGCTTTCCTGACACAACTGGTGACTTGGGCTTGTCGTCTAGCTTAGTTGGAATCTTATCGACTTTTACGCTAAGAGGCTGTAGAGGAGACTTATCACCACCACCACGAATTACCGGAGTCACCAATGAAATTGGCTGGGTAACTGGATTGTCTTGGGGCTTTGGAATTCCTAACTCCTCATCACTTTCGTCGTCCGCTTTTGGACTAGGCTTTTCAGACTCAATTGGTGACTTGGGCTTGTCGTCTAGCTTATTTGGAACCTTATCGTCTTTTACGCTAAGAGGCTGTAGAGGAGACTTATCACCACAACCACCAATTACCGGAGTCACCAATGAAATTGGCTGGGTAACTGGCTTATCTTGGGGCTTTGGAATTCCTAACTCCTCATCACTTTCGTCGTCCGCTTTTGGACTAGGCTTTTCAGACTCAATTGGTGACTTGGGCTTGTCGTCTAGCTTATTTGGAACCTTATCGTCTTTTACGCTAAGAGGCTGTAGAGGAGACTTATCACCACCACCACCAATTACCGGAGTCACCAATGAAATTGGCTGGGTAACTGGCTTATCTTGGGGCTTTGGAATTTCAAACTCTTCATCATTTTCGTCGTCCGAAAACGCTTTTGGACTAGGCTTCCCTGACTCAATTGATGACTTTGGCTTGTCGTCTAGCTTTGTTGGAACCTTATCGTCTTTTACGCTAAGAGGCTCTTGAGGAGACTTATCACCAACACCACCAATTAACGGAGTGACCAATGGAATTGGCTGGGTAATTGGCTTGCCTTGGAGCTTTGGAATGCCAAACTCCTCATCACTTTCGTCGTCCGAATATGCTTTTGGACTAGACTTTCCTGACTCAATTGGTGACATTGGCTTGTCGTCTAGCCTAGTTGGAACCTCATCGTCTTTTACGCTAAGAGGTGGTAGAGGAGATTTATCACTTTCGTCATCCGAATACGCTTTTGGACTAGCCTTTCCTGACTCAACTGGTAACTTGGGCTTGTCGTCTAACTTAGTTGGAACCTTATCGTCTTTTACGCTAAGAGGCTGTAGAGGAGACTTATCACCACCACCACCAATTACCGGAGTCACCAATGAAATTGGCTGGGTAACTGGCTTGTCTTGGGGTTTTGGGATTCCAAACTCCTCATCACTTTCGTCATCCGAATACGCTTTTGGACTAGCCTTTCCTGACTCAATTGGTGACTTTGGCTTGTCGTCTAGCTTAGTTGGAACCGTATCGGCTTTTACGCTAAGGGGCTGTAGAGAAAACTTATCACCACCACCACCAATTACAGGAGTCACCAATGAAATTGGCTGGGTAACTGGCTTGTCTTGGGGCTTTGGAATTCCTAACTCCTCATCACTTTCGTCGTCCGCTTTTGGACTAGGCTTTTCAGACTCAATTGGTGACTTGGGCTTGTCGTCTAGCTTATTTGGAACCTTATCGTCTTTTACGCTAAGAGGCTGTAGAGGAGACTTATCACCACCACCACCAATTACCGGAGTCACCAATGAAATTGGCTGGGTAACTGGCTTATCTTGGGGCTTTGGAATTCCTAACTCCTCATCACTTTCGTCGTCCGAATATGGTTTTGGACTAGGCTTTCCTGACTCAATTGGTGACTTGGGCTTGTCGTCTAGCTTAGTTGGAACCTCATCGTCTTTTACGCTAAGAGGTGGTAGAGGAGATTTATCACTTTCGTCATCCGAATACGCTTTTGGACTAGCCTTTCCTGACTCAACTGGTAACTTGGGCTTGTCGTCTAACTTAGTTGGAACCTTATCGTCTTTTACGCTAAGAGGCTGTAGAGGAGACTTATCACCACCACCACCAATTACCGGAGTCACCAATGAAATTGGCTGGGTAACTGGCTTGTCTTGGGGTTTTGGGATTCCAAACTCCTCATCACTTTCGTCATCCGAATACGCTTTTGGACTAGCCTTTCCTGACTCAATTGGTGACTTTGGCTTGTCGTCTAGCTTAGTTGGAACCGTATCGGCTTTTACGCTAAGGGGCTGTAGAGAAAACTTATCACCACCACCACCAATTACAGGAGTCACCAATGAAATTGGCTGGGTAACTGGCTTGTCTTGGGGCTTTGGAATTCCTAACTCCTCATCACTTTCGTCGTCCGCTTTTGGACTAGCCTTTCCTGACTCAATTGGTGTTTTGGGCTTGTCGTCTAGCTTAGTTGGAACCTTATCGTCTTTTACGCTAAGAGGCTGTAGAGGAGACTTATCACCACCACCACCAATTACAGGAGTCACCAATGAAATTGGCTGGGTAACTGGCTTGTCTTGGGGCTTTGGAATTCCTAACTCCTCAACACTATCGTCGTCCGCTTTTGGACTAGGCTTTCCTGACTCAACTGGTGACTTGGGCTTGTCGTCTAACTTAGTTGGAACCTTATCGTCTTTTACGCTAAGAGGCTGTAGAGGAGACTTATCACCACCACCACCAATTACCGGAATCACCAATGAAATTGGCTGGGTAACTGGCTTGTCTTGGGGTTTTGGGATTCCAAACTCCTCATCACTTTCGTCATCCGAATACGCTTTTGGACTAGCCTTTCCTGACTCAACTGGTAACTTGGGCTTGTCGTCTAACTTAGTTGGAACCTTATCGTCTTTTACGCTAAGAGGCTGTAGAGGAGACTTATCACCACCACCACCAATTACCGGAGTCACCAATGAAATTGGCTGGGTAACTGGCTTGTCTTGGGGTTTTGGGATTCCAAACTCCTCATCACTTTCGTCATCCGAATACGCTTTTGGACTAGCCTTTCCTGACTCAATTGGTGACTTTGGCTTGTCGTCTAGCTTAGTTGGAACCGTATCGGCTTTTACGCTAAGGGGCTGTAGAGAAAACTTATCACCACCACCACCAATTACAGGAGTCACCAATGAAATTGGCTGGGTAACTGGCTTGTCTTGGGGCTTTGGAATTCCTAACTCCTCATCACTTTCGTCGTCCGCTTTTGGACTAGCCTTTCCTGACTCAATTGGTGTTTTGGGCTTGTCGTCTAGCTTAGTTGGAACCTTATCGTCTTTTACGCTAAGAGGCTGTAGAGGAGACTTATCACCACCACCACCAATTACAGGAGTCACCAATGAAATTGGCTGGGTAACTGGCTTGTCTTGGGGCTTTGGAATTCCTAACTCCTCAACACTATCGTCGTCCGCTTTTGGACTAGGCTTTCCTGACTCAACTGGTGACTTGGGCTTGTCGTCTAACTTAGTTGGAACCTTATCGTCTTTTACGCTAAGAGGCTGTAGAGGAGACTTATCACCACCACCACCAATTACCGGAATCACCAATGAAATTGGCTGGGTAACTGGCTTGTCTTGGGGTTTTGGGATTCCAAACTCCTCATCACTTTCGTCATCCGAATACGCTTTTGGACTAGCCTTTCCTGACTCAATTGGTGACTTTGGCTTGTCGTCTAGCTTATTTGGAACCTTATCGTCTTTTACGCTAAGAGGCTGTAGAGGAGACTTATCACCACCACCACCAATTACCGGAGTCACCAATGAAATTGGCTGGGTAACTGGCTTATCTTGGGGCTTTGGAATTCCTAACTCCTCATCACTTTCGTCGTCCGAATATGGTTTTGGACTAGGCTTTCCTGACTCAATTGGTGACTTGGGCTTGTCGTCTAGCTTAGTTGGAACCTCATCGTCTTTTACGCTAAGAGGTGGTAGAGGAGATTTATCACTTTCGTCATCCGAATACGCTTTTGGACTAGCCTTTCCTGACTCAACTGGTAACTTGGGCTTGTCGTCTAACTTAGTTGGAACCTTATCGTCTTTTACGCTAAGAGGCTGTAGAGGAGACTTATCACCACCACCACCAATTACCGGAGTCACCAATGAAATTGGCTGGGTAACTGGCTTGTCTTGGGGTTTTGGGATTCCAAACTCCTCATCACTTTCGTCATCCGAATACGCTTTTGGACTAGGCTTTCCTGACTCAATTGGTGACTTGGGCTTGTCGTCTAGCTTAGTTGGAACCTCATCGTCTTTTACGCTAAGAGGTGGTAGAGGAGATTTATCACTTTCGTCATCCGAATACGCTTTTGGACTAGCCTTTCCTGACTCAACTGGTAACTTGGGCTTGTCGTCTAACTTAGTTGGAACCTTATCGTCTTTTACGCTAAGAGGCTGTAGAGGAGACTTATCACCACCACCACCAATTACCGGAGTCACCAATGAAATTGGCTGGGTAACTGGCTTGTCTTGGGGCTTTGGAATTCCTAACTCCTCATCACTTTCGTCGTCCGCTTTTGGACTAGGCTTTTCAGACTCAATTGGTGACTTGGGCTTGTCGTCTAGCTTATTTGGAACCTTATCGTCTTTTACGCTAAGAGGCTGTAGAGGAGACTTATCACCACCACCACCAATTACCGGAGTCACCAATGAAATTGGCTGGGTAACTGGCTTATCTTGGGGCTTTGGAATTTCAAACTCTTCATCATTTTCGTCGTCCGAAAACGCTTTTGGACTAGGCTTCCCTGACTCAATTGATGACTTTGGCTTGTCGTCTAGCTTTGTTGGAACCTTATCGTCTTTTACGCTAAGAGGCTCTTGAGGAGACTTATCACCAACACCACCAATTAACGGAGTGACCAATGGAATTGGCTGGGTAATTGGCTTGCCTTGGAGCTTTGGAATGCCAAACTCCTCATCACTTTCGTCGTCCGAATATGCTTTTGGACTAGACTTTCCTGACTCAATTGGTGACATTGGCTTGTCGTCTAGCCTAGTTGGAACCTCATCGTCTTTTACGCTAAGAGGTGGTAGAGGAGATTTATCACTTTCGTCATCCGAATACGCTTTTGGACTAGCCTTTCCTGACTCAACTGGTAACTTGGGCTTGTCGTCTAACTTAGTTGGAACCTTATCGTCTTTTACGCTAAGAGGCTGTAGAGGAGACTTATCACCACCACCACCAATTACCGGAGTCACCAATGAAATTGGCTGGGTAACTGGCTTGTCTTGGGGTTTTGGGATTCCAAACTCCTCATCACTTTCGTCATCCGAATACGCTTTTGGACTAGCCTTTCCTGACTCAATTGGTGACTTTGGCTTGTCGTCTAGCTTAGTTGGAACCGTATCGGCTTTTACGCTAAGGGGCTGTAGAGAAAACTTATCACCACCACCACCAATTACAGGAGTCACCAATGAAATTGGCTGGGTAACTGGCTTGTCTTGGGGCTTTGGAATTCCTAACTCCTCATCACTTTCGTCGTCCGCTTTTGGACTAGGCTTTTCAGACTCAATTGGTGACTTGGGCTTGTCGTCTAGCTTATTTGGAACCTTATCGTCTTTTACGCTAAGAGGCTGTAGAGGAGACTTATCACCACCACCACCAATTACCGGAGTCACCAATGAAATTGGCTGGGTAACTGGCTTATCTTGGGGCTTTGGAATTCCTAACTCCTCATCACTTTCGTCGTCCGAATATGGTTTTGGACTAGGCTTTCCTGACTCAATTGGTGACTTGGGCTTGTCGTCTAGCTTAGTTGGAACCTCATCGTCTTTTACGCTAAGAGGTGGTAGAGGAGATTTATCACTTTCGTCATCCGAATACGCTTTTGGACTAGCCTTTCCTGACTCAACTGGTAACTTGGGCTTGTCGTCTAACTTAGTTGGAACCTTATCGTCTTTTACGCTAAGAGGCTGTAGAGGAGACTTATCACCACCACCACCAATTACCGGAGTCACCAATGAAATTGGCTGGGTAACTGGCTTGTCTTGGGGTTTTGGGATTCCAAACTCCTCATCACTTTCGTCATCCGAATACGCTTTTGGACTAGCCTTTCCTGACTCAATTGGTGACTTTGGCTTGTCGTCTAGCTTAGTTGGAACCGTATCGGCTTTTACGCTAAGGGGCTGTAGAGAAAACTTATCACCACCACCACCAATTACAGGAGTCACCAATGAAATTGGCTGGGTAACTGGCTTGTCTTGGGGCTTTGGAATTCCTAACTCCTCATCACTTTCGTCGTCCGCTTTTGGACTAGCCTTTCCTGACTCAATTGGTGTTTTGGGCTTGTCGTCTAGCTTAGTTGGAACCTTATCGTCTTTTACGCTAAGAGGCTGTAGAGGAGACTTATCACCACCACCACCAATTACAGGAGTCACCAATGAAATTGGCTGGGTAACTGGCTTGTCTTGGGGCTTTGGAATTCCTAACTCCTCAACACTATCGTCGTCCGCTTTTGGACTAGGCTTTCCTGACTCAACTGGTGACTTGGGCTTGTCGTCTAACTTAGTTGGAACCTTATCGTCTTTTACGCTAAGAGGCTGTAGAGGAGACTTATCACCACCACCACCAATTACCGGAATCACCAATGAAATTGGCTGGGTAACTGGCTTGTCTTGGGGTTTTGGGATTCCAAACTCCTCATCACTTTCGTCATCCGAATACGCTTTTGGACTAGCCTTTCCTGACTCAACTGGTAACTTGGGCTTGTCGTCTAACTTAGTTGGAACCTTATCGTCTTTTACGCTAAGAGGCTGTAGAGGAGACTTATCACCACCACCACCACTTACCGGAGTCACCAATGAAATTGGCTGGGTAACTGGCTTGTCTTGGGGTTTTGGGATTCCAAACTCCTCATCACTTTCGTCATCCGAATACGCTTTTGGACTAGCCTTTCCTGACTCAATTGGTGACTTTGGCTTGTCGTCTAGCTTAGTTGGAACCGTATCGGCTTTTACGCTAAGGGGCTGTAGAGAAAACTTATCACCACCACCACCAATTACAGGAGTCACCAATGAAATTGGCTGGGTAACTGGCTTGTCTTGGGGCTTTGGAATTCCTAACTCCTCATCACTTTCGTCGTCCGCTTTTGGACTAGCCTTTCCTGACTCAATTGGTGTTTTGGGCTTGTCGTCTAGCTTAGTTGGAACCTTATCGTCTTTTACGCTAAGAGGCTGTAGAGGAGACTTATCACCACCACCACCAATTACAGGAGTCACCAATGAAATTGGCTGGGTAACTGGCTTGTCTTGGGGCTTTGGAATTCCTAACTCCTCAACACTATCGTCGTCCGCTTTTGGACTAGGCTTTCCTGACTCAACTGGTGACTTGGGCTTGTCGTCTAACTTAGTTGGAACCTTATCGTCTTTTACGCTAAGAGGCTGTAGAGGAGACTTATCACCACCACCACCAATTACCGGAATCACCAATGAAATTGGCTGGGTAACTGGCTTGTCTTGGGGTTTTGGGATTCCAAACTCCTCATCACTTTCGTCATCCGAATACGCTTTTGGACTAGCCTTTCCTGACTCAATTGGTGACTTTGGCTTGTCGTCTAGCTTAGTTGGAACCGTATCGGCTTTTACGCTAAGGGGCTGTAGTGAAAACTTATCACCACCACCACCAATTACAGGAGTCACCAATGAAATTGGCTGGGTAACTGGCTTGTCTTGGGGCTTTGGAATTCCTAACTCCTCATCACTTTCGTCGTCCGCTTTTGGACTAGGCTTTTCAGACTCAATTGGTGACTTGGGCTTGTCGTCTAGCTTATTTGGAACCTTATCGTCTTTTACGCTAAGCGGCTGTAGAGGAGACTTATCACCACCACCACCAATTACCGGAGTCACCAATGAAATTGGCTGGGTAACTGGCTTATCTTGGGGCTTTGGAATTCCTAACTCCTCATCACTTTCGTCGTCCGAATATGGTTTTGGACTAGGCTTTCCTGACTCAATTGGTGACTTGGGCTTGTCGTCTAGCTTAGTTGGAACCTTATCGTCTTTTACGCTAAGAGGCTGTAGAGGAGACTTATCACCACCACCACCAATTACCGGAGTCACCAATGAAATTGGCTGGGTAACTGGCTTGTCTTGGGGCTTTGGAATTCCTAACTCCTCATCACTTTCGTCGTCCGCTTTTGGACTAGGCTTTTCAGACTCAATTGGTGACTTGGGCTTGTCGTCTAGCTTATTTGGAACCTTATCGTATTTTACGCTAAGAGGCTGTAGAGGAGACTTATCACCACCACCACCAATTACAGGAGTCACCAATGAAATTGGCTGGGTAACTGGCTTGTCTTGGGGCTTTGGAATTCCTAACTCCTCATCACTTTCGTCGTCCGCTTTTGGACTAGGCTTTTCGGACTCAATTGGTGACTTTGGCTTGTCGTCTAGCTTAGTTGGAACCTTATGGTCTTTTACGCTAAGAGGCTGTAGAGGAGACTTATCACCACCACCACCAATTACCGGAGTCACCAATGAAATTGGCTGGGTAACTGGCTTGTCTTGGGGCTTTGGAATTCCAAACACCTCATCACTTTCGTCGCCCGTTTTTGGACTAGGCTTTTCAGACTCAATTGGTGACTTGGGTTTGTCGTCTAGCTTATTTGGAACCTTATCGTCTTTTACGCTAAGAGGCTGTAGAGGAGACTTATCACCACCACCACCAATTACAGGAGTCACCAATGAAATTGGCTGGGTAACTGGCTTGTCTTGGGGCTTTGGAATTCCTAACTCCTCATCACTTTCGTCGTCCGAATACGCTTTTGAACTAGCCTTTCCTGATTCAACTGGTGACTTTGGCTTGTCTAGCTTAGTTGGAACCGTATCATCTTTTACGCTAAGAGGCTGTACAGGAGACTTATCACCACCACCACCAATTACCGGAGTCACCAATGAAATTGGCTGGGTAACTGGCTTGTCTTGGGGCTTTGGAATTCCAAACTCCTCATCACTTTCGTCGTCCGCTTTTGGACTAGGCTTTCCTGACACAACTGGTGACTTGGGGTTGTCGGCTAGCTTAGTTGGAATCTTATCGTCTTTTACGCTAAGAGGCTGTAGAGGAGACTTATCACCACCACCACCAATTACCGGAGTCACCAATGAAGTTGGCTGGGTAACTGGCTTGTCTTGGGGCTTTGGAATTCCAAACTCCTCATCACTTTCGTCGTCCGCTTTTGGACTAGGCTTTCCTGACACAACTGGTGACTTGGGCTTGTCGTCTAGCTTAGTTGGAATCTTATCATCTTTTACGCTAAGAGGCTGTACAGGAGACTTATCACCACCACCACCAATTACCGGAGTCACCAATGAAATTGGCTGGGTAACTGGCTTGTCTTGGGGCTTTGGAATTCCTAACTCCTCATCACTTTCGTCGTCCGAATACGCTTTTGGACTAGGCTTTCCTGACTCAACTGGTGACTTGGGCTTGACGTCTAGCTTAGTTGGAACCTTATCGTCTTTTACGCTAAGAGGCTGTACAGGAGACTTATCACCACCACTACCAATTAACGGAGTCACCAATGAAATTGGCTGGGTAGCTTGCTTGTCTTCGGGCTTTGAAATTTCAAACTCCTCATCACTTTCGTCGTCCGAATATGCTTTTGGACTAGGCTTTCCTGACTCAACTGGTGACTTGGGCTTGTCGTCTAGCTTAGTTGGAACCTTATCGTCTTTTACGCTAAGAGGCTGTAGAGGAGACTTATCACCACCACCACCAATTACCGGAGTCACCAATGAAATTGGCTGGGTAACTGGCTTGTCTTGGGGCTTTGGAATTCCAAACTCCTCATCACTTTCGTCGTCCGCTTTTAGACTATGCTTTCCTGACACAACTGGTGACTTGGGCTTGTCGTCTAGTTTAGTTGGAATCTTATCGACTTTTACGCTAAGAGGCTGTAGAGGAGACTTATCACCACCACACCCAATTACCGGAGTCACCAATGAAATTGGCTGGGTAACTGGCTTGTCTTCGGGCTTTGAAAATCCAAACTCCTCATCACTTTCGTCGTCCGAATACGCTTTTGGACTAGACTTTCCTGACTCAACTGGTGACTTGGGCTTGTCTAGCTTAGTTGGAACCGTATCGGCTTTTACGCTAAGGGGCTGTAGACTAGACTTATCACCACCACCACCAATTACCGGAGTCACCAATGAAATTGGCTGGGTAACTGGCTTGTCTTGGGGCTTTGGAATTCCAAACTCCTCATCACTTTCGTCGTCCGCTTTTGGACTAGGCTTTCCTGACACAACTGGTGACTTGGGCTTGTCGTCTAGCTTAGTTGGAATCTTATCGTCTTTTACGCTAAGAGGTTGTAGAGGAGACTTATCACCACCACCACCAATTACCGGAGTCACCAATGAAATTGGCTGGGTAACTGGCTTGTCTTGGGGCTTTGGAATTCCTAACTCCTCATCACTTTCGTCGTCCGAATACGCTTTTGGACTAGGCTTTCCTGACTCAACTGGTGACTTGGGCTTGTCGTCTAGCTTAGTTGGAACCTTATCGTCTTTTACGCTAAGAGGCTGTACAGGAGACTTATCACCACCACTACCAATTAACGGAGTCACCAATGAAATTGGCTGGGTAGCTTGCTTGTCTTCGGGCTTTGAAATTTCAAACTCCTCATCACTTTCGTCGTCCGAATATGCTTTTGGACTAGGCTTTCCTGACTCAACTGGTGACTTGGGCTTGTCGTCTAGCTTAGTTGGAACCTTATCGTCTTTTACGCTAAGAGGCTGTACAGGAGACTTATCACCACCACTACCACTTAACGGAGTCACCAATGAAATTGGCTGGGTAGCTTGCTTGTCTTCGGGCTTTGAAATTTCAAACTCCTCATCACTTTCGTCGTCCGAATATGCTTTTGGACTAGGCTTTCCTGACTCAACTGGTGACTTGGGCTTGTCGTCTAGCTTAGTTGGAACCTTATCGTCTTTTACGCTAAGAGGCTGTACAGGAGACTTATCACCACCACCACCAATTACCGGAGTCACCAATGAAATTGGCTGGGTAACTGGCTTTTCTTCGGGCTTTGGAATTCCTAACTCCTCATCACATTCATCGTCCGAATATGCTTTTGGACTAGGCTTTCCTGACTCAACTGGTGACTTGGGCTTGTCGTCTAGCTTATTTGGAACCTTATCGTCTTTTACGCTAAGAGGCTGTAGAGGAGACTTATCACCACCACCACCAATTACAGGAGTCACCAATGAAATTGGCTGGGTAACTGGCTTGTCTTGGGGCTTTGGAATTCCTAACTCCTCATCACTTTCGTCGTCCGAATACGCTTTTGAACTAGCCTTTCCTGATTCAACTGGTGACTTTGGCTTGTCTAGCTTAGTTGGAACCGTATCATCTTTTACGCTAAGAGGCTGTACAGGAGACTTATCACCACCACTTCCAATTAACGGAGTCACCAATGAAATTGGCTGGGTAGCTTGCTTGTCTTCGGGCTTTGAAATTTCAAACTCCTCATCACTTTCGTCGTCCGAATATGCTTTTGGACTAGGCTTTCCTGACACAACTGGTGACTTGGGCTTGTCGTCTAGCTTAGTTGGAACCTTATCGTCTTTTACGCTAAGAGGCTGTAAAGGAGACTTATCACCACCATCACCTATTACCGGAGTCACCAATGAAATTGGCTGGGTAACTGGCTTTTCTTCGGGCTTTGGAATTCCTAACTCCTCATCACATTCGTCGTCCGAATATGCTTTTGGACTAGGCTTTCCTGACTCAACTGGTGACTTGGGCTTGTCGTCTAGCTTAGTTGGAACCTTATCGTCTTTTACGCTAAGAGGCTGTACAGGAGACTTATCACCACCACTACCAATTAACGGAGTCACCAATGAAATTGGCTGGGTAGCTTGCTTGTCTTCGGGCTTTGAAATTTCAAACTCCTCATCACTTTCGTCGTCCGAATATGCTTTTGGACTAGGCTTTCCTGACTCAACTGGTGACTTGGGCTTGTCGTCTAGCTTAGTTGGAACCTTATCGTCTTTTACGCTAAGAGGCTGTACAGGAGACTTATCACCACCACTACCACTTAACGGAGTCACCAATGAAATTGGCTGGGTAGCTTGCTTGTCTTCGGGCTTTGAAATTTCAAACTCCTTATCACTTTCGTCGTCCGAATATGCTTTTGGACTAGGCTTTCCTGACTCAACTGGTGACTTGGGCTTGTCGTCTAGCTTAGTTGGAACCTTATCGTCTTTTACGCTAAGAGGCTGTACAGGAGACTTATCACCACCACCACCAATTACCGGAGTCACCAATGAAATTGGCTGGGTAACTGGCTTTTCTTCGGGCTTTGGAATTCCTAACTCCTCATCACATTCATCGTCCGAATATGCTTTTGGACTAGGCTTTCCTGACTCAACTGGTGACTTGGGCTTGTCGTCTAGCTTATTTGGAACCTTATCGTCTTTTACGCTAAGAGGCTGTAGAGGAGACTTATCACCACCACCACCAATTACAGGAGTCACCAATGAAATTGGCTGGGTAACTGGCTTGTCTTGGGGCTTTGGAATTCCTAACTCCTCATCACTTTCGTCGTCCGAATACGCTTTTGAACTAGCCTTTCCTGATTCAACTGGTGACTTTGGCTTGTCTAGCTTAGTTGGAACCGTATCATCTTTTACGCTAAGAGGCTGTACAGGAGACTTATCACCACCACTTCCAATTAACGGAGTCACCAATGAAATTGGCTGGGTAGCTTGCTTGTCTTCGGGCTTTGAAATTTCAAACTCCTCATCACTTTCGTCGTCCGAATATGCTTTTGGACTAGGCTTTCCTGACACAACTGGTGACTTGGGCTTGTCGTCTAGCTTAGTTGGAACCTTATCGTCTTTTACGCTAAGAGGCTGTAAAGGAGACTTATCACCACCATCACCTATTACCGGAGTCACCAATGAAATTGGCTGGGTAACTGGCTTTTCTTCGGGCTTTGGAATTCCTAACTCCTCATCACATTCGTCGTCCGAATATGCTTTTGGACTAGGCTTTCCTGACTCAACTGGTGACTTGGGCTTGTCGTCTAGCTTAGTTGGAACCTTATCGTCTTTTACGCTAAGAGGCTGTACAGGAGACTTATCACCACCACTACCAATTAACGGAGTCACCAATGAAATTGGCTGGGTAGCTTGCTTGTCTTCGGGCTTTGAAATTTCAAACTCCTCATCACTTTCGTCGTCCGAATATGCATTTGGACTAGGCTTTCCTGACTCAACTGGTGACTTGGGCTTGTCGTCTAGCTTAGTTGGAACCTTATCGTCTTTTCCGCTAAGAGGCTGTACAGGAGACTTATCACCACCACCACCAATTACCGGAGTCACCAATGAAATTGGCTGGGTAACTGGCTTTTCTTCGGGCTTTGGAATTCCTAACTCCTCATCACTTTCGTCTTCCGAATATGCTTTTGGGCTAGACTTTCCTGACTCAACTGGTGACTTGGGCTTGTCGTCTAGCTCAGTTGTAACCTCATCGTGTTTTACGCTAAGAGGATGTAGAGGAGACTTATCACCACCAGCACCAATTACCGGAGTCACCAATGAAATTGGCTGGGTAACTGGCTTGTCTTGGGGCTTTGGAATTCCTAACTCCTCATCACATTCGTCGTCCGAATATGCTTTTGGACTAGGCTTTCCTGACTCAACTGGTGACTTGGGCTTGTCGTCTAGCTTAGTTGGAACCTTATCGTCTTTTACGCTAAGAGGCTGTACAGGAGACTTATCACCACCACCACCAATTACCGGAGTCACCAATGAAATTGGCTGGGTAACTGGCTTTTCTTCGGGCTTTGGAATTCCTAACTCCTCATCACATTCGTCGTCCGAATATGCTTTTGGACTAGGCTTTCCTGACTCAACTGGTGACTTGGGCTTGTCGTCTAGCTTAGTTGGAACCTTATCGTCTTTTACGCTAAGAGGCTGTACAGGAGACTTATCACCACCACTACCAATTAACGGAGTCACCAATGAAATTGGCTGGGTAGCTTGCTTGTCTTCGGGCTTTGGAATTCCAAACTCCTCATCACTTTCGTCGTCCGAATATGCTTTTGGACTAGCCTTTCCTGACTCAACTGGTGACTTTGGCTTGTCGTCTAGCTTAGTTGGAACCTCATCGTGTTTTACGCTAAGAGACTGTAGAGGAAACTTATCACCACCACCACCAATTACAGGAGTGACCAATGAAATTGGCTGGGTAATTGGCTTGTCTTGGGGCTTTGGAATTCCTAACTCCTCATCACTTTCGTCGTCCGAATACGCTTTTGGACTAGCCTTTCCTGACTCAACTGGTGACTTGGGCTTGTCGTCTAGCTTAGTTGGAACCTTATCGTCTTTTACGCTAAGAGGATGTAGAGGAGACTTATCACCACCAGCACCAATTACCGGAGTCACCAATGAAATTGGTTGGGTAACTGGCTTGTCTTGGGGCTTTGGAATTCCTAACTCCTCATCACATTCGTCGTCCGAATATGCTTTTGGACTAGGCTTTCCTGACTCAACTGGTGACTTGGGCTTGTCGTCTAGCTTAGTTGGAACCTTATCGTCTTTTACGCTAAGAGGCTGTACAGGTAACTTATCACCACCACTACCAATTAACGGAGTCACCAATGAAATGGGCTGGGTAACTTGTTTGTCTTCGGGCTTTGGAATTCCAAACTCCTCATCACTTTCGTCGTCCGAATACGCTTTTAGACTAGCCTTTCCTGACTCAATTGGCGACTTGGGCTTGTCGTCTAGCTTAGTTGGAACCTTATCGTCTTTTACGCTAAGAGGCTGTAGAGGTAACTTATCACCACTACCACCAATTACAGGAGTCACCAATGAAATTGGCTGGGTAACTTGTTTGTCTTCGGGCTTTGGAATTCCAAACTCCTCATCACTTTCGTCGTCCGAATATGCTTTTGGACTAGCCTTTTCTGACTCAACTGGTGACTTTGGCTTGTCGTCTAGCTTAGTTGGAACCTCATCGTGTTTTACGCTAAGAGACTGTAGAGGAAACTTATCACCACCACCACCAATTACAGGAGTGACCAATGAAATTGGCTGGGTAATTGGCTTGTCTTGGGGCTTTGGAATTCCTAACTCCTCATCACTTTCGTCGTCCGAATACGCTTTTGGACTAGCCTTTCCTGACTCAATTGGTGACTTTGGCTTGTCGACTAGCTTAGTTGGAACCTCATCGTGTTTTACGCTAAGAGACTGTAGAGGAAACTTATCACCACCACCACCAATTACCGGAGTGACCAATGAAATTGGCTGGGTAACTGGCTTTTCTTCGGGCTTTGATATTCCATACTCCTCATCACTTTCGTCGTCCGCTTTTGGACTAGGCTTTCCTGACACAACTGGTGACTTGGGCTTGTCGTCTAGCTTAGTTGTAATCTTATCGTCTTTTACGCTAAGAGGCTGTAGAGGAGACTTATCACCACCACCACCAATTACCGGAGTCACCAATGAAATTGGCTGGGTAACTGGCTTGTCTTGGGGCTTTTGAATTCCAAACTCCTCATCACTTTCGTCGTCCGAATACGCTTTTGGACCAGCCTTTCCTGTCTCAACTGGTGACTTGGGCTTGTCGTCTAGCTTAGCTGGAATCTTATCGTCTTTTACGCTAAGAGGCTGTAGAGGAGACGTATCACCACCACCACCAATTACCGGAGTGACCAATGAAATTGGCTGGGTAACTGGCTTGTCTTGGGGCTTTGGAATTCCAAACTCTTCATCACTTTCGTCGTCCGCTTTTGGACTAGGCTTTTCAGACGCAATTGGTGACTTGAGCTTGTCGTCTAGCTTATTTGGAACCTTATCGTCTTTTACGCTAAGAGGCTGTAGCGAAGACTTATCACCACCACCACCAATTAACGGAGTCATCACTGAAATTGGCTGGGTAACTGGCTTGTCTTGGGGCTTTGGAATTCCTAACTCCTCATCACTTTCGTCGTCCGAATACGCTTTTGGACTAGCCTTTCCTGACTCAACTGGTGACTTTGGCTTGTTGTCTAGCTTAGTTGGAATCTTATCGTCTTTTACGCTAAGAGGCTGTAGAGGAGACTTATCACCACCACCACCAATTACCGGAGTGACCAATAAAATTGGCTGGGTAACTGGCTTGTCTTGGGGCTTTGGAATTCCAAACTCCTCATCACTTTCGTCGTGCGAATACGGTTTTGGACTAGCCTTTCCTGACTCAACTGGTGACTTAGGCTTTTCGTCTAGCTTAGTTGGAACCTTATCGTCTTTTACGCTAAGAGGCTGTAGAGGAGACTTATCACCACCACCACCAATTACCGGAGTCACCAATGAAATTGGCTGGGTAACTGGCTTGTCTTCTGGCTTTGAAATTCCAAACTCCTCATCACTTTCGTCGTCCGAATACGCTTTTGGACTAGCCTTTCCTGACTCAACTGGTGACTTGGGCTTGTCGTCTAGCTTAGTTAAAACCTTATCGTCTTTTGCGCTAAGAGGCTGTTGAGGAGACTTATCACCACCACCACCAATTACCGGAGTCACCAATGAAATTGGCTGGGTAACTGGCTTGTCTTGGGGCTTTGGAATTCCAAACTCCTCATCACTTTCGTCGTCCGCTTTTGGACTAGGCTTTCCTGACACAACTGGTGACTTGGGCTTGTCGTCTAGCTTAGTTGGAATCTTATCGTCTTTTACGCTAAGAGGCTGTAGAGGAGATTTATCACCACCACCACCAATTTCCGGAGTCACCAATGAAATGGGCTGGGTAACTTGATTGTCTGCGAGCTTTGGAATTCCTAACTCCTCATCACTTTCGTCGTCCGAATACGCTTTTGGACTAGCCTTTCCTGACTCAACTGGTGACTTGGGCTTGTCGTCTAGCTTAGTTGGAACCTTATCGTCTTTTACGCTAAGAGGCTGTAGAGGAGACTTATCACCACCACCACCAATTACCGGAGTCACCAATGAAATTGGCTGGGTAACTGGCTTGTCTTGGGGCCTTGGAATTCCTAACTCCTCATCACTTTCGTCGTCCGAATACGCTTTTGGACTAGCCTTTCCTGACTCAACTGGTGACTTGGGCTTGTCGTCTAGCTTAGTTGGAACCTTATCGTCTTTTACGCTATGAGGCTGTACAGGAGACTTATCACCACCACCACCAATTACCGGAGTCACCAATGAAATGGGCTGGGTAACTTGATTGTCTTCGGGCTTTGGAATTCCTAACTCCTCATCACTTTCGTCGTCCGAATACGCTTTTGGACTAGCCTTTCCTGACTCAACTGGTGACTTGGGCTTGTCGTCTAGCTTAGTTGGAACCTTATCGTATTTTACGCTAAGAGGCTGTAGAGGAGACTTATCACCACCACCACCAATTACCGGAGTCACCAATGAAATGGGGTGGGTAACTTGATTGTCTTCGAGCTTTGGAATTCCTAACTCCTCATCACTTTCGTCGTCCGAATACGCTTTTGGACTAGCCTTTCCTGACTCAACTGGTGACTTGGGCTTGTCGTCTAGCTTAGTTGGAACCTTATCGTCTTTTACTCTAAGAGGCTGTAGAGGTAACTTATCACCACTACCACCAATTAAAGGAGTCACCAATGAAATTGGCTGGGTAACTTGTTTGTCTTCGGGCTTTGGAATTCCAAACTCCTCATCACTTTCGTCGTCCGAATACGCTTTTAGACTAGGCTTTCCTGACTCAACTGGTGACTTGGGCTTATCGTCTAGCTTAGTTGGAACCTTATCGGCTTTTACGCTAAGAGGCTGTAGAGGAGACCTATCACCACCACCACCAATTACCGGAGTCACCAATGAAATGGGCTGGGTAACTTGTTTGTCTTGGGGCTTTGGAATTCCAAACTCCTCATCACTTTTGTCGTACGAATACGCTTTTGGACTAGCCTTTCCTGACTCAACTGGTGACTTGGGCTTGTCGTCTAGCTTAGGTGAAACCTTATCGTCTTTTACGCTAAGAGGCTGTACAGGAGACTTATCACCACCACCACCAATTACCGGAGTCACCAATGAAATTGGCTGGGTAACTGGCTTGTCTTGGGGCTTTGGAATTCCAAACTCCTCATCACTTTCGTCGTCCGAATACGCTTTTGGACTAGCCTTTCCTGACTCAACTGGTGACTTGGGCTTGTCGTCTAGCTTAGTTGGAACCTTATCGTCTTTTACGCTATGAGGCTGTACAGGAGACTTATCACCACCACTACCAATTACCGGAGTCACCAATGAAATGGGCTGGGTAACTTGATTGTCTTCGGGCTTTGGAATTCCTAACTCCTCATCACTTTCGTCGCCCGAATACGCTTTTGGACTAGCCTTTCCTGACTCAACTGGTGACTTGGGCTTGTCGTCTAGCTTAGTTGGAACCTTATCGTCTTTTACGCTAAGAGGATGTAGAGGTAATTTATCACCACCACCACCAATTACCGGAGTCACCAATGAAATGGGCTGGGTAACTTGTTTGTCTTGGGGCTTTGGAATTCCAAACTCCTCATCACTTTCGTCGTACGAATACGCTTTTGGACTAGCCTTTCCTGACTCAACTGGTGACTTGGGCTTGTCGTCTAGCTTAGTTGGAACCTTATCGTCTTTTACGCTAAGAGGCTGTACAGGAGACTTATCACCAACACCACCAATTAACGGAGTCACCAATGAAATTGGCTTGGTAGCTGGCTTGTCTTGAGGCTGTGGAATTCCTGACTCCTCATCACTTTCGTCGTCCGAAAATGGTTTTGGACTAGGCTTTCCTGACACAACTGGTGACTTGGGCTTATCGTCTAGCTTAATTGGAACCTTATCGCCTTTTATGCTAAGAGGCTGTAGAGGAGACTTATCACCACCACCACCAATTACTGGAGTCACCAATGAAATTGGCTGGGTAACTGGCTTGTCTTCGGGCTTTGGAATTCCTAACTCCTCATCACTTTCGTCGTTCGAATACGGTTTTAGACAAGGCTTTCCTGACTTAACTGGTGACTTGGGCTTTTCGTCTAGCTTAGGTGAAACCTTGTCGCCACCACTACCAATTAACGGAGTCACCAATGTAATTGGCTGGGTAACTTGTTTGTCTTCGGGATTTGGAATTCCAAACTCCTCATCACTTTCGTCGTCCGAATACGCTTTTGGACTAGCCTTTCCTGACTCAACTGGTGACTTGGGCTTGTCGTCTAGCTTAGTTGGAACCTTATCGTCTTTTACGCTAAGAGGCTGTAGAGGAGACTTATCACCACCACCACCAATTACCGGAGTCACCAATGAAATTGGCTGGGTAACTGGCTTGTCTTCTGGCTTTGAAATTCCAAACTCCTCATCACTTTCGTCGTCCGAATACGCTTTTGGACTAGCCTTTCCTGACTCAACTGGTGACTTGGGCTTGTCGTCTAGCTTAGTTGGAACCTTATCGTCTTTTACGCTAAGAGGCTGTAGAGGGAGACTTATCACCACCACCACCAATTACCGGAGTCACCAATGAAATTGGCTGGGTAACTTGTTTGTCTTCGGGCTTTGGAATTCCAAACTCCTCATCACTTTCGTCGTGCGAATACGGTTTTGGACTAGCCTTTCCTGACTCAACTGGTGACTTAGGCTTTTCGTCTAGCTTAGTTGGAACCTTATCGTCTTTTACGCTAAGAGGCTGTAGAGGAGACTTATCACCACCACCACCAATTACCGGAGTCACCAATGAAATGGGCTGGGTAACTTGTTTGTCTTCGGGCTTTGGAATTCCAAACTCCTCATCACTTTCGTCGTCCGAATACGCTTTTGGACTAGCCTTTCCTGACTCAATTGGTGTTTTGGGCTTGTCGTCTAGCTTAGTTGGAACCTTATCGTCTTTTTCGCTAAGAGGCTGTAGAGGTAATTTATCACCACCACCACCAATTACCGGAGTCACCAATGAAATGGGCTGGGTAACTTGTTTGTCTTGGGGCTTTGGAATTCCAAACTCCTCATCACTTTCGTCGTACGAATACGCTTTTGGACTAGCCTTTCCTGACTCAACTGGTGACTTGGGCTTGTCGTCTAGCTTAGTTGGAACCTTATCGTCTTTTACGCTAAGAGGCTGTACAGGAGACTTATCACCACCACCACCAATTACCGGAGTCACCAATGAAATTGGCTGGGTAACTGGCTTGTCTTGGGGCTTTGGAATTCCAAACTCCTCATCACTTTCGTCGTCCGAATACGCTTTTGGACTAGCCTTTCCTGACTCAACTGGTGACTTGGGCTTGTCGTCTAGCTTAGGTGAAACCTTATCGTCTTTTACGCTAAGAGGCTGTACAGGAGACTTATCACCACCACCACCAATTACCGGAGTCACCAATGAAATTGGCTGGGTAACTGGCTTGTCTTGGGGCTTTGGAATTCCAAACTCCTCATCACTTTCGTCGTCCGAATACGCTTTTGGACTAGCCTTTCCTGACTCAACTGGTGACTTGGGCTTGTCGTCTAGCTTAGTTGGAACCTTATCGTCTTTTACGTTATGAGGCTGTACAGGAGACTTATCACCACCACCACCAATTACCGGAGTCACCAATGAAATGGGCTGGGTAACTTGATTGTCTTCGGGCTTTGGAATTCCTAACTCCTCATCACTTTCGTCGCCCGAATACGCTTTTGGACTAGCCTTTCCTGACTCAACTGGTGACTTGGGCTTGTCGTCTAGCTTAGTTGGAACCTTATCGTCTTTTACGCTAAGAGGCTGTAGAGGTAATTTATCTTCACCACCACCAATTACCGGAGTCACCAATGAAATGGGCTGGGTAACTTGTTTGTCTTGGGGCTTTGGAATTCCAAACTCCTCATCACTTTCGTCGTACGAATACGCTTTTGGACTAGCCTTTCCTGACTCAACTGGTGACTTGGGCTTGTCGTCTAGCTTAGTTGGAACCTTATCGTCTTTTACGCTAAGAGGCTCTACAGGAGACTTATCACCAACACCACCAATTAACGGAGTCACCAATGAAATTGGCTTGGTAGCTGGCTTGTCTTGAGGCTGTGGAATTCCTGACTCCTCATCACTTTCGTCGTCCGAAAATGGTTTTGGACTAGGCTTTCCTGACACAACTGGTGACTTGGGCTTATCGTCTAGCTTAATTGGAACCTTATCGCCTTTTATGCTAAGAGGCTGTAGAGGAGACTTATCACCACCACCACCAATTACTGGAGTCACCAATGAAATTGGCTGGGTAACTGGCTTGTCTTCGGGCTTTGGAATTCCTAACTCCTCATCACTTTCGTCGTTCGAATACGGTTTTAGACAAGGCTTTCCTGACTTAACTGGTGACTTGGGCTTTTCGTCTAGCTTAGGTGAAACCTTGTCGCCACCACTACCAATTAACGGAGTCACCAATGTAATTGGCTGGGTAACTTGTTTGTCTTCGGGCTTTGGAATTCCAAACTCCTCATCACTTTCGTCGTCCGAATACGCTTTTGGACTAGCCTTTCCTGACTCAACTGGTGACTTGGGCTTGTCGTCTAGCTTAGTTGGAACCTTATCGTCTTTTACGCTAAGAGGCTGTAGAGGAGACTTATCACCACCACCACCAATTACCGGAGTCACCAATGAAATTGGCTGGGTAACTGGCTTGTCTTCTGGCTTTGAAATTCCAAACTCCTCATCACTTTCGTCGTCCGAATACGCTTTTGGACTAGCCTTTCCTGACTCAACTGGTGACTTGGGCTTGTCGTCTAGCTTAGTTGGAACCTTATCGTCTTTTACGCTAAGAGGCTGTAGAGGAGACTTATCACCACCACCACCAATTACCGGAGTCACCAATGAAATTGGCTGGGTAACTTGTTTGTCTTCGGGCTTTGGAATTCCAAACTCCTCATCACTTTCGTCGTGCGAATACGGTTTTGGACTAGCCTTTCCTGACTCAACTGGTGACTTAGGCTTTTCGTCTAGCTTAGTTGGAACCTTATCGTCTTTTACGCTAAGAGGCTGTAGAGGAGACTTATCACCACCACCACCAATTACCGGAGTCACCAATGAAATGGGCTGGGTAACTTGTTTGTCTTCGGGCTTTGGAATTCCAAACTCCTCATCACTTTCGTCGTCCGAATACGCTTTTGGACTAGCCTTTCCTGACTCAATTGGTGTTTTGGGCTTGTCGTCTAGCTTAGTTGGAACCTTATCGTCTTTTTCGCTAAGAGGCTGTAGAGGAGAGTTATCACCACCACCACCAATTAAAGGAGTCACCAATGAAATGGGCTGGGTAATTTGTTTGTCTTCGGGATTTGGAATTCCAAACTCCTCATCACTTTCGTCGTCCGAATACGCTTTTAGACTAGCCTTTCCTGACTCAACTGGTGACTTAGGCTTATCGCCTAGCTTAGTTGGAACCTTATCGTCTTTTACGCTAAGAGGCTGTAGAGGAGACTTATCACCACCACCACCAATTACCGGAGTCACATCACTTTCGTCGTCCGAATACGCTTTTGGACTAGCCTTTCCTGACTCAACTGGTGACTTGGGCTTGTCGTCTAGCTTAGTTGGAACCTTATCGTCTTTTACGCTAAGAGGCTGTAGAGGAGACTTATCACCACCACCACCAATTACCGGAGTCACCAATGAAATTGGCTGGGTAACTTGTTTGTCTTCGGGCTTTGGAATTCCAAACTCCTCATCACTTTCGTCGTGCGAATACGGTTTTGGACTAGCCTTTCCTGACTCAACTGGTGACTTAGGCTTTTCGTCTAGCTTAGTTGGAACCTTATCGTCTTTTACGCTAAGAGGCTGTAGAGGAGACTTATCACCACCACCACCAATTACCGGAGTCACCAATGAAATGGGCTGGGTAACTTGTTTGTCTTCGGGCTTTGGAATTCCAAACTCCTCATCACTTTCGTCGTCCGAATACGCTTTTGGACTAGCCTTTCCTGACTCAATTGGTGTTTTGGGCTTGTCGTCTAGCTTAGTTGGAACCTTATCGTCTTTTTCGCTAAGAGGCTGTAGAGGAGAGTTATCACCACCACCACCAATTAAAGGAGTCACCAATGAAATGGGCTGGGTAATTTGTTTGTCTTCGGGATTTGGAATTCCAAACTCCTCATCACTTTCGTCGTCCGAATACGCTTTTAGACTAGCCTTTCCTGACTCAACTGGTGACTTAGGCTTATCGCCTAGCTTAGTTGGAACCTTATCGTCTTTTACGCTAAGAGGCTGTAGAGGAGACTTATCACCACCACCACCAATTACCGGAGTCACCAATGAAATGGGCTGGGTAACTTGTTTGTCTTGGGGCTTTGGAATTCCAAACTCTCCATCACTTTCGTCGTCCGAATACGGTTTTGGACTAGCCTTTCCTGACTCAACTGGTGACTTGGGCTTGTCGTCTAGCTTAGTTGGAACCTTATCGTCTTTTACGCTAAGAGGCTGTAGAGGAGACTTATCACCACCACCACCAATTACCGGAGTCACCAATGAAATGGGCTGGGTAACTTGTTTGTCTTCCGGCTTTGGAATTCCAAACTCCTCATCACTTTCGTCGTCCGAATACGCTTTTGGACTAGCCTTTCCTGACTCAACTGGTGACTTGGGCTTGTCGTCTAGCTTAGTTGGAACCTTATCGTCTTTTACGCTAAGAGGCTGTAGAGGAGACTTATCACCACCACCACCAATTACCGGAGTCACCAATAAAATTGGCTGGGTAACTTGTTTGTCTTGGGGCTTTGGAATTCCTAACTCCTCATCACTTTCGTCGTCCGAATACGCCTTTGGGCTAGCCTTTCCTGACTCAACTGGTGACTTGGGCTTGTCGTCTAGCTTAGTTGGAACCTTATCGTCTTTTACGTTAAGAGGCTGTAGGGGAGACTTATCACCACCACCACCAATAACCGGAGTCACCAATGAAATGGGCTGGGTAACTTGTTTGTCTTCGGGCTTTGGAATTCCAAACTCCTCATCACTTTCGTCGTCCGAATACGCTTTTGCACTAGCCTTTCCTGACTCAACTGGTGACTTTGGCTTGTCGTCTAGCTTAGTTGGAACCTTATCGTCTTTTACGCTAAGAGGCTGTAGAGGAGACTTATCACCACCACCACCAATTACCGGAGTCACCAATGAAATGGGCTGGGTAACTTGTTTGTCTTCCGGCTTTGGAATGCCAAACTCCTCATCACTTTCGTCGTCCGAATACGCTTTTGGACTAGCCTTTCCTGACTCAACTGGTGACTTGGGCTTTTCGTCTAGCTTAGTTGGAACCTTATCGTCTTTTACGCTAAGAGGCTGTAGGGGAGACTTATCACCACCACCACCAATAACCGGAGTCACCAATGAAATGGGCTGGGTAACTTGTTTGTCTTCGGGCTTTGGAATTCCAAACTCCTCATCACTTTCGTCGTCCGAATACGCTTTTGCACTAGCCTTTCCTGACTCAACTGGCGACTTGGGCTTGTCGTCTAGCTTAGTTGGAACCTTATCGTCTTTTACGCTAAGAGGCTGTAGAGGAGACTTATCACCACCACCACCAATTACCGGAGTCACCAATGAAATGGGCTGGGTAACTTGTTTGTCTTCGGGCTTTGGAATTCCAAACTCCTCATCACTTTCGTCGTCCGAATACGCTTTTGGACTAGCCTTTCCTGACTCAACTGGTGACTTGGGCTTGTCGTCTAGCTTAGTTGGAACCTTATCGTCTTTTACGCTAAGAGGCTGTAGAGGTAATTTATCACCACCACCACCAATTACCGGAGTCACCAATGAAATGGGCTGGGTAACTTGTTTGTCTTGGGGCTTTGGAATTCCAAACTCCTCATCACTTTCGTCGTCCGAATACGGTTTTGGACTAGCCTTTCCTGACTCAACTGGTGACTTGGGCTTGTCGTCTAGCTTAGTTGGAACCTTATCGTCTTTTACGCTAAGAGGCTGTAGAGGAGACTTATCACCACCACCACCAATTACCGGAGTCACCAATGAAATGGGCTGGGTAACTTGTTTGTCTTCCGGCTTTGGAATTCCAAACTCCTCATCACTTTCGTCGTCCGAATACGCTTTTGGACTAGCCTTTCCTGACTCAACTGGTGACTTGGGCTTGTCGTCTAGCTTAGTTGGAACCTTATCGTCTTTTACGCTAAGAGGCTGTAGAGGAGACTTATCACCACCACCACCAATTACCGGAGTCACCAATGAAATTGGCTGGGTAACTTGTTTGTCTTGGGGCTTTGGAATTCCTAACTCCTCATCACTTTCGTCGTCCGAATACGCCTTTGGACTAGCCTTTCCTGACTCAACTGGTGACTTGGGCTTGTCGTCTAGCTTAGTTGGAACCTTATCGTCTTTTACGTTAAGAGGCTGTAGGGGAGACTTATCACCACCACCACCAATAACCGGAGTCACCAATGAAATGGGCTGGGTAACTTGTTTGTCTTCGGGCTTTGGAATTCCAAACTCCTCATCACTTTCGTCGTACGAATACGCTTTTGGACTAGCCTTTCCTGACTCAACTGGTGACTTGGGCTTGTCGTCTAGCTTAGTTGGAACCTTATCGTCTTTTACGCTAAGAGGCTGTAGAGGAGACTTATCACCACCACCACCAATTACCGGAGTCACCAATGAAATGGGCTGGGTAACTTGATTGTCTTCGGGCTTTGGAATTCCAAACTCCTCACCTAACACCTTATCGTCTTTTACGCTAAGAGGCTGTAGAGGAGACTTATCACCACCACCACCAATTACCGGAGTCACCAATGAAATTGGCTGGGTAACTTGTTTGTCTTGGGGCATTGGAATTCCTAACTCCTCATCACTTTCGTCGTCCGAATACGCCTTTGGACTAGCCTTTCCTGACTCAACTGGTGACTTGGGCTTGTCGTCTAGCTTAGTTGGAACCTTATCGTCTTTTACGTTAAGAGGCTGTAGGGGAGACTTATCACCACCACCACCAATAACCGGAGTCACCAATGAAATGGGCTGGGTAACTTGTTTGTCTTCGGGCTTTGGAATTCCAAACTCCTCATCACTTTCGTCGTCCGAATACGCTTTTGGACTAGCCTTTCCTGACTCAACTGGTGACTTGGGCTTGTCGTCTAGCTTAGTTGGAACCTTATCGTCTTTTACGCTAAGAGGCTGTACAGGAGACTTATCACCACCACCACCAATTACCAGAGTAACCAATGAAATGGGCTGGGTAACTTGTTTGTCTTCCGTCTTTGGAATTCCAAACTCCTCATCACTTTCGTCGTCCGAATACGCTTTTGGACTAGCCATTCCTGACTCAACTGGTGAGTTGGGCTTTTCGTCTAGCTTAGTTGGAACCTTATCGTCTTTTACGCTAAGAGGCTGTAGAGGAGACTTATCACCACCACCACCAATTACCGGAGTCACCAATGAAATGGGCTGGGTAACTTGATTGTCTTCGGGCTTTGGAATTCCTAACTCCTCATCACTTTCGTCGTCCGAATACGCTTTTGGACTAGCCTTTCCTGACTCAACTGGTGACTTGGGCTTGTAGTCTAGCTTAGTTGGAACCTTATCGTCTTTTACGCTAAGAGGCTGTAGAGGAGACTTATCACCACCACCACCAATTACCGGAGTCACCAATGAAATTGGCTGGGTAACTTGTTTGTCTTGGGGCATTGGAATTCCTAACTCCTCATCACTTTCGTCGTCCGAATACGCCTTTGGACTAGCCTTTCCTGACTCAACTGGTGACTTGGGCTTGTCGTCTAGCTTAGTTGGAACCTTATCGTCTTTTACGTTAAGAGGCTGTAGGGGAGACTTATCACCACCACCACCAATAACCGGAGTCACCAATGAAATGGGCTGGGTAACTTGTTTGTCTTCGGGCTTTGGAATTCCAAACTCCTCATCACTTTCGTCGTCCGAATACGCTTTTGGACTAGCCTTTCCTGACTCAACTGGTGACTTGGGCTTGTCGTCTAGCTTAGTTGGAACCTTATCGTCTTTACGCTAAGAGGCTGTACAGGAGACTTATCACCACCACCACCAATTACCAGAGTAACCAATGAAATGGGCTGGGTAACTTGTTTGTCTTCCGTCTTTGGAATTCCAAACTCCTCATCACTTTCGTCGTCCGAATACGCTTTTGGACTAGCCATTCCTGACTCAACTGGTGAGTTGGGCTTTTCGTCTAGCTTAGTTGGAACCTTATCGTCTTTTACGCTAAGAGGCTGTAGAGGAGACTTATCACCACCACCACCAATTACCGGAGTCACCAATGAAATGGGCTGGGTAACTTGATTGTCTTCGGGCTTTGGAATTCCTAACTCCTCATCACTTTCGTCGTCCGAATACGCTTTTGGACTAGCCTTTCCTGACTCAACTGGTGACTTGGGCTTGTAGTCTAGCTTAGTTGGAACCTTATCGTCTTTTACGCTAAGAGGCTGTAGAGGAGACTTATCACCACCACCACCTATTACCGGAGTCACCAATGAATTGGGCTGGTTAACTTGTTTGTCTTCGGGCTTTGGAATTCCAAACTCCTCATCACTTTCGTCGTCCGAATACGCTTTTGGACTAGCCTTTCCTAACTCAACTGGTGACTTGGGCTTGTAGTCTAGCTTAGTTAGAACCTTATCGTCTTTTACGCTAAGAGGCTGTAGAGGTAACTTATCACCACTACCACCAATTAAAGGAGTCACCAATGAAATGGGCTGGGTAACTTGTTTGTCTTCGGGCTTTGGAATTCCAAACTCCTCATCACTTTCGTCGTCCGAATACGCTTTTGGACTAGCCTTTCCTGACTCAACTGGTGACTTGGGCTTGTCGTCTAGCTTAGTTAGAACCTTATCGTCTTTTACGCTAAGAGGCTGTAGAGGTAACTTATCACCACTACCACCAATTAAAGAAGTCACCAATGAAATGGGCTGGGTAACTTGTTTGTCTTCGGGCTTTGGAATTCCAAACTCCTCATCACTTTCGTCGTCCGAATACGCTTTTAGGCTAGCCTTTCCTGACTCAACTGGCGACTTGGGCTTGTCGTCTAGCTTAGTTGGAACCTTATCGTCTTTTACGCTAAGAGGCTGTAGAGGAGACTTATCACCACCACCACCAATTACCGGAGTCACCAATGAAATGGGCTGGGTAACTTGTTTGTCTTCGGGCTTTGGAATTCCAAACTCCTCATCACTTTCGTCGTCCGAATACGCTTTTGGACTAGCCTTTCCTGACTCAACTGGTGACTTGGGCTTGTCGTCTAGCTTAGTTGGAACCTTATCGTCTTTTACGCTAAGAGGCTGTAGAGGTAATTTATCACCACCACCACCAATTACCGGAGTCACCAATGAAATGGGCTGGGTAACTTGTTTGTCTTGGGGCTTTGGAATTCCAAACTCCTCATCACTTTCGTCGTCCGAATACGCTTTTGGACTAGCCTTTCCTGACTCAACTGGTGACTTGGGCTTGTAGTCTAGCTTAGTTGGAACCTTATCGTCTTTTACGCTAAGAGGCTGTAGAGGAGACTTATCACCACCACCACCTTTTACCGGAGTCACCAATGAATTGGGCTGGGTAACTTGTTTGTCTTCGGGCTTTGGAATTCCAAACTCCTCATCACTTTCGTCGTCCGAATACGCTTTTGGACTAGCCTTTCCTGACTCAACTGGTGACTTTGGCTTTTCGTCTAGCTTAGTTGGAACCTTATCGTCTTTTACGCTAAGAGGCTGTAGAGGTAACTTATCACCACTACCACCAATTAAAGGAGTCACCAATGAAATTGGCTGGGTAACTGGCTTGTCTTGGGGCTTTGGAATTCCTAACTCCTCATCACTTTCGTCGTCCGAATATGCTTTTGGACTAGGCTTTCCTGACACAACTGGTGACTTGGGCTTGTCTTCTAGCTTAGTTAAAACCTTTTCGTCTTTTGCGCTAAGAGGCTGTAGAGGAGACTTATTACCACCACCACCAATTACCAATGAAAGTGGCTGGGTAACTGGCTTGTCTTGGTGCTGTGGAATTCCTAACTCCTCATCACTTTCGTCGTCCGAATATGCTTTTGGACTAGGCTTTACTAACTCAACTGGTGACTTGGGCTTGTCGTCTAGCTTAGTTGGAACCTTATCGTCTTTTACGCTAAGAGGCTGTACAGGAGACTTATCACCACCACTACCAATTAAAGGAGTCACCAATGAAATTGGCTGGGTAACTTGTATGTCTTCGGGCTTTGGAATTCCTAACTCCTCATCACTTTCGTCGTCCGACTTGGGCTTGTCGTCTAGCTTAGTTATAACCTTATCGTCTTTTATGTCAAGAATCTTTGGTTTTCCAACAGGGTCTGAAGGTTTGCTGACCCTGATATCTACCGTCTCTTTAGTAATGCAAACTGATTTTGTGCTACTTTGAATTGAGGTTGAACTTTCTTCGGCCATGAAAACCGTAATATTCTTCGTCTTTAAGTCGTCTATGCTCTGCTTTCCTGACACAACTGGTGACTTGGGCTTGTCGTCTAGCTTAGTTGGAACCTTATCGTCTTTTACGATATGAGGCTGTAGAGGAGACTTATCACCACCACCACCAATTATCGGAGTCACCAATGAAATTGGCTGGGTAAATGGCTTGTCTTGGGGCTTTGGAATTCCTAACTCCTCATCACTTTCGTCGTCCGAATATGCTTTTGGACTTGGCTTTTCGGACGCAATTGGTGACTTTGGCTTGTCGTCTAGCTTAGTTGGAACCTTATCGTCTTTTACGCTAAGAGGATGTAGAGGAGACTTATCACCACCACCACCAATTACCGGAGTCACCAATGAAATTGGCTGGGTAACTGGCTTGTCTTGGGGCTTTGGAATTCCTAACTCCTCATCACTTTCGTCGTCCGAATATGCTTTTGGACTAGGCTTTCCTGACTCAACTGGTGACTTGGGCTTGTCGTCTAGCTTATTCGGAACCTTATCGTCTTTTACGCTAAGAGGCTGTAGAGAAGACTTAACACCACCACCACCAATTACCGGAGTCACCAATGAAATTGGCTGGATAACTGGCTTGTCTTGGGGCTTTGGAATTACTAACTCCTCATCACTTTCGTCGTCCGAATATGCTTTTGGACTAGGCTTTCCTGACACAACTGGTGACTTGGGCTCGTCGTCTAGCTTAGTTGGAACCTTATCGTCTTTTACGCTAAGAGGCTGTAGAGGAGACTTATCACCGCCATCACCAATTAATGGAGTCACCAATGAAAAAGGCTGGGTAACTGGCTTGTCTTGGGGCTTTGGAATTCCTAACTCTTCATCACTTTCGTCGTCCGAATATGCTTTTGGACTAGGCTTTCCTGACACAACTGGTGACTTGGGCTTGTCGTCTAGCTTAGTTGGAACCTTATCGTCTTTTACGCTTAGAGGCTGTAGAGGTAACTTATCACCACCACCACCAATTAACGGAGTCATCACTGAAATTGGCTGGGTAACTGGCTTGTCTTGGGGCTTTGGAATTCCTAATTCTTCATCACTTTCGTCGTCCGAATATGCTTTTGGACTAGGCTTTCCTGACACAACTGGTGACTTGGGCTTGTCGTCTAGCTTAGTTGGAACCTTATCGTCTTTTACGCTTAGAGGCTGTAGAGGTAACTTATCACCACTACCACCAATTAACGGAGTCACCAATGTAATTGGCTGGGTAACTGGCTTGTCTTGGGGCTTTGGAATTTCTAACTCCTCATCACTTTCGTCGTCCGACTTGGGCTTGTCGTCTAGCTTAGTTATAACCTTATCGTCTTTTATGCTAAGAGACTGTAGAGGCAACTTAGCATCACCACAACCATCTAACGGAGTCACCAATGAAATTGGCTTAGTAACTGAATTGTCTTCGGGCTTTGAAATTCCAAACTCCTCATCACTTTCGTCGTCCGAATACGGTTTTGGACTAGACTTTCCTAACTCAACTGGTGACTTGGGCTTGTCGTCTAGCTTAGTTGGAACCTTATCGTCTTTTACGCTAAGAAGCTGTAGAGGAGATTTATCACCGCCATCACCAATTAATGGAGTCACCAATGAAATAGGCTGGGTAACTGGCTGGTCTTGGGGCTTTGGAATTCCTAACTCGTCAACACTTTCGTCGTCCGAATATGCTTTTGGAGTAGCCTTTCCTGACACAACTGGTGACTTGGGCTCGTCGTCTAGCTTAGTTGAAACCTTATCGTCTTTTATGCTAAGAGGCTGTAGAGGAGACTTATCACCACCACCACCATTTACCGGAGTCACCAATGAAATTGGCTGGGTAACTGGCTGGTCTTGGGGCTTTGGAATTCCTAACTTCTCATCACTTTCGTCGTCCGACTTGGGCTTGTCGTCTAGCTTAGTTATAACCTTATCGTCTTTTATGTCAAGAATCTTTGGTTTTCCAACAGGGTCTGAAGGTTTGCTGACCCTGATATCTACTGTCTCTTTAGTAATGCAAACTGATTTTGTGCTACTTTGAATTGAGGTTGAACTTTCTTCGGTCATGAAAACCGTAATATTCTTCGTCTGTAAGTCGTCTATGCTCTGCTTTCCTGTCACAACTGGTGACTTGGGCTCGTCGTCTAGCTTAGTTGGAACCTTATCGTCTTTTACACTAAGAGGCTGTAGAGAAGACTTATCACCGCCATCACCAATCACCGGAGTCACCAATGAAATTGGCTGGGTAACTTGTTTGACTTCGGGCTTTGGAATTCCAAGCTCCTCATCACTTTCGTCGTCCGAATACGCTTTTGGACTAGACTTTCCTGACTGAATTGGTGACTTGGGCTTGTTGTCTAGCTTAGTTGGAACCTTATCGTCTTTTACGCTAAGAGACTGTAGAGGAGACTTATCACCGCTATCACCAATTAACGGAGTCACCAACGAAATTTGCTGGGTAACTGGCTTGTCTTGGGGCTTTGGAATTCCTAACTCCTCATCACTTTCGTTGTCCGAATATGCTTTTGGAGTAGCCTTTCCTGACACAACTGGTGACTTGGGCTTGTCGTCTACCTTAGTTCGAACCTTATCGTCTTTTACGCTAAGAGGCTGTAGAGAAAACTTATCAGCACCATCACCAATTAACGGAGTCACCAATGAAATTGGCTGGGTAACTTGTTTGTCTTCGGGCTTTGGAATTCCTAACTCCTCATCACTTTCGTCATCCGATTTGGGCTTGTCGTCTAGCTTAGTTATAACTTTATCGTCTTTTATGTCAAGAATCTTTGGTTTTTCAACAGGGTCTGAAGGTTTGCTGACCCTGATATCTACCGTCTCTTTAGTAATGCAAACCGATTTTTTGCTACTTTGAATTGAGGTTGAACTTTCTGCGGCCATGAAAACCGTAATATTCATCGGCTGTAAGTCGTCTATTCTCTGCTTTCCTGACTCAACTGGTGACTTGGGCTTGGCGTCTAGTTTAATTGGACCCTTATCGTCTGTTACGTTAAGAGGCTGTAAAGGAGACTTATGACCACCACCTTCAATTAACGGAGTCACCAAGAAATTTGTTTGGGTAACTGGCTCGTCTTGGGGCTTTGGAATTCCAAACTCCTCATCGCTTTTATCGCCCAAAGACGCTTTTGGAGTAGGCTTCACTGAGTCAGTGGGTGACTTGTGCTTGTCGACTACCTTGGTTGGAACCTTATCGTCTCTAAGTTGAATTTTTTTATCTTCCAAGGAAAAGGCGGTCTCTGTTTTAACCTTAGATTCCCCTAAAAATGCTTTTCCTGATTTGCTATTACTATGAATGTCATTTCCTGTTGGAAACTTCGTTATTTCTCGATCTGGAGTTATTTCGACAATATTAGTTCCATCTAACACTGATATATTTTCTATTTTCGATAAATGCCTCAGCTTGTTTTTCCTTTTCAGATTGTCTAGCTCTTCGTCACTATCGCTTTCAATTGTTTGCTTATCTATATACGTTTTAACTTCAGATGGAAATTTAATCTGCAAGTCATTAGTTGTTTCGTCAAGCTCAGAGATTTTGGAGGCCAAAGTATGGCTTTTTTGAAGCTCGTCGGTTTTATCGTGCGTGGGAAACTTGACATTAATACCCATTTCTAGGGTTTGGTCAACTTTTTGTGCTGTATGCTGTTCACTCTGGTGAACGAGCCTATCTATTTTCGCTTCATATTCGGTAGCTACGTGGACAAACTCTTTTGTATCCGCAACGTCAGTTTTAGAAATGGAATGCAATCGTTCGAGGGTATGTGCAAGTTTTGGAAATTCTACGACTTTAGTGTCCTTAATGGATTCTATTGGAAATTCTTGTTTATCACATTCTGTTATAAATTTAATTTGACTCTCTGCGATCCCTGTTAAACCTTCATGTAAAATACTCTTGGCCTCGAACTCTTTAATACTTTCCGTTAGATCAAATCTTAAGGATTCATGTTCAAGGAACGTGGCTGTTGTTGATTTGACATCCTTAATTGTTGGTAATGTTTCTAGGTCTTCTTGTCTTTCAAAGGCCTTTGCCATATCTGAGATTGTGCGCTTTGAGCATATCTTTTCACATACGTCTTCGAGGTTTTCAGTACTGCTGCTCGTCTTTTCCGTGAACCAAACGGGCGACTGTACTTTTTGCTCTGGTATGCGCTTAGATCCTAAACCATCTAAAATCAGATCGGCATCGCTCAGAATTTGCTGCTCTATGGTCGAAACATCAGCCTTTCGGTCAGGGGTAACTCGTTTTCGTGGACTAAATGGCTTAGCCTCTAGACTTGCAGGATATCTACGTTCAATATCCTGCACAACCTCCTTCACCTTTGGTAAAACTTCAATGACATCCTTACCTCCTAAGTCTACGTGCTGCTCAACATTTTCAGTTTCAGTTAAAATCCTTCCAGGTACCTGTTCTACTTGCCTATTAAAATCTATTACCTGTTCTGTTAAAGTCTTTTCTGTTTCACATAAGTCTTCAGCTACCACAAAGGACTTGCGCTTCTCACAAATTTTTTCACAAACTTCTTCTTCAATCTCTTTAAGGCCGAGACCTACATGCTCCATGGCCTGTATTGGCGATATCTTGACCACCTCAGTGGGGGGTTCACACTTTATTAACTTTTCCAGTTCCAAGTCAGCTGGTGTTAGTATTTGCTTTTCTAGCTCTACAACATCGGGTTCTTTAACATCTTCGTGAGGCTGCCGTTTCTGAACTGTAAATGGAATGGCCGACACCACTGTACTGCAGATTTTATCCTCAATGCTTTGCACCACCTCTCGCACCACTGGCACATTTTCACCTATATATTTTGGTATCAGGACGGGTTGCTTGCCAATGGAATCCAATGATTCTGTACTGCCACTACTTTCCAAACGCATAATTTTTCGTCTTACATCGCCACAGCCCATAATTTGTTCTAAATACTCCCTATCATTGGCAGTTCTCTCAAATTCTGCAACTGCCTTTTGATCTACTGCGGGCTGATCCTTCAGCTCCTTCATCAACTGGTCTTGCTTAGGAATAGTCAAGTCTACTTTGGTGCGATCTATTTGTGCTGTCAGGGTTGTTGTCGTTGTTGTCATCTTCGGTGTTTGACTACTTGTACTCATTTCTGTAAATGAGGTAGTGTCTTGTGAGTACAATTTCGGAATATCGGGGAAAGCTACCACACTATGAAGCAGCTTATCAGGTTCATCTGTTCTTGTAAAGGTTTCGGTTTTTACATTATGAACACTGAAGTGCTCTGTTTGAGGCATTCCGGGGATGGCAAAGTAGGGTAGGGCGGTAGGTAAGAAGTAAAGTAGAGTAGAAAACATGGCAATATAAACACAGTTAACACCAATTTAAAATCAAACCGTAGGTTTTTTTATGCTGGGTTAGTCTATGTACACAGTGCAGTGGAGTTGCCGTTGTACATATATAGGTACTTAGAGATAGGTACATATATATGCATATCTATTCTTACTACAAGCTTTACGCCAAAAACCCAGCAGCAGGCACAAACATGCACTTAATGCTTATGCTTTATTATTATTTAGTTGAGAAGCGAAATCAAAATATCTGTTTCGCAATTAACAGATGCCAGATTCCAGATGAGACTCAGCTAAACGAATCCAATACGAACTGGATTCAGATAGGTTGAGCTTCATTTAGATACATACGTATAGGATGCTGCATATGAGGTCGTGGATTATTGGGCCCATTTCTGCTTTGCTTGGATGCTGCACAAAATTCAATGCTTCGAGTAAAATATATGAGCTGAGCTAATTACGTTTGCACATTTTTGTTTAGCAAATATTTAAGCAATGTTTATGTTGATTATGAAATCAAAAAGCAAAAATAGCTAGTATTGCAAGATTAAGAACAAACCACGACATCATATGTCACATACTCGTACGATATTGAATGCGATCTATAAACAACCAATTATATATACTTAAAAAGCGCGCTGGGTTGGTGGTTCTGGGTGCAAACAAATCAAATGTTGATTATACAGTGAGGCTAATATAATTTTTGCTGTTGGTTCTTATAATTCGCAAATAATGACAAAGAGTACGGATACGAGTTTGATATGCTATATACTATATAGAGATGCTACAGTGAGATCTGGATGTGGCTCGACTTAACATTCAGTTACATTACACTATTAACGTTATATATATATGGTAAGTATATGCTTTTTCGTTAAGGATTTATAAAGTTACGAAAAGCAACAGAACATATAATTATTTGCGAAAAACAAATCAAACATAAACATTGCAAACTGAAGGTCATGGTGGTTCATTAGAATGTTCTTCGATGAATCCTCATATGGAGATCGAAAGACGGCTGGTGGTCACCCAGCTCCTTGCTGATCCCAATATGGGCGGATTTTTCACAATTTGGTTGGTTTGTTTCAATTTCAGAAATCCAAAAGTATGCCAAAAGTGTTTATCTTAATGAAAAAAATCTTAGTAATTGCTAAACGAATGTTAATATAAGTAATATTGTAGATTATATGCTTTGGCGTATCCATAGTCGATCGAGTACGAGTATAGTAAACAAGGATATTACATAGGGTAAACACAAATCGAATTATTTAAATTGTAGCTTGCAGTATTATTTGATTGAAAAACATAAACTCAATTGCTTAAATATTTGTTTAAAATTGCAAACGTAATTATTATACCATGACAATCGAGAGGACAACAATGAGAGAGACCTATCAGAAAACGATACCCATCATAGATATATAAACCTACATTCTAAAACTGTGGCAACTTTTCAAATTGATCGTTGTTATACATGAGAACTTACCATTAAATTACAATAGACTTAAAGTTACTTTAGTATCTGGTAAAGTTTAGATTAAATTGTTTATTCCGTTGCGCATTGAATGACACACAAACACAAATCAACACTAATGTACTTCTTGTTTTTTATAGTCTTTAAACTATAATAAATATTTCCGTTAAAACACAGTATATATAGTCGCTTTTCAATCAGAGGAGCTTGCCTCAACGTATCTTTCGGATCGCGCGTACTTGGGAAATTCAAATTCGTGACTAAATCTGCCCGAAAAGTCCGACTATCACTGTACTGCAAGAATGCCAGAGGCAAATTAAATTAAGTATACGCCACCGCTCGGCTTTTCCTACCTTTCTGACCCCTGGCCCTATGACATAACTGCGCAAGGGTCGATTTTCTCACCACCATGCGGTGGATTGAATGGCTACAAATTATATAAAGAAACACTGTGAAATGCTATTAACTGTGCATGTCTTCGGAGGGCTAATGGACTAATAGGCTTTCTTCAGCCAACAGGAAAGTATCCCCGATCGAAGAGCCTTTTGAGATTAAGTTAAAGTTATTAACGCAATATCGATTTGTGGTTCTGTCTATTGATTGGCTAACCCACTGACATTGACACCTACGAATGTTATGCATACACTGCGCAGAACGGCGCCAGACATACAATTAGCCATGTTTCTGCGACCTTTCGTCAGTGTTAACGTAATTGGATTATCGGGAATCTTACCGACATTCGCTGCGGTACAAGTAAGTATCTGAGTGATTTCGTGGTCATATTCATTCAATGCGCTTCAGTTTGGCGTTGGTTATCTGAGGATTGGGAAATCCCCTGTTGGTTTCGATTTATGGCACATTTGCTGCCGTACTTTCAGACTTTTTTGATTAAGATACACACAGTAGCAGCTTGCCATTCGTTTTTATAAATAGAATTAACTAACTAACAGTTCTTTGATCGCAATCGTTTAATGGTTGAATGGTACTTTGCATACAAAAAGCCTTTGGACTTAAATCAAGACGAAATGTAGAGGAACAGAGAAAAGTGGGATAAACTTAATAGGATAAAAACAAAAAACAGTTCAAGTAACACTACGGATTGTGACAAAGAATCAAATGAGAAATACAAGTTAAATGAAGGGGTGTACAAAAAAAACATGGTTATAGATTTATATTTTTTTACCGAAAAAGGCAAAAATAGGAAAATATATAAAGTAAAGTTACATAACAATTACAAATTGCATAGAAATTGAGCATAGAGGCAGCCACCCATTTCAGGATTCGCACTTACCAATTTTGGTAATAGCAGAAACACGTTCAAAGGTCGACTCTGTGGTCGTATGCAATTTGGTCACAGTGTCAGCCAAGTAATCTGTTTTTAAATTGTTGTTACATTCATACGATATTCCATATTTTTAACAAACTTACCACGTTCTAAGCTGATTAGTTCTGGCTCTTCGTTCTGCTTATCGGTTTTGGTGTCACTCGGTGTTGGCGGCGGAGTCTGGGAATGTGGGATTTCGCTCTCTGAAGAGGTAAAATTAGTAAGATAAGGTAAGCCATAATAATGATATAATATACCTATTTTCTTGAGTTCATCAGTTATTTCAATTACGCCCACGCTCATCTTCTTGGTGATTGTTTCGCCCACCGATTTGCAGAATTCGGCATCGGTAAGTGACTTTCGGGGTTCCACTGAGATTGGAGCAGTAAGCCCCTCATCGTTGATTATATCCCTCAGTGGAACAGTGGCTTGCTTGCCGAAGGTGTCACTATCGTATTCACTTGTCAGTGATTGTGGTTCCTGTGTGACCACACTGGTGGTCAACTTGGGTGTGTGGAATGGTGATGCATTATCCCCAACTGGAGCTGCTGATTCAATACCATCGATCAGCTTAGCATCACTTTCGATGATCTTTGACGGCAGTTGTGTCTGCTTTTCCATGATGAGGAACTCCTCAGTGAGCTGTCGTTCATTCAGGGGTTTCTGCTGTTTGGGTAGCTCCACCAATTGCTCTGCGGTTTTCACCACATCATCGACTAGCGCCTTGGCAGGCTCGGAAACCAGTTGGGTTTGCTGCTCCATGCTCAAGAAATCAGCGGTGAGTTGCCTCTCATTTAGAGTCTTCTTTTCAGCGAGCTTCACAGGCTCAGGCTCAATCAGAGACTTAGGAGTTTCCTCGATGAGGGACTTTCTTGGTTCCACCACAGGTATCCTACTCGCTGGTGGTGGGGATTTCACTGTAACTATTGATTCCGGTTCGGATGCACTCGTGGATGTTAGACTGGATTCAAGGGGCTTCTCAACTGCTTGCGGCATGCTCGGCAGTTGGCTTTGCTGCTCCATGCTAAGGAAATCATGGGTAAGCTGGCGTGCTTCGGAAGTTGTAATCTGCTCCTCGATTTTGTGGAATGTTTCAATGACCTCCGCCACCTTTTCAGCTACCTTATCCTCTTTAGATTGAGCCTGCAAAAGTGGCTTGTCCTCGATAACAACTAACTCTTCCATTTTTGTAGAAATTTCCGACGTCTTCTCAGACTTGGTCACCTTCTCCTCAATCTTGTGGAATGTGTCAAGCAGCTCGGTTACCTTTTCGGTGACGGTCTCGGCCTTGGCGATTATTTCCGACTGCTCGACGGATTTATCCTTGAGTTTCTCGCCTCCCAGTCCTGCGGTCATAATGGTAGCCGTAGATGCGACAACGTCATCCAGGATCTTTGACTCCCGGTCGACCTGCTTATCCACAGATTTTCTCGGCTCCACTTTGGGAATTTTACTTGCTGCTGGCGCTGCCTTGGGCTCGGCCGCCAGTTTCTCGCCCTGCAGGAAATCTTGAGTGATCTTACGGGCTTCCGCTTCCGGAATCTTCTGAGCTTCGGCTGGTATTGTCTTAACTGGAATTTTTGAGATCGGTTTTTCGGATTTGATTTCAACGACAGAATCAATTTCGGATTCAACTGTAGCACGTGGAGCAGCAGTGGGCTTTATTGAGTCCTCGCTAGGCTTCCGCGTGAACTTGGGGATCTGAGTCTTGGGCTCACCACCATGAAAGTCGTATTTAACCTTCTTGGCCTCGAACTCAGCAATTGTTTCCTCAATACTTGAGCTTTCGATAACTTGGACAGACTTCACGTGCTCCTGGGTGACGGTCTTTGCTTCCTCCAGGTTTTTAATGGTCTCGCTGACTTTCGTTGATTCGACAGACGCCTGAGAGGGCAGGGTAGCAGTAGGTTCCGAAGGTTTGCTACTCTCAAAAGAACTAATAATATTTTCAACCTTCTTACTGGCTATTTCGGTCACCTCGCTAATGACCTGCTGAACCTCCTTAACGGTTTCCTGTGGAACTGAAGCCAGAGGGCTGGTCATCTCCTTGGCCTCTTCAATAAACTTCTCGTGAACTGTTGCGGTGGTGGAAGTAGCTGGAAGTTGACTGCGTTTCTCGACCTCCAGGAAATCTTCGGTAATATCACGAGCTTCCTGACGGGTAATTGTCGTCACCCGACTGAAGGTTACACCATCCTTCTCTTTCTTCTCGGCGGCACTGATGTCCTGGACAATCTTATCGGTCTGATCTGGGGATGATGGCTGGTCTTCCTCCTCTGAGCTGCGGCCGGATGTCTTAAATTTGTGGGTCAGCTCCTTGTCGAACTCGCTCTTGCTAATTTCCGTTGAGTCCATCTTGCCCATCTTCATCTTGATGACTTGGTCGGGTACTGTTGCTGTCTTGATAATCACATTATCGGCAGGTAATTGCATCAAGATCTCGGATTCGTGGTGTGCCTTCTTGTCTTCGATGAGACTCTTACGCTTGATTTCGGTTATTTCGCGGGTGATTTCCCTCTTTTGCGTTGAGGCAGGAATGGATCGCTCCACGGACAGACGCTTGACAATCTTCTCCCGTCGTTCGGCAACCGTTCGCTTGGCAGCTTCCTCATCGGACTCGGATTCCTCGACTTCCTTCTCCTCGGCAGAGTATTTGACCTCCTCGCGTTCGTTGATCTGCTGGATTCGCTTGCCTGGGGGAGAAGCTTAAAGGGTTATTCGATGGGAAGACGTTAAAAACTCAGTTGCCATTTAGTGTTAAAAAGATCCGAATCCATAGTTTTTGATGGATCTTCATAGCTCATAAGCAAATGTATACTTACTTTCTCTGCGAACCAGCTCCTCCACGGATTCTGAGTTCTTCATAATGTCTGTTTCATCGAACTCACGCGAATGGGATAGTCGTCCACTCTTGCACTTCTTCATGATGTCGTCACGTCCAATGTTTTTCAATGCCGTTTCTAGGGAAATGATATCATAGTTGGGTTTGTCCTTATACAGGCGAATCATGCTCTGCGCCTGTCTGGCAATGCTATCTGTATTTTGGTTGATGATCTCGTCGATTTCCTCTGCGTTAATGCCAATCTCGGGAGCCAATTGAATCCAATCCTTACCCAACAAGTTGGACAGATCTACGATGCGAATGTCGCCAATATAATGGTCATTCTGGTGTTTGCTGAGACTAAACATTGAGGTCCTGTAGGCGGAGGTGACACGGTCCGAGAAGGCCGTGGTGGAGTCAGGGATTACAGCCTCGGGAAGTACGATGTTCAAAATGCAGATGGGCTGTTGCGGTGGCTCACCCTTCGCCACCTTCGGCTCCTTCATAAACAGTGTTCGTCCAACTATATCAGCATGCTGATCTTTAACTCGAACAGTGAAGGGCAGGCGGTTCTCACGGAAGGCCTTAAACTGGACTTGCAGTTGGTCGCCTGATTTGGTCACAGGAACCAAATTGCCGGCCATCTCTATGTACTGTGGCTTGCCTTCGAGAACCTCGACATCACGACTCTTGGCAACTTCCGTGTAGAGCTCATGCTTCTCAAGTGTTTTGTCCTCACGATCGTCGGTCATGCAGAAGACTCGAAGTCTAGCCTCAAAAGGCTCGATTTTCTTAGCGAACACCACAAACTTGGCAATGAACGGTACGTGGATAACTTCCCTGTGTTCAAGAAATTAAAAAATTAGCATGTGATTTCCCAAAATTATACCCAAAACCACTTACTTGTACAATTCCGTGGCCATTTTGGTGGCATCCGAGATATTTCGGCAATCCATCAGCCAGAAACGAGCTGATACTGTGGTTGTAAAGGAGACGCAGTCGTTGACAAATGTTAACGGCGTGGAACCAGTGACATCCTCCCATTGAGCACGGGATGGTCCGCCTGGTGGTGGATTAGTTAGATGGAAGACGGAAAAGAAAAACGTTCAATTGTGGGTCTACGGCCTAGGAAAATGGGGTTTACGTATAGACTACATATATGTATGTAAAAACTCTTGAAAATCTCTACTGTTGTCTCATTAGCAGATAAATATTTAATTGAATTCCAAAATTGTTGAACTAATTTCACAAACGAAACCATAAACTCAACACAAAAACTTGTTCAGATAGAATTACGATTGTGTGTGTTTTAATTACAAAGCAATTAGATGGAATAGGAGTAGTATTGAAAAGTATTATCGTATATAGCTTATGGTATAGTATTAAACTCGTATTTAGCGATAAGTATTAGAAATATTTAGTATCTTGTTGTTATCTATGGCATGGCATGAATGTGATGATATAGTTGATGTCTGTTTTATGTCGAGAGAGAGGTGTTTATTGTATGTATATTGTGGAGTGTGGGTGTGTGAGTTGATGAGGCATTTTGATTTCAAGCATATATTTAATTAATTTGGTATTTGGTAGGGCTGTAGCATTTACAGAGGTACGAGTACTAGGGTACTTGTTGCGCTTACTTTGAAGCCGTTTCGAAACAACATGCTTAATATTTTGGAAAAAACAAATTTTTTGGTTTTTCTTGAATGGAAAATAAGTGAGCGTGTCACGTGTTTCTTGTGTAAATGTGTTCAAATCAACGAAAGTCCCAACGAAACTGAATCAACAAATCAGAAAGGAAATCAAAGGAACTCAAATATAATGGAACAGGAATGTTAAATCGTCAACTTGTTTATATATATATATATATATTTTATATGTTTTTATTTGTATGGTACATTAACGAAACACTGTTTGTATTATGATATTATTGAGCTTGCCATAGCATTCGCTTGACTTTATTTTATTCCTCAATAGTTGACATTTATTCGGTTTCAGAAAAGTTCTCTTTGGTGCCACAAACAGTAGAAATTCGAAATTGATCATTCATATTTTTTGTTTTGTTTCTTTTTTTCGAAAAAAAATTGATTTACATAATAATTCTGCTGGTAATACACGAAATAAAAGCAATCAACACAAACGATCAATAAACAACAGAGAAAACAGACTACAATCAGGTGCACGGCATTCCAACCGAAAATGTTAACTCAAAATAAAACTAAAGCCTTAACAAATATGATACGTGTAAATATGGTTTAAGATTAAGATTCGAATCGTTAACTGAACAACAGAATAAATAAAAGAAATCTGGCACAATCTGGTGGCCTTGCTTTAGATACGGTTTTAATGGCCCAAAGAGCAACTTTATTTGGCGTTTAGTTTAGCTTACAAAACCTACAAACTCTTGAATGAAATTGTGCAGTTTAGTTAATATATTTGGCAATAAACCGCGTGCAATCAGAAAGTCGCTTAGGTAATTCAATATTATTATTGTATGTTAGAGGGAGAGAGGTTAGACAGAGAGAGAGAGAGAGAGAGAGAGAAGAGAAGGCGGCAAAGACGTTTGCATGACAAGCTTAAGGTTCGTAAAAGTAAATTGGAAAGTTTGCTTACTTCAAAAACTAAGCTGCATTGAGCTGAAAGCATTATCTTGGCTTAGAGAACATTGCCAATCGAGTGGGGTCACCCCCCCACCAAACAGAAAGTTAACCCTAAGCATCTGGTATGGTAAACCCAAAGACGCAGCGCAACCCGAATTTAAGCAAAGAATTCAATGAAACTCAGGAAATCAAAGGGGGCAACTTAAAAACAAACAACTTAATGAAACTTATAAAAAACTTAGGATTTAAGGCATAGAAGTAGAAAAAAACTAATTGTTTGAAATATTTGCAATAGTTTCTTAACAAGAGAATTTATCATAAATAAAATATGCAGAATTTTCAAATTTTTTTTGTCAAATTTTCTTCTTGGATTTGGTTTTATGCCTCATTTTGCAACACAATAATATTGTTATTATTATTATTTGTTTTTTAAATATATATATTTTTTTTTGGTTTTGTTTGGCATAGAACGAAACAACTAAATATGAACAAATAACGATTTTAGTTTGTAAACAGTTTCAATTTGAAACTTCATACATGTTTGTGAATTTCTGAATTTTTGTATTATTTATTTTAGTATTTGTGACATTTGAGTCAGTTTTAGTTACCTTTTAGAGACCTTTTCCGAAACACACCTTCAATGGATTGAGAAAACAGAACGGAATGCGTGCACACGTATGCAATGACGCATTAGTACGAAATTATAGAACAATTAAATAGGTTTTCAATTAAAAATTGAATTGAAGTTTGTTTTGTTTGGGTTTGTTTTTGCTCAACACGAAATCGAAATCGAGAAATCGAAATACAAATCGAAATCATTGAAAATCATTAAAACGAACTTAAGCGGTAACGAACGCAAATCGAACGAAAGGGGTAACGGAACGAACACCGTTTGGCACAATGAAGAAGACATACTGAACATGACACTGATCTGGGTTGGGATCGAGCTGAAGTACGAGATATAGGTGTGTAGTAACTGTATCTGTATCTGTATCTGCGGCTGTTTCTTTCATCTTTTTCTGTGTTGTGTGTGTGTGTGTAGGTGTTGTGGATGTATGAGCGTATCAGAGGTGATGGTGACGAATGCTCTAAAAACTGGCTAGAGTTCCAAAAGGAGTTACGATAGGATACGATACGATACGATACGATGCGGGCTACAGCCGGAACAACCCGTTCAAAAAACTTATGTTTACGCATCTACAACACAGACACAAGCACAATGTTTCCAGTTCGGATCGGATGGGACCTACAATCGAATGTTTCTCAATTCAATCTCATTATCATTATCATTACAGTTTCAATTTCAATTCGGGAGTTTTTTCTTGCTTTTTCTTTAGATTTAGATGGCAATTTCCACTGTACAGTTTTGGATATATAGTATATATGGCATGTATGGTATATATATAGTACTACGTTTTTAGCACATGAGATACTTGTATTCTAAATGTTATAGACAACCAAAACGAACAACGTAAGCACGTACGAAACTCAACTCAACGAAAGCATATATAGTTACACTCAAGAAATCATAATTAGGAATGAAGTAAATGAAGGCCTGAGACAGATTTATTTAGAGATAGATATATAGAGAGATAGACAGAAAGAAAGGGGATGTGGAAAATCAGGGTTGGGTATCAAGGAGGATCAGTAATACTCAAAAAACATCAACTAACGCAATGGAAATGTAAGTGGATATACTTCGTAATAGTCATAATGGTAATTGGTAATTGGTAATTGGTAATAATAACTGCTTGGATCACATCGTACAAACAACACAAAAGACCGGCTCATAGCTGGCGGATCGGTAATGGATCGGCATCAACTTACCTGTTATGGAGCATAGCAGTCGCAGGGTGGGCGTATTGCCCGAGTACTGATTGATCATGCCCTGGCTGTGAGCCTTGGGTGCGGGCATGCTGAGGGTGATGGCCTTGTGGAATTTACGGCGTCGCGGCTCGACCGTAACAATCGGCGATACGGCTACACCGCGACCCAAAAGCTTGGCGGTGAGATCAGGATCAACCGGCTGGGCCTAGAACGAGTGTAACGGATTTCGATTGGCACAATAGACAAAAATCGATTTACCGGCCACGCTTATACACAATGCATGAGATGAACAAAAAAATGTTAATTAATCAAAAGGTTATAAACAAAATGTTATATACGAAATATGCGCTTATTGTCTGTCATAAAGAAAACTTATAAAGCAAATAAAATGAAATGAGTCTTTTGGGCTAAATGGTGAACATTATTGATTCTAATAAACATTTTCATATTTTCATTTTAGTTTTTGTGTTTTTTGTACAATGCTTATAAGTTGGATGTTTATGCATATCGTTTTCATGGTTTTGGTATTGAGCAATTGCATGTTTTAGTTAAATTACAGCATAAGTTAACTACAAACGATAACAATGTTCGAGCCCATTTATGTCCCAATAAATTTAGTTATCAAAAAAACTCTGTCTACAACTAAAGAGCTAGAAAGTTAACGAATAAAAAACTTTATACAATGTACAAAAATTAAAAAGAAAGTAAAGAATATTATTTGAAAATGTAGAAATTTACAGAATATCTGTTAAATGCAAATAAAACGTGCGAAAATTTGAACTCATGAGTGGGGCCATTATAAAATCGTTTTTTGCTTACGGCATGGCTAAAATGTTACAACTTCGTTAGGCACTTCAAAACCGGACCCAATTGTAACTCTCTAAGTATTTTCACCTATTATCTTTTATTTTTTTTTTTTATATATATTTTGAAAAAGCAATTGAATGAAAAAGTAATCAAATGAAAAGTAATTAAAACATTTTCATTGGCATAAAGTTTTTGTCGAACTAAATTTATTGGGTAGTACTGCATTTCAGAGAACTTGTAAGTATAATCTTATGCATAAGTAGATAATAATCATAAATAATGTATGAATAGTTAAGAGTAGTTAGCATATAGGTAAATGTATCATAATATTCGATATATGTATTTCATATGTCTTATCAAGTTGGACAATTTATTTTTGCTCTTGCTGTTCATAAGCTTGCCAAAATTCCTGGCTTGATCCATGATCAAATTTCATCGGTTCGTATAATTTTATTATTGTATGTCACTGTTTTGCATAGCATTCGTGATTAGGTTAGCATGAGGATATCGATTCCACAATGGCTCCATAAGCTTAGTGCCGTTAAGTTATTAAGTGTGTCTCAATATAATCAAACAAAGTGCACATATTTCATACGAGTAATAACATTTGGAAAATACACCTCCGAAAATCACTTACAATGGTCTTAGTTTAAGGTTACTTATTCCATCTCCTAACCATTGTAAATGACCTTCGGTTGGTAAAGATCTACCATAATTCACTACACAGAATTTAGGGCGGGTTAACATAGATGGTTATTAGTTACTGGTTATAGGAGTACTGGTTATAAATGCTCATTTTCATTTTGGAAAACATCTTTTGCATTATTTTCTTTGATATTCATTGGGGAAGTTGTAGGTTAAATGCTCGAGTATATATGCTGACCGATAACATATTTGGATTTATATCTTTCATTTTTTAAATAATTTAGTATAACTGCCCTGGTTAATTTACCAGATGAGCGAGAAGCGCTTCTTCTTGGGCACGTGATTGACGCTTATTTTGCGCAATTTCTCAGGCGCTACGCCCTTGCGTGGTTTAAAGAGGTTTACCTGTAAGCCAACTTTGATCTTCTTGGTGAGGGCTCCCTGTGGGAAGACAGCCTGCACCTGTGGCACCACGGTGCTGGACACCATGCCGCCTTCTGGTCCAATGGCATGGACCTCCTGACGAATGCGCGACACGACAGCGAAGTATTGAGGGAAATCGTAGGTTACGAAGCGGCAGACATGGTTGCCAGCCTGCTCCTCCAATTGGGCAATCTCTGTAGCGATATATTTATGTTAGAAAGCGCTGCTACCACTAAGCCCAATTCATACTCACCCTCTGGCTCAAAGCACTGCTGCAAGACATCGTGTATAATCTCCTCGGAATTATCAATAGTGTGCTCCCTCCATGTTTCTCCATTATCAGATCGCAAAATAATGATCTCGCGCTCCTTGCCCCGCAGCGATGCAAAGTGCGGCACCTCCATGATCACCGGCCCAATGAACTTGGTAGAGCAAGGACCCAATTCCAAGACACGACTGGCCAGGGCCTCTCCCTCCATCAATTGAGGCGGATGCATGGTGCGCTGCGGCTTTACATAGCGACAAGTGACCCTGGTTGGCTGACAAGTGGACCTCGAGGGGATAATCATGCGGACGCCACTGTGTCGACATCCCCGCATAGCTCCTCCACGGGCATCGACCAAGAAGGACACCAGGAAGCTCTTCCAGCTCAGCTTGCGGCTGCAAAAAAATCATAGTTCGTTTAAAAACAAATTTGTGAATAAAGTGGTTTAAAACTCAGAATTCTTTGAAAATAAAATCAATTGATATCATTGGCAGAACTTACCCGACATGTGGCGGCTCATCCTGACCAGCTCCATTGGCGATATACACTCCATCGACAGTGGCCTTGGGCGAACTGCCATAAACCTGGGTCTTGTGGGGACTGATAACCTCCTCACCGATGGTTGGCGGAACTCCAGAGGCATACTCGGCACTCTGGGTCATCCTGTTGGAGTCCATGCGCTCATCACGGGTCACATCGATCGGTAGTGAGTCGTCGCCTAGGGATTTCATTTCATCAACGGTCAAATAGCGGTATGGTTGGTCTGATAGCATATTGTCTTCGCCTATAGTTGTGAATCGATTTCGATGCGTTTCGATGGCATTCCGCAGCATTTGCATTTTGTTTAAGCACAAGACAGTCCAATTGGCCATATAGCGTTGTAGTTGTTGTTGTTGATATTATTATAGTTGTTTGTTGTTTGGTGTTATTTGTTAATGTGTCGGAATTGTTGTTGATTTGTTCGTATTTGTTGAGTTGCAGATGAGAGCGCAGTGCATTGAAAGTAGAAGAATGCAAATGAGTTTGATTTTAGTTACAAAATTTCGTAAGTTTTACATGCTTTATATTTATTATAATCTTTAGAATATTTATATATAATATATATAAGGGTGATATAAAGCTAGCATGACCATTAAATAGGAGCATATTACATGGATACGATAATAGTGGTGGTATAGATACAGACACAGAGGAGTACATTTTTCATGCCGCGGTTTCAAGCAACTTGAGTTTAAATTTAATTTGACAAATATGTCAAAAGAATCTTTGTTTTTGGATAATGTTAAATCTCAAATTTTTGATTTTAACTTTTTTGATAGATAGTTATTAATTATTTCTTAAAAAGAGATCTTTGTCCTATTATTTGGTCATAAGAATTTGTAAATTAATTTAATAAATTTATAGAAAAGCAAGGAGTAAGAAGTTGAGAATCAGTACTCCTTTGATCAATTACAACGTCAAGAAATAGTGTACATTTATACATCTCAGCCCCATATAAAGTGCTATGAGTACGCCAAACTTTGGTGGACAATTCAGCAAGCCAATCATTAATTATGTTCCAATCACAGCCAATTAGTGCACTTTATAACGGCCAGCACTTTAGATAGGAATACGAATACGAGTATACTGATACGGATACGGATACGGATATGGGGTTTTCCAAGTGGCCCTGGGCACTTACTGGAGACATAGAGCTTGTCGCTCTGGTAGTACGGCAGATAGACCGGGCCAAAACCGTACTCGCAGCCAGCTTCCAGTTGCCAGTTAGTGTCACCTCCTGACACACACATGAAAGATTGGGGGATTCACTTAAGACTATCGTAAACTATATAAACTATGGGTAGTGCTCAGTGTCTGGTGTGCTGGCTGACTAGCTGGGCAGTGATCTTGTGATCTTGTGGCTTATGGTTAGGGTTTGGATGGGTTTTTTGTATATGGTATACGTACCGCCCTCTTCCTCAGAGTCCGACATGAAGGACTCGTGCATGGCCTCGGGAGCCACAACGCGATACTTCTCCTCAGTTTGGGCCGAAGCAGCAGCTGCCTCGTCCTCCTTGGTTATGGTTTTCAACGAATCAAGGACACTTATGTAGCCCAACTTGCGAGCAATGTGTAAGGGTGTTTGTCCGTTGACGGTTTGGGCATTGGCATTGGCCTTATGCTCCAGCAAGAGATTCACAATATGGCAATGCCCCTGCTGGGCGGTCTGATGGAGAGGAGTATATCCAATTGATGTGGCAGCATCTACATTGGCGCCATTTTGCAGCAAGAAACGCACCATATTGGCCTGTCCGAAATGAGAGGCGACATGCAAAGGAGTATATCCCGCCTTGGTGGCCATATCGATGTTAGCACCATTCTTCTCCAGAATCTCGGCAACATTCACATTATCCTCCTGGGCACACAGATGCATGGGTGTGAGACCATTCTTGGCCGGATGATTGACAGCGGCCTTATGTTCAATCAACAGATTAGAAATCTCGGCATGACCCTCCTGACTGCTCAAATGGAGTGGAGTGAATCCGGCCTTGCTCTCGGCATTGGCCAAAGCTCCATATTCCAATAAAGTAGTGGCAATATCCATTTGATTCTTCCTTGCTGCAATATGGAGAGGGGTATGCCCATTCTTGGCCGTGGCATGTGGACTGGCTCCCTTTTCCAGAAGCAAAAGGGCAACCTGCTGGTTATTATAATGACAAGCCACATGCAATGGGGTGACACCATTCTTGCCCTGCGCATCCACATCCGCTTCCTTCTGCAGCAGCAACTGGGCGACCTTGATGTGTCCATATTTGGCCGTCAAATGAAGAGGTGTGAATCCCTTCTTGGTGGCGGAATCCAAGGCGGCACCGTTCTCAATAAGCACAGCAGCCACCTATAGAAAGTTGTAAATAAGTCAAATAAATAAGATTACCATGTACTCCCACTGAATAACGTGCCAAAAAATTTACCAAATCACTCTCAACAAATCATAAATACCAAAATACTAAAAAAGGAGTTGCCACATTTATTCGAAAACAAAACGCAAAAAGGGACAACAACACAAGAGTTAAAAAAACAACTCATAATACCGTTAAATTACGAAAACAAAATGTCATGTGAAAAAACTTAAAATCAAATGAAAAACTCCTGATGGCGTATCCAAAACAGCTGCATCAGGTAAACGGTGTCGATATGGTCGGTGATCTTTTTCGCAATCAGATCTTTTACCTCATCCTGTCCCTCCTTGGCGGCGATGTGGAGTGCCGTGTACAAGTCCTTAGTGGTGGCGTCCACTTGAGCGCCATGCTGGAGTAGGAGCATTACAATGTCCACATTTCCCAGTCGCGAAGCAATGTGCAGTGGAGTCTGCTGCTCCCGGGCACGGGCGTCCACCTGGGCGCCGTTGCGCAACAGGATGCGAATGATGTCGGTCTGAAATGGTTTTTATTAAATAGGAATGTGAGTTATAGATATTTCCTCTTTCGGACACCAAACGTTCTTGTAATAACTTGCTATTTTCAACACCTCAGATTCAGCCGAAACTCACCTGGTTAGCTCTGGCGGCCAGATGGAGTGGTGTCTCGCCACGCACAGTGGGCACATCGGGACTGGCATCGTGCTGCAGTAAATAGATGACGATGTTCATGCAGCCCATGAAGGCGGCCACATGAAGCGGAGTGAGACCACTTTCCGTGGTAGCACTAATGCTGGCACCATGTCGCAGTAGCAGCTCCACCACCTTCAAGCGGTTCTTCTTGCAGGCAATGTGCAGTGGAGTGAACCCATTCAAAGCCCTTGCATTAGCATCAGCATTTCGATCCAGGAGAAGCTTAGCCACTCTGACATGACCACAATGGGCAGCCACATGAAGGGCAGTTAGATAATCTACTGTCACCTCGTCGACAGGAGCACGATGGTACAACAGGATGCGAGCGGCATCAACATGCTCACCCTGGGCGGCCATATGGAGGGGTGCCAAACCATTCTTGGTCTTAGCAGAGATAGGAGCTCCCCGTTCGAGCAGCATGTCCACCACTTGCTCGTGTCCCGAACGGGCTGCGCAATGGAGTGGAGTGAGTCCGTCCCGTGTCTTTGCCTCGATGTTACCCCCTTTTTCCAGGAGCAAGCTTACCATATTGGTTTTGCCCCATTTGGCAGCAACGTGAAGTGGGCTGATGTTGTGCTTGGCCGAGTAGTTGACATCGGCGCCCTTCTGTATGAGCAAGTTGGCGATGTTCTGGTTGCCATAATGAGAGGCGATGTGCAGCGGGGTGAAGCCCGACTTGGAAGTTACGTCCGGATTGTGGTCATTCTGGAAGAAGGTGTAATTATGTATTTCATTAAATAAAGAAAACTTTATTTAATATTTCTAGAAATACTCACATCCAAAAGCAGAGTGGCAGCCTTGACGTCGTCCTTCTTGGCTGCAATGTGCAGCGCCGGAAGCCTGACCTTTCCTCGGGTATCACTCTCGAGTAGCACGGCAACTACTTTGTCGTGACCCTGCTGCATGGCCACCGCTAATGGGGTAAAACCATCTTCGGTAGCCAGACTCTGGTTAGCTCCGTTGGACAAAAGGAGTCGTACCACTGCGTCATGGTTCTCCTGGGCGGCCATATAAAGTGGAGTAAATCCATTCTGGGATTGTACATTCACGGACGCATTGTGCTCCAGCAGTAGCTTCACCACCTCCTCCTGTCCAGCTAATGAGGCGATGTGAAGGGCGGTGTTGCCCTTTTTGGTGGCACTGTCCACGATCGCTCCCCGACGCAGGAGTTCGGAGACGACATGGATGTGCCCATCCTTGGAGGCCAAGTGAAGGGCATTTAAGCCGTTCTAAAGCAGATACCATGGGCTTAGTAAGTTTAAGAGAATAATACATTTTCTTTTAACTTACCGCATTACTCGTGTTAATGTCAATGTTGTTCTTCAAATGCTCCAGCACTCGCTCCAGATTTCCGGCGCGAGCGGCACGCAGGAAGGAAGTATTGCCATCGCCCTAAAAATTAAAGATTTGGTAAGTTAAGTTCAAGATTTAATCAGGAATTGAGTAACTTTCTAAAGTTCCTTTCCGTTTGTTTTTCAATATGATTCGGCAACATAAGTTTATATTAATTATCTTTAACCTACATTTTCCCATTACTACACTCACTTAATCAGATTAATTTAAATTACCCTATAAATAGTGTTCTATAGAAATGCCAAATGTACAACTCAAGGCTGAAGATAATTGGCCAGGTGCTAAAAAATAGAGTTTATTTTTGCACAGGTACAAAATGAGGCAAAGGTCAACAAGAAGCAAATTGCCTGACGGCTTATCAACCGCAATGCAATATATCTTTGCCAAGTTTCCGTTGGCCCGGAAAACTTTACATGTTTTTTCGTAGTTACTTGCGTGTTAGTTGCGTATTCATCACCTGCTGTGTGGGTGGTAATAAAAAAGGGATTTGCTTCCGAGTTATTTTTTATTGAACGTTGCTAGGTTGCGCAACTCCAAGTTTCGTGTCCCATCAAGGAGTACAATAGTTACATATTGTTATTATGCACCTGCTCGTTGCCTCAAGTTCAATCCACGACGGTCAAGGCGAGGGGTCACCATTGCTTTTCCGGCTTTTGGCGCAGGTGTAGGGGTAATTCGGTCTAATGGCCAACGCCCACCCACTAACAAAAAAGAAAAATAAAACCAACCACCCACCCACTCATCGGAGCTCAGCTGTCGATGGTGGTTTTGTTTATGTTTTTCTCCCCCAGTTCTCTTCAGGATTTTCGATATCGAAAATGACGTCATGTCGCGTTTTCAAACTGCAACTGGAAGTCGGCAAATCGGAAATTTTCACACTGGAAGTGAGCGAAAATTCGCTGGAGAGTGACCGCAGCTCAGACACCCGGTAGACCCGCTTCCTGAACATTAAGTCCCCTCCATATCCATCCAATCCAATGCACCACCCACCCATCTATACAACCACCCACTCACCCACGCCCTTTGGCAAACAAGGAAGTGTGTGAAGCATATACACAAGCGGCCAAAAAGGAAGAACTCATTTCACATGCCATGGGCATACATACGAATTCAAAAGAAACTTGTTTGCCCCGTCTACTTCCTGAACTCTGTTTGCTTGGCTGCACAGGAAAAACATATTAGCTGAAATTCTAGCTTGTCCTTTTTTCGCCATATATATAGAGAGAGAAATAGGGTAGAAATTATGTTTTTATCAAGACAGAAACAGACAAGGATCTCTGTTACATTGCAATAACTTTTCTCTTAGTGAAAAAATTAGGTACTAATGATAAGCTACTAAACTTTTCTTTGCTTGTAAGGCGAGGTGATTCCCAGACTGGGAATCAGACGTGTTCCTTAAAGTTCAAAGGTTCTTGGGTTCGGCCTCGCTCCCCGTTTTCGTCATTGTATAACGAGAAGCTCAACTGAGGGGCAAATTGAGTGCTCGACTAAAGGAGTTTCGCCTTGAAGTGGATTTGCTTTGAACTTGTGTGGCCAAGTTGGTACTTGGCCACAAGCTTTACGCCTAATCGAAGTCCGAGTGGCTGTCCTTAAGCAGGAGCAACAAACAATCTCTTAATGCAGCAGCAAACACTCAGATGAAAAAGTGAGTCATGTATTATGGATTTTTTCCCCCATCTTGGCACGAGTGTCGCATGCCATCATTAGGTTTAACCTAAATCTCGATTACCTTACACTGCTGCCAACAATACACGCAGGCACCACACCCAGTTCCGATTAACAGGAAAGGACAGTGGTGGTGCCAGTGTGTTTGTTGTGTAGTGCCACTGAGAGCCACCACCTGGTTCCAATTGCCGTTGGTTAGTACAGCAATTATTTTTAGACCATTGTTTGGGCTTAAATCAGAATAGCCTGAAACGCCCATAAATTAAATGGGGTATTTTAATGGAGTGAAAAATCAATAAACTTCGTTGCCAACGAAAAGAAGGGTTACTACCCAAAAGTTTTTCCAAAGAAAAACTAGTTTTATCTCTTGTAACTCCCTTTGAAGCTAATTTTCACCAGGTTTTTCCTCAATTTCGTTGCACTTTTTCAGCCAGACAACGAAAAATCGATAATCCGCAAAATGGACGCCAACATGGCTGCTCCCCAGAATCTCCACACAGTGGCCCCGAAAGGTACAAACCCACAAAGCGAAAAATCAAGAGGAAAATTTCATTTTACCTGAGCTCCATTTTCGGTGACCATTTTTCAACGATTGCCAATGGGAAAATGTCCGCTGCGAGTTTAATTCTGCGTTTAATTTGGTGTAGAGAAATTGTGTAAGCGCCCTATGTCGTCACTGCAGATTAGTCATATTTTTTCACGGGCCCTGGGACTTTTCTTTGCCGTAAGCTACAGAAGAAAATTCGCACTGCTTTGAAGAGATTTTTGCTCTAGACCTTTTGCCCGTTTCTTTTTTTCGCTGAATATTTAATGCACTCCTATCGATTTTTCCTTTAGACTTTATGTAAGCTATATGTACACGAGTGCATGAGTGTGCGAGAGGGTGTGTTCGTACAGGCGACCGATTCGGTTGTGTGCGTGTCAGTGTCAGTGTATGGGTGTAAATGTCTTTGTGTTTGTGTGTATGTGTGTGTGTCTGATTGGATTTCTGGCTGCTCTCACACAGTCCCTTCAGAATTTCACGGTTTTCGAGGAGCACTTTTCGTTTTTGCTGCCGTTTTCTTCGATGTTCAACTCCAGACTGGACGCGACAAGTCCTGCCACGAGTGGTTGAAACTTCAACTGGCAGGACTTCGAAGGACCTGCGCACTTGGTTATTCCAATTGGAAGGTCCACCCCCTGAGTTTCGAGGGTAGTTCGCCCTCTGGAACCGGGACTTCGAATGGAAAGCGCCACCGGAAGCCAGAAAAAGAGGCAGGGCCCAGAACCGAAGGGTCTCCCTCTAAATCGACACGTGCCCTTTGTTATTGTTGACGTTTTTATAGACGCGAGCACGTGCTTTAAAGGAAAACGAGACCTTTTTAGGGTTCTATTGTCAACTTGAATGAATGGTTTTAAATTAATTCAAAATTTAATGGTTTATTTTTGGTCTAAGGATTGTTTTAAAGAAATTCAAGAATCTTTAGGCAAAGCTAACAAAGATTTATTGAGTTTTTTCCTGCCGAGTAACTGAAGCGTAAAATGATGATCCCTTTGGTTTGTTTCTTAAGGGAGAGTTTTTCTTTGCCCTAGAATAAGCGTATAAACCTGTCAGCTTTCCCATTCCTCAAACCTTATTCAAAATTATTCCACCCTCTTTTATGGTAAAAACCAATTTAAAGTTTGTTTATATGTATCTAATATACATTTTTTATAACCCAAATGAAACCCTTGAATTTTAAGCTGAAAATGTTGAAAAAGCTCAAATTTCTAACAGGAAATGTGAGCATAACAATTTCCCTTTATACTTAAAGATCCCTTGTTTTTGTTTAGCAAACCAATAAGAAACCTACACACTACACCCCACTAGCATTACAAATATTTACCCGAGTTGCAATCATCCTATCCAGGGTGTAGCTTTAACTATCCTAACAAAGACCCACATTAATCTTCACGTCATTGCTCGTGCAACAAAATCCGAGGCATTAAATTCCACCGACAGTTTCAGTTGGCACATTACACTAATTAGCTAAGTACACACAAAAATTCATTCGGGTAACATGAAAATGGCCCAGTGGTCGGTCGGTCCTACCCCTAGATTATCTTCTCCTGGCCCGAAACTCTGTTGACCGAGAGTAAATAAAGGCCGGGCCGAGTGCACACAATCCACAGTTGGTTGACGGCTGATGGATGATGGCTGGATGAATGGATGGATGGGTAGGTTTCCTTCCAGCTGGGGATTAACTTTTGCGCAGACGCGCCGCTCAACTGGATGTTGTTTACTTCCCATTTCGAAGTCTTGTATTCGGAATTCGAAAATCACACCCCGAAACTCACCCCCTTTGACACCACATTCAAAGGTCGAAAATCCCAATCGGATGCGGATGCATTCCCGGTCACGTTGTGCCAAGTGAGCCACAAGATAGTGTCATTAATTCGGGTTCTTAGACAGGAAAACCCACCCCTCGTAAGAAACCCCTGCTGCCAAATCCAAAATTCACCCCCTTCGAGCGGTTGCATAAAATTGCATTTCAAATTGCATCGTGACCGGGACAAATTGTGCAGTAAATAAAGGAATGAGTGTGCGTGAATCACGTTGCAGGTAATTAAATGGGCTAAAAGGGGTGGTAAGCCGGATAGCAAGGTGGCGGGCACATTTTGAATTTAATTAAAGAGCTTCCCCTTATCGCCTGGCCTGTTTGTTTTGGTTTTTGACCAGCCGTAAAGGGTTTTCTCGTTCGCACTTTATAAGCCCAAAAGCCTATTCAGTTGGTTGGGTTGCAGGGTTGGCCCAAAACCAAATGGCTTATTCGCATGTCACAAGGCACTCCAGCAATGTTTATACTCTCCCAATGCCTATGGCCATTGTCTTTTGAGTATGGCTCAATTAATAATTCAAAGGGTTCTTCTGCTTTCATTCACATTCAATTGATAGATTCTTAATTACATTTTAGTTCCTCAGGCTGCTTACGTTGGCAATAAACCCAAGGGAAGTCTTGCACGAGTTTCTAATTTTAGTTTAGTTTATTGTGTTCTAGAAAAGATATGACATTAACATGGCAAATGAACTTGTTTCAGTTCAATATCTGGTTGAAGAATCGTAAACTCAAAACTTATTTGTGTTGTATAGACTAAAATTCGAAAGGTAAACAGAAGTACTTGTAAACATCTGAGATATAATATTCTAAGATTTTTCACTCTGTATAATTATTAGAAAAAAAGTGCACATTTACTGTATTTTTACTTTAATTTACAGAACTCCTCCACTTTTTGTGAAGTCTCTGTAAAAAATCCACCAAAGAGTATCCATTATTCGACGATGAAGAAAACTTTTTAGAAACCTCCCTGAGTTTAAGTTAATATTTGTGTTAGCATCGATGTCGCGGTAACTTTTCGCCAGCAATATGATATTACAATGACCCTCCCCGGAGTGCCTTAAAAAACACCATGGCAGGAATGTTTTGGGGCAATGCCTTAAGTAAATTACCACCTAGATGAGCTGATTGCCCATAATTCTGACGACCCCAAAAAACGCAACACAAATTGAGACCACGCCAAAGGCCTCATATCGTGGGTAATTTCTTCGGGAGGAATGGGAGCAGGAAAATGGAAACATTTTCACCGTGTTCAGTTCACTGCACCCGGGGGACGGAGTATGGCGAAAATATCTGAACGGCTCACGCACCAAAATTATGAAAAATGTAAAAAACAAAAAAAAATTCACTGCACGATTCGCTGGCCAATTTGGTTGTTGGATTTTATATATATGTATTTATAGGACGACCCAAAACAGATGTTTTTTTTTTATACGGGGAGCTCCCCTCACACCGCATTACATAAATTTATATTCAAGGTGTCGCGAAACTTACGCCCAAACTCTGCAGCGATGGGAAGCGTTTCTTCAGCGTCTCCATTTGCCCAGATTACCCGGGGTTATTCAAACTTGTCGGGGCCAATCAATTGAAAAATATACGCGTATATATCTAAATATTGTCTAGAGGGCCTCACGCGGCAGCCGCAACCGAGCGATTTGAGTCGTTTTCTGAATTATTTTCGAATGCGGCTCGTCGACATAGAGAACCAGAGACCCCAGAACAGATAGGAATATAATAGAGACCCGAGAACAGAGACCACACACTCGGACTATGCCAAAGTAAAGAGTGCCGTAAAGAGAACGTTTAGCTAAAATATTTAGCCAGTTTGGCTATTTATAAAGGCCAAGACAAGCCAAGAAGATTGCGAAAAAAAGAGCTTTTCTGGCTATTTAGCTGGCGACCTCAGGATTTCTTTCGTCATAGGAGCCTCAAGATTTTGATGCCTCGGAGACGCCAGACGCCAGGCGCCAACAGGAGTTGTTAATGCCCCCGCAAGGACAACGGAAGCGCACTGCCGATGACTCACTTGGCATTGGGCATAGTCGGTCCAAGGATTACTCTTGCGTCATCACTGGTATGGAATGGGTCATAATTTAACTCCAAGATGGGGTCGAGATGATGCCTCAAAAAGTTGTGATTCATTTGTTACTTTCAAGGATGTGAAAGTTTCTCTGGTTTTAGTGGAGATGAGCTGAGTCTTCTAAGGAAATTATCAGGCAGCCAGACTATTGACCTTAAGTAGAAAGTTCTTATTACCAACAAGTTATGACCCTTAATGGCATAAACGTTTTACAGAAGATTCGAAAGGGAAATAATATCCCTATAAAAGGCATTGATTTTATGGCTTTGAGTAAGTGGATGAAAAAGGATATCATGAAAATATGAAAACTTATGAAGGTCCCTCAAACTTTAATGACACCAACTCATTCCTTAAAGCAACTAGGTGTGACCTCTAATTTCGTCCCCTTGGAGTCCTGATCACGTGACTATCTATATTAAGTGGGTAGCTAACCCATTCCCTATGCAATGATGTAATCCTGGGCAGGACAACTTACCGCACTCTGGTGCCCTGTAGGGCAATGCTCATGCTTGTTAGGATGGTGGTGGGATTGCTGCTTGTGGTTGGTACCACCGTTGGCTCCGTCGTGGTGAAAGATCTGTTCATGCTGATGTTGGAAGTACTCGTAGTGACCGATATGATCCGGATGGTGTTCCGTCGGTGGTGAGTGGATCCGTGAGGGCGGGCTGTGATGTTGTGCCTTGGGGGCATGGCCAGTGGTGGTGGTGTGATGCGATTGCTTTTGAGAATGGCCACCTGCTCCTCCATGATGACCACCGCTGGTAGAGTGGTGACCATGTCCATGGCCATGGTGGTGATTGTGGGTAGGCGGCGAGGGCATGTTGTGACCACTGTGTGGCAGATGGGACGAATGCTGCACACCCACCTGATGTCCGTGGTGGTGGGGCACATGACCTTGGGATGCCTCCATCAGCGTAGGCTGGATGTGGGTCACAAACTGGGCCATCTTGCCGAAACCTTCAACTACTGCTCCCTTTTTGTTGTATTTTTTTTTTTGGTATGGGCTTAGGTAACACTTGTTTAATTTTTCACTGCTCTACGAGAGGGTTTGTATGGTATGGTAGGTAGGGTGGCACTTTTATATGTATCCCAGAAGTGGGAGTGGGGAGCACAGAAAGCACATACACTATGGCTGATTTGCGGACGCGATGTGTGCGACGGAGGATTTGGGCTCGGAACGTGGACAACCTTCTCGCAGGAGCAATGTCAAATGACTGACTAGGACCAGCTATCCCAGTTGGGTCTTAGATGCCACAGGACTCTCCACCCGCCATCGCACCACCCGAACGACTTCGGCTAAAGGTCGGGTGCGTGTTCGTCGTCGTCCTGTCGGAAGAGCTTTAACCGGACCCAGTTTTATGCGCCTGGCTGATAAGAGATGCCCCGCTCCAACGGCTGATTGCGATTTTGGATAGCTGCGGATGCTGATTTAATGATGCCTTCGTGCCTGGCCACGTAGTGCTCTGTTTTTTTATATCTTGCTGTCAACTGTGTCACGGACTCCCAATTCGTTTCGCTGGAGATTTTTTTTGGTCGTTGAGTAGGAGGCGGGGCTGCCACTCTTTGTATATCACTCTGTTATTTTTAACGCAGACAGAGGAACATGTTTCATCTATTTGTGTCAAGCGCGAAAGTATACTCCAATTTTCAAGGGCCTAACAGGTGGAAATGAAAGTTTTCGACTAGGTGTTATCCTTTAAAATGAATTGATGGATATTAAGTTACAGGAAAATATACTCATAATCTTGTGAAAGGTAAAATCTGTTATTTTCGTAAAGTTGTTTATGACTTTGATTTATAAACTTGTTTTATATATGTATAAAACAATGTCTTATATAAAAACATATGAGTCCTTTTGTTCTATTAGTTCTACTTAAAATGAGTACACTTCTTAAACTTTAAATAATTATTAAATGTTTATATAATTTTGTAACATACTTTAAAATTTTTTTCAATTCATTTTTTCTACTCTCCTTGCTCAAAATTATTAACCTAATATACCCTTAGGTTTATTTTCATACCTATTACCGACAAGCAATACCTTACGTTATGAGCTAAAAGCTTTTGCCTTACGTAGTTTGCTGTGAGTTACGTGGAAGCTATCTTTTATTGAGCTTATTCCGTAGGGTATTTAGTAGAGAACATTGGTTTATAAAAAAAGGGGGTGTGTCCCTTTTTGTAGATATGTATTTTATGTACTTAAAAAATATACTCTGTGAAAATTAAAATTTAAAATTTAAAATAAAATGTACGATACTTTGTTATAAACAAATATTCCATTTTATAAATTAAAATAACAAATTTAAATAATGTGATCCTTTCATTTGTTAACATGAAAAGTGAAAGTGCTTACAATATCAATTAGTTATACCAGGTACATATGTATAGAATATAACCAATGCAAAATTAATTTCTGAACTCTTTTAGAAGCTTTGGAAAAGCTCAACCAACAGCGCATTCGAATGTCGAGGGCATCTTGCCTTATCTCAACCTCCTGCATATGGGTTCATACATATGCTTGTAGTTCGTTCGTCATCGCCATTCTGTAGCTTTTGCGACTGCCAGCGCAACAAAGTCCAATGTCCAAGCGTCGGTGCCGTATCGCTATGTACATATCAACGCTATACCGGCGCATCGGCAACTCGTTTGGATCATTTCGCTGCCAGCCACCGACGAGTTAGCAAGGCGACCTAGTTAAATCTTAGGAAAATACGAAAATAAACCCACAAACCCAATGGCGTTCCTCAACAAGGTAGGCATATCATTTAATTTATAAAGCGGTGAAAGTGAAAAATAAATAAGTCTATAAAATGCGAGGGTTCAAAGTTCTCTCACAGATTAGTGACGACAGCAACTGTTGATCGTCTGCGAATTAGGTTTACGTATATATGTACATACATATCTATATACGAGTGGGTTCCGTTTCGTAAACACATTTGTTGTTGCTTATCTGCCAGCAATCATCTGTACTTTGCCCCCCTCGAAAAAAATTATTATTAGCGGCGTTTCATGGCGGCTTGTTTTTGCACTCGATTTAAATTGGAATGCTAACTTTATTGGCAGGCCTGATATAACGAATGTTAATTTACTTTGTTTGCGAATTTTTAATCTAGGGTATATAAGGTATCTCTAGGAACCCGAGTCACTCATAAAAATATATTAACAGATATGTCGACCCATCATCAAGATTAAGATTAGTTCAGAATCAGCTTTTGTTCCTAGACTGAGAAAATATGCAACGGTGATCTTAACAAAATAGTTATTAACAATTTGTTTTTTCCTTTCCAACAAAACTAGCTTGCTGCGCCTGCCCTGCGCCAGCTGGTGTCTCAAAGTCGCGCATACGCTGCCGTGTCCCATGTTTCCCCCAATGGTACCTCATTCGCCCTTACCGAGGATCAGCTGCAGCTGCAAGAGCTGGCCCGCAAATTCACCCGCGAAGAGATTATCCCAGTGGCCGCTCAATACGACAAGAGCGGCGAGTACCCGTGGCCCATCATCAAGAAGGCCTGGGAGTTGGGTCTGATGAACAACCACATTCCCGCTGATATTGGTGGTCTGGATCTTGATGTTTTCACCACTTGCCTGTCTGCCGAGGAGCTGGCCTATGGCTGCACCGGCATCATGACCGCCCTGGAGGCTAGTGGTCTTGGCGTAAGTTATACTATGGGTAACCATTTATGGCAGGATGTTCTTGATCTATTCCTTACCCACAGCAAACTCCTGTAATCTTGTCCGGTAACAAGGAACAGAAGAAAAAGTACCTGGGTCGCCTGCTGGAAGAGCCACTGGTCGCTGCCTATGGTGTCACAGAGCCCGGAGCAGGATCTGATGTTTCTGGCATCAAGACGCGCGCCGAAAAGAAGGGTGATGAATACATCATCAACGGCCAGAAGATGTGGATCACCAACGGTGGTGTGGCCAATTGGTACTTTGTGCTGGCCCGCACCAATCCCGACCCCAAGTGCCCACCCAGCAAGGCCTTCACTGGATTCATTGTGGAGCGTGACACTCCCGGACTGACGCCCGGTCGCAAGGAGTTGAATATGGGACAACGTGCCTCTGACACTCGTGGCATCACATTCGAGGATGTGCGTGTGCCCAAAGAGAATGTGCTGATTGGTGAGGGAGCCGGCTTCAAGATTGCCATGGGTACCTTCGACAAGACGCGCCCTCCAGTCGCTGCCGGTGCTGTTGGCTTGGCCCAGCGTTGTCTTGATGAAGCTTTGAAATATGCGCTGGAACGCAAGACCTTTGGCGTACCCATCGCTTACCACCAGGCTGTGCAGTTTATGCTGGCCGATATGGCCATCGGTGTGGAGACGTCGCGTCTGGCGTGGCGTCTGTCCGCCTGGGAAATCGATCAGGGACGCCGTAACAGCTACTACGCCTCCATTGCCAAGTGCCATGCCGCCGATATGGCCAACAAGATCGCCTCCGATGCCGTTCAGATCTTTGGAGGTAACGGTTTCAACAGCGAGTACCCAGTGGAGAAGCTCATGCGTGATGCTAAGATCTACCAGATCTACGAAGGTACTTCCCAGATCCAGCGTCTCATCATCTCGCGAAACATGTACGAGGCTGCCAAGGGTAGCGCCTAAGCCAGTGCCAACCAGGATTCCTCATCATCATTCACCTCAGCCACCTTCATGCTCATTCTAGAAACATTCACAAATCCGATTAATAAAGTACAATAAGTAATAATTACAAGAAACACAAATTATTCGTATCTTTTATTTTTATTTACTTTTATAACATGGCACTTAAGTTTTTGAAATGCATCACAAATACCAAAAGTTTAAAAACGACTTGAAGAAATAAGTAAATAATCAGTAAGTTTGAATTTCTTCTTAACCTCTCCAATTTCATCGCTCTTGGCCTCACTTACCCCCAAAAGTCTATAGTCTAGACCAAAGCAAATAATTTCGCCAGCTATCATCCACTGATAAGATAAGTCCAGTGGGGGCTAAGTGTTTGTCCTACTTAGGTTCAACAATTCTGCGTACTGTTATCAACCCAAAGATAAGAGGTCTGTTCAGATTTACTATATAATTGTCAAACAATAAAAAAAGACTTTGGGACTTAAAACAAAATGAAAATTGATTATACATGATGAGTCTTAACTACTCCGCTTCATTTTCATCAGCCAGTAACTTGAGGAGTCCCTTGTACCGCCTTCCGATTTTCCGTCGAGCGGACATCAGCATCCTGGCCTTATCGCCAAAGTGGAGCTGCCAAATGGTTTGAAGTGTCTCCAAGGCTCCTGGCATGGAGAACACTTGCTCATTGATTGTTAAATCAAAGCGCCTAGGAAGTTTAGTTTGTTCTTCGATTTTTTTGAGTCGAGTGTCATCCAGAAGGTTTGTACAATTGGTGGCCAACAAGGAGCGCAGTTGAGGTAGTTCATCTAGTATATAACCCAGTGCAATTCCACTTAGCCTAGAATTATCACTGATATCCAGCCACTGAAGTTGCTTGGCTTTGGACAGATGCTGGTTGATCTTGTAAAGATGGGCATCATTCAAACCACAGCCGGCTAGCTCCACACGGATAAATCGTTCGCATGTGCCACCTTCCAAAAGAGATACTATCCGTTCTCCCAAAGCAAATCCACTGGCATCGTCCAAGGGCCAACGCACGTAATTGAGATTCAATTGTTCCAGGCGGCAACTATTTAGTTGATCCGTCAGCAGGCCAACACTCTGCTGAGTGAGTTGATTAAAGCTAATATCGAACCGTGTCAACTGGTTGAATCCCAGGTCAAAGCCCTGCAGTTCCGTTAGCTCACACTGAGCAATTTGGAGGGATGTCAGAGCCTGACCAGCGGGACTGGCACAAAATCTACTAAGAATTCTTAGGCTGGCATTGCCCAAAGGATTCTGACTTAGATTTAGATCTGCCAGAAGCTCAAGTTTATCTATATTTTGGGCGCACAGCAGGGCCTCCAGTCCCTGGGAACTAATGGCATTACATTGCAGTCGTAGTGCCTTAAGTTGAAGTAATGTGGGCAGAGATTTGCCCAACTGCTGACAGCCAACGTTACCAATAAAGTTGCGGGATAGATCTAAAACCGTAAGTCGCGCTTGGTGGAGAAGTGCTTTAAATATGGGCTCTGTTTGGTGTGGGCGCATCCATAAGCCTGACATTTCTAACATTTGTGTGTTTTGCGAATGCTCCAGAAGAAGCTTAACTTTGTTGTCAACAGCTAAAAATAAGAAACATTCGTGCTAGTACATAACAATTTAAGGAAATCTTAAGATAAGCTCCATTTATACCTTTCTGTATTTGATGGCACATTTCTTCATATCTCTGCGAAAGCGGTGATATTTTCCAATCAAGAATGGTAGCCATTAACATATTTTGTTCGAGGGCCACGCTAACAGCATCCGTTTCCTCGTATGCGAATCCATCGGCAGTCTTAAGTCGTAGGAGAGGTGTTAGGCCAGTCAACCTAAGAATTATTATTGAAATTAGTTTTAGTTAAATTTTATTTGAGCAATACTTACTTATTGTAGCGCCTACCGGCTTCCTCAGCCAACCAGCGTATATTGATATCCTGAAGCTTCTTGCGCTCAATGGGAACCAATAACAGCTCGTCCTGCACTTTGACTTTAAAAGACACAGTGGTGGCCAGAACGGGAGTAGTTTGTACCTTTATAGGTGATGATTTGGACGGTGATATGAGCAACTGAATGGTGCTCGTAGTGGAATCGGGTTCAATGGTACGCAGACTGATCACCGAAGCGGCACCATCCTGCGAGGATTCACTACCCATGGGACTTTCGCTTCGGAACCGACTGAAACCGCTGTCCATCAGCGTTGCCTGATGCTTTTTCCGACTAGGAGCAGTCGAACTGCTATGGTTGCTACTCATGCTGGAGGAGCGGGACAGGGTTAGTTTCCGCATTTGCTTTTGACGCTGCGAGAATTCCGTTTCAGGAGTGGCTTGCAGAAAGTCGTCCTCCCAGTTTGTTGGCAAGGAAAGAGCAGAGTCTTGAAAGTTCTCTTTTGAGGGACGTGTGCTAAGATCTCCGGAGTTGATACGCTTCCGTTTTCGTTCCGGACCCACATCGTCGATAAGCCAGTTATCCGCATCGACCTCATCTTCGTTAAGAAAAGCGTTACGTTTCTGCTTACTTATAGTGCTTGTACAGGGAGGATCATCGTTAAGACGATTGGGTCTTTTAAGATGCGCCATAACACTTCTATACTCCTTGCTGGCACTTGGTTGTGTTGAACTCTTCGGTTTCATTCCTCCGTATTCACTTCCTGAACGGTTGTGGCTAAGGGATCTTCTGTTGCTCTCTTGAAGAGCTTCTTCTTCATCTTCTTCGTCCGATAAGCTTCCTCGATCTTCCTTACTTAGTCTTGGAACGTTTGCATTTGTTAAGGGCCGAGCATTCCGGTCACTGCATATGCCCACCTTGGAAAGTGTACGAAGTAGTCGCTCTCTCAATTGGGCGTATTGCGCCTGCTCTCCGTCTACCAGCTGTGCTCCTTGACGCCATTTGTCTAGTCCAGCAATACAGGTCTCATTGTAGTCCGTTCGCACAGTAGCATCTGCTCCACGATCCAGCAAGAGTTCAGCTACATCCAAGAAACCATTGGAACAGGCGTCAAAAAGAGGTGTTATGCCATCGCAACTGGTGCCGCCCTTGTCGTTAATGGCAGATGCGGCTCCCTTATCCAGCAACAGTTCCACAATCTCTCGAAAACCATGATTACAGGCTTCATGCAATGGCAACCAGCCTGCATGATCTCGCACATTAACCGTGTGACCCTGATCGATGAGGCGTCTGACCAGTTCCAGATTTCCCGATATACACGCCTGATGCAACTGAGTCTCGCCCTTGTTATTCTTTTTTATGACTAGGGATCTGCTACCTCGTGTGGTTCTTTGCGGACGCGGTTTTTCGCTTTCATCCAGATCACTGGCATCCGAGTCGGTCAGAGTGGTCAGGTCAAAATCGTCATCCCAATCGGGAGTATTTTGTTGCACTGCAGTTCCTCCGGCTTCGACATCTTCATCATCGTCGCCCAGACTTTCTTCTTGGTCCAAATCGATTCCCTTACCTGTGGCTTCTGCCTCCAGGTTTTCAACTAAGACTTGCATATTATGCTTAAGCATTAGACGCCTCAATCTCACCATTGCAATCTTCTCCAGCTTGTCGGACGAGGTCCCAGCCTTCTCGGCTTGGCGAAGAGCCTTTTGGTAAACATCGTGGGTAGTCCAGAAAGGATGAGATTGCTGTTCGCATATTTCAGCAATCGTACAGAGAGTGGTAAAGGCTTCCGAGGGAACATCCTGGTTCAATTCAAACTCTTTCCACAAGTACTCCAAGGCTTTGTCAAACTGTCCATTGTCTCGATAAGTCTGATAGAGACTCACGTAGATGGGCACTAGACTTTTACCGCTTTCCTTATTTAGTTCCGCGTTCTCCAACATCTTTTGGTAATAAGTAAGAGCTTTCTCATAGTTCATCAGATGGCAGCAACCGTCGCCCAGTTTCTCGTACAAGCTTTTTAACTTTCCGTAGTCCATGGAGCTGGTCAGGACCAATTCATCTAGGGTTTGACAGATCTTCACTACAACCCTTAGCTGCTTCTCTATCACTCCTCGATCGTTTTCATCAGGTGTGTTCTTCTTGTAAGCTTTGGTAAGTATATGTTTGGCGCTTGCAAAGTCGCCAGCCTTTATCAAGATCTCCGCTTTGGTGATCAGCGTGTCACAGATCTTTTTTACTTTATTGGTCAGCCGCTTAGCCACCTCCAAAGCCATATTGCAGAACCGAAGAGCCGCCGTTGCATCGTTCTTCTTGCAATTGTAGAGCAAACTCATCGAGATGTAGCACAAATGGGTCAGGTCCCACAGCTCGTTCGTTTTACTGATCTTTATAGCTTTATTAATATACTCGATGGATTCTTGGAAAGCCTCCATGTGCTCTTTCACCACGCCGATGTTTAGGTAGCAGCGAGCTTGCATATCAAGTTGCTCCAACTTCGAAATTTGACCAGCAAGTCTGTAAAATAAGAAGATGAACATTAGTTACAAAATTAATTCAATATTAATGAGTAAAATTATAACTAATGAACGCGCTTTTTGAGGTATAGACCCAGGATATTTTTAGAAAAACTTACTCTTTGATAAGCAGAAGGCTGCGAAGGAAGCTCTTTTCTGCCAGTTTAAGCTGTTCCATTGATCCAGAGGCGGAACTATCAGCCAAACTCTGGCCATGTAGAAGATGAACGCGACCCAATGTGGCATATGCTCGTTGCTCCTCCACCTGGTTCTTTAATCGCTTGGCAATCTCTAAAGGAACACATTTAGGAGGTAAAATTATGTTCTCAGATGATAACACCAGTTAACTCACTCAGGTAATCGCTTATGTGATCCTTGGCGGCATCGTAGTCGCAGAGCAAGGTGTACATCTCACCAACCATCCTCTTGGCCTTGCCCGTCTCCAGTTCTTTGCCCATAGAGGCGTAAATCTTGGCTTCCTGGACATATTCCCTAACTGCATCGTTGTATTTTCCCTGTTGATTGTAGAAGTCGCCCAACTGATTGCAACACACAGCCAGCTGATCTCGATTGCCATCGCTGCGCGCCTTTTCCTTGCGCTTTAGGTAGCGCTTTTCATCCATTAAAATAAAACACAAATAAGTACTCAAATAATACAAAACAAAACAAATTTCACAACATTCTCAACATTGTCTTTTGGTTCAGCTGCGATCGGCAGTGCTACCAGATCGTCAAATGACTTCACCACTAAATATGTTATTTTTTGAATGCCAGTAATCGATAATACGATTTTTCCGAGTCTATCGATAGATTTTAAAATGAGTAACCCCTAGAGTTGTAAAAAACGACGTTAATTTTAAAATTTAACATAAATATAAATATAAATAAATATATATATAAATTTAAAAGTATTAAACACGCTAACCCCAATTACATTAAAGATTATTGTGCTCGAAATATAAAGATAGAAGTTTTGTTTACTTTATATCAATATCAATTAAAGAAATTTCCCAAATTAAAGCTTAACTGTATTTTGGTCTGGTTTTCTATTATCGATGTTTCAAGTTTGGCAACGCTGATAATTTCTCGGGTCGTGAGCAGCATTGTTTATACTTTTGAAGGACTTTTAGGAAGAACATTTACTACTTCTAATAACAAGTTTAATTTATAATTATTTAATCGTGTTGCAGACTTTTGCCATTGCAACTAAAGCTTAAAAAACTGAGCAGATTATAATAAAAATAATGATTATATTTTAACTCCGTGCTCTCTATAGGTTTGTTTACTTCTTGGTAAGTTCACAATTCTTATACGTTCTTCATATTTCTTTTCTCATTTTCAAATTAAAAATGACTTTAATGAGATAATGATAACAGTTTTAAATGACGTCACATTTTGGCTGAAAGTCAAAGTAAAATTTTACGCAGAGCTAATTTTTCCTTTATCTAGACCATCTGGTTTATTTGTTCAGCCGAAAGTGCTTAAGCATCACATATGTTGTATGCCTGTCCGTTCTGATGTATGTATTGAAGAATGTATATATGTACACATTAGGGTGGACTCGTTCAGATGTATGTACATCAGGGTGGACTAGTTGCTTGGGAAATATAATGTTGTATTGCCCTCTTATGCGACGATTGCCGCGTCTATTAAATAACCGTTACTCCTTAAAAAAATTCAAAATAATTATGCTGACTGGAATTGACAATGAGTATGAGTCAACATGCTCTAGCTGGTGAAACTCATTGAATTTCTGGAATCAATTTATGTTCAGTTTTTTCCCTGTTCATTAATAAAAAGAATTAATCAGCAAATTCCGCCCTCTTTTTTATGGCAAAGTTAAAAATCTACTGCTGTTGTAGATTCAATGCTTATCACACTGGCAACGGGTACACAACGTGCTTATTATTGAAAAGGATAAGGTCTGTAAAAGTACAAAAGGAATTTTTTAACATATTATAAAAAAGTGAAAATAAGCTATTTTACAAAAATGCTGTTTCTGTTACGGTGATCGAAGTTCAAAGAGTTCTTCGAACGTTTAATTAAATCAAGCAATTTTAATTGCCAACGTAACCTCACGAAGGTTAATCTAATTTGCTCAGCTTGTGAAAGCACTGTGAAATGGAAATTTGCAGAAATGTACAGTGGACTAGAGTGAGAAGTTTTTGCGCAAATAAATCCTATTACATTTATATCAATCTCATTGTTTGTTAGTGTTTAACAAATATGCATATGCCTTGCAGATATTTATATGAAAAATACAAATTAATATGTTTCTGAAATTAAAGAACATTTTTGGGTAACACAATCAAAATTCGAAACACGTTATCTCTGCAGTTCTTTAGCCCGCTTTGTCTCTGTCAATGTGCTCGGTTTTTGTGTTAACAAGACTCGGCCAAAAACAAGTTAACGAAAATTAATCAAAGCCACGATCCACTCGCATTTGGCGACGGTTGGCGCGTTGTCAGCTTTGCCCGCCAACCAAGTCTCTGAAATTGAATTAATTTTCATACATTTCGCATTCGCATGGTTTTTATTTTCATTTTATTATCTAAATCCTATTTATAAGGCTTACGGATTAATAATGCATGAGTATTCTGCTATTATGCTAAACTAGTGGTATTACATCGATCAATAACGCATATTTACAAGTCTCAAAACTGTCACACTAATGGAAACCCCCTTTAATTTTTGTTCCAATTTAGGTAAACATCAAAGGCAGTTTTTGACTTTGTCGTGTTGTTTCTATTTTGACCAAAATCATACGAAAGAACAGTTTTGGCTCCGGTTTTTATCTTGTTCTCCTGATACTTGGCATAATACGGACTGATATTAGTTTGATTCGCTGCCACGGTTGATGTTATTGACGCCTTTTGGTTTTGCGTTAAAGCTGTTGTGGTTTTTTCAAACTTGGCCTTAAATTTCTGGAAGAAAGGATGATCGAAGGGATCCTTAGTAGTGGCACTCTTTTTCGTTGTTGACGTAAATAAATATGGCCTTGGTGTGGTGCTTTCTAGACGAGTGATTGGTGTGGTTTTTGTTGAGTAGCGAGTAGTACTCGTAGCTCGCGTTGTAAAAGGTTGACGAGTTGTTGGTGAGTAATGAACTGTTGTGGTTGAACGAGTGGTTGTTGTTGGTCGAGTGGTGGATTTATTTACAGATATATATTGGTAGGGGGACTTGGTTGTTGGTCGAGTTGTTGCGGTGTAACGAACTGGTGGTTTTGTAGTTGGTGAATATAACGCTCCATATCGAGTGGTGGTCTTAGAAGTTGAAGATTTTTGTGTTGTTGAAACATATCGAGTGCTTGTAACTGGTCGAACAGTTGTAAAGGGTCGAGTCGTTGTATAGGGAGTGTTTGGTCTCGTTGTTGTTGACTGTTTTTGGTAAGCTGTGGTAACTGGTCGATTTGCTGGAGGAGCAGTGGCTCGAGTAGTTGATCGTGTAGTTGGACGAGTAGTTGATCGTGTAGTTGATCGAGTAGTTGGTCGAGTAGTTGATCGAGTAGTTGGTCGAGTAGTTGGTCGAGTAGTTGGGTGAGTAATTGTGCGAGTTGTTGATCGTGTGGTTGGGTATGTTGTTATTGGGCGGGTAGATGGGCGTGTAGATGGGCGAGAAGTTGGACGTGCAGTAGTTGTTGCCCGAGTATTGGGACGAGTTGTTGTATACGCAGCTGAACTAGTAGTCGGACGAGCTGCGTAAGTGCTGAAGTAAGTATTTGGAGAAGGTGTTGTGCGGATTGGAGCAATAGTTGACTTCGTAGTGCTCCGAGTAGGTGCTCTGGTAGTTGGACGAGTGGTAGGCTTATTGGTTATTACTGATCGAGTAGTTGTTTGATATGCAGAGGGTTTCGTTGTAGCTGTATAGCGATTACCACTTTCCGTAATTGTGGTCTTGGCGGTCGTAGAAGTTTGCCATGACCATAACGGCAAGCTAGTTGTTTTGGCCGTAGCTGCGACTGGTTTTTTTGTGGCCGCTGTCAAAGGTTTCCTTGTGGTTGTTGTTACAGATTGCTTTGTAACGCTTGAAGTTGTTGCTGCCGCCGCAGACGTGGCGGTAAATTTAATCACCTCATTGCGGAAGCTGTCGCTGCTGACATAGGGTCTGTTGACCAGCTGAGTGGGCTTAGATGGGCTCGTTGGTTTAGGCTTGGGCTTGATGGGTGCTTGAGCTTGAGGCACAATTGGTTTGCCAAGTAGACTGAGGAATGGATTCTGGGCATAGGACAAACTGTCATGAGGCTTGACTTCTTCTGAAGTGTGTGAAGTAATAGCAGAGGGTGTAAGTGAACTGGGGGCGTTCAGGAAGGGATTTTTTTCATAGTTCGGCTTTTGTGCAGAACTAATAGCTGTTCCTGATGTGAAAGTAGGTTTATTCGGTTGTTGATTATTGAAAAATGGATTGGTGGGATAAAGTTTATTGGTTTGTGACTCCTTGGGAGCCGATATATTATTCGTAATTTTATTTGTAATTTTTGTGGGCTGCACATGGGCTTGAGGTATCTTAGCTGCATTTAGATTTTGAAGAAAAGGATTACTCGCATAATTTTGACTGGTGGCTATCTTTTGATGTGGTTTCTCTGGCACTGGCTGATGGGGTTTCACTTGAGGTTTTTCACCATAAGGACTGATTTTATCCGCCGCTGCAATCTCATTACCATCAAAGCAGTCACTCAATTGGGCCAGGTTCTGATTCCTGCAATGTCCATTGTAGACAGTCCAGGCATTGAAGCCATCTCCCGAGAGTCGTGTGTGTTCTTCATGGATTGTGCGAATGCATTGGACATCATCGGTTATATCTGAGTCCAGCAAACGATCGCATTCGATGTGACAAGCCTTGCCACTTGTCTGGTCATGGGAGCACCAGTAAATATCGCTGATCTGGAACAAACCGTGATCTTCACTGCCATCTGAATTGAGTTTTCCCACAGCGGCTGTATTGAAAGAGGATTCATATTGTGCTATGCAGACCCAGGTGGGAATTTCCCTCATGGGCATCTTATGTTTATGGTAAAGTTCCTTGGCCAGTTCACAGCGATTGTAGATTTTTCCCTTTGGCGCTGGAGATTTCTTCTTGACCAACTCGTTACCCTTAGATGGTTTTGGAACTTCCTGTGGCAGATCTTTACCCTCAAAGCAGCTGGCTATATCAGCTCTATTTTTCTGCCTGCAATGTCCATTGTAGACAGTCCAAGCTGTGAATCCATCTCCTGAAATTCTGGTGTGCTCTTCGTGGATGGTCTTCACGCACTTGACATCATCTGTGATATCCGAGTCCAGCAGGCGATTGCAGTCAATGTGGCAACCCTTGCCGCCTCCATCATCGTGTGTGCACCAGTAGAGATCGCTGATCTGGAAGAGCCCGTGATCCGCACTTCCATCCGCATTCAGCCGACCCACCGCTGCCGTATTGAATGAGGATTCATGCTCGGCGATGCACACCCAGGTGGCTATATCCTGCATGGGAAACTTGTGTGAGAAATACAACTCTTGGGCTAATTCGCAGCGATTGTAAACTTTACCCGTGCGTTGGTAGTGTGTTTGATAGTGTGTCTGATATTGTGGCTGATACTGTATTGGCTGTTTGTGAGTGTAGAAGGGGTTAGCAGGGGATTGGTTTTTAGCAGGGAATCCAATAGCATTTGGATGCTGCTTGGGCGGAATAACTGGGCGTGGACGGAGGAAGGGATTTCCCGAATAGGCAGGCACATTATTTTGGTAATTTAAAACAGCCGGTGCTGGTCGATAATATTGATTCACAGCAGGAGTCGTTGGGTTCTGATGAACTTGGACCTGTCCAAATTGATAGGCATAGCTGACCTTGGGCTTCACAGGACCTCCTCCAATGGCATTTGGATGATGCTGAGGCTGATGAGCCGGTGGCTTGGCAAAACAGGCTGCCACCTGTTCGTAATGCTGATTCAAACAGTTCCTCTTGTACACAGTCCAGGCATTGAAGCCATCACCCGAGATCTGAGTATGCTCCTGATGGATCCTCCTAATGCATTGCACATCATCAGCTATGCTGGTATCTAGGAACTGATTGCACGTGGCATGACATCCTTTTCCAGCCCTCTGGTCATGGGTGCACCAGAATAGATCACTGATCTGGAACAATCCATGATCAGCACTGCCATCTGCATTGAGACGACCCACAGCAGCTGTATTGAAGGAGGATTCATGCTGGGCTATGCAGACCCAGGTGGGAATCTGCGGCATTGGCAGTTTATGTTGGTAAAACAGCTCCTGGGCCAGCTCACAGCGACTGTAGATTTTTCCCTGTGGCTGAACTTGAGCCACCTGATGGTATTGATTCACTGGATAGCTGTGGACCTGAACTTGTTGCGGTCTTTGGTAGGAGGCAGCCACTGAAAGAGCTGTACTGCCAGGACCTCCACATCCTGCCACATAGGATGCTGCATCTCGGCGGCAGTAAGCGTCATAAGCTTGCCAAGCTGTGAAACCATCTCCACTAATCCTCTGATGCTCTGCATAGATCTTCCTTACACACAGGACATCGTCAGCGATGTCATCGTCCCTCAAGCTAGAACAGCTCAGTTGACAACCTTTTCCTTGACCCGGTGGCGAGCACCAGTAGACATCGCTGATCTGGAAGAGACCATGGGATCCACCGCCCAATCCTGCGCCTCCGCCAAAGGCAGCCGTATTGAAATCACTCGAATGCTGGGCAATGCACACCAAGGTGGCCACTTGGGGGGCAGGAAGACCAAAACGCTGTTGCAGCAAATTGGCCAACTCACAGCGATCGAAGATCTTGGCCGTGGCCAAAAGCGGGAGCAAAAGGCATACCACTGGCCACCTCAACATCTTGATCTGTTCTGACACCCGAACCCGCGGAGCTAACACTCTTATATAGAACACAGAAAGACGCACAAAAAAAACTGGAGCAAGATCCTTAGGTCATTTGTAATTCAAATTTTAAAAGTCAATTTTTAACGCGTGTATATTGGTTTTTTGTATTCGCGATTTTAATTATTTTTCTTCGTTTGTTATTTTTTGTCAGATTTCCAGCTGGCTGTGTGCGTTCGCGCGTTTCGTTGACGACTGAAGTCTCCGGCGGTCGCATCTTCAGCCCAAAGTCAATTTGAATATGACGACGCCGACTGCCGAGCGAGACAAACTGGTTGTGGCTATTGCATAATTATTGCGGCGGTCACAGCTGGAAAAAAAAGGTTCTCGGCCACTCAAGAACCCAAAAGATACAAAGCGCGAAAAGACGACAGAATTATCAAATCGACCATAAAAAATGAGTTAGAAAGTTCTGCAGTCGCTGGGCCATTAGCAGCTCATTTGCCTGCCCGATGGTATTAATTCGAAATACCCGTATTTATGGGACGACAATCGCGATTGTTGAGACGCAAGCGTTTTCCACGCGTTTATAATCGCCTCATAAGACTCAATCAAGTCGAACGACAGGCGCGCGATTTGCGGCTGTCAATCAATATCCGAGATTGGGACCCCACCCCGTAGATAGTGTCTCAATCACATTGTAATGCAAACACCTTGGATCAGCTTTGTTTATCTGCCGAATGAAATATATTTCTGTTTGCATCTTCCGATTGACCAAGTCGTCGGTCTTTCGGAATTCGTTTATTTTGTATTTTTGCCCAAGTTGCCGTTGCCTAAGTTTTTGGTGTTTCTCTGATAGCCAATTTGATGCAATATAAACTGTGTTTTAATTCCCGCTTTTTTTGTGCAAATTGCTGGGCCGAAAAAAGACTGTTTGCTGATTGATTAATACCCGGCTTCCCTCATTAACTGGTCTTGAACTTGAGTCATTGCCAAGGAGAAGGGAGGCGGATCGATCAAGGCTTTAGCTATGCAAAGTGATTTTTGTGGTTAGCATTGATTTAGAAGTCCGAAAATGACTTATTAATGAAATGTTTAAACATTTCTAAAATGTATTTTCTTAGTAAAACTTATGTCTTTGGTCTTTGATATTCATGAGAGTTCCCTAATTAAAGCCACATGCTATACTTTAAGTGTCTAATCAATGGGAAATCATTTTTAAAAACCCAAAAACCTATAATTCTTAAAACTGTTTCTGCTCTTAATATGTTTTTTTGGAATCCCCATTAAATGAAAACAACATCTTTGTTAATTCGTAGTAGTTTTTCTTGTTTTTTTTTTTTAGTAAACGCTAAATCACAATACAATAGAATCACATTTAAAAAATAAATTATATACAAATTCGTAGACAAAACTGCGTGTGTTACATCCATAATTATCATAATAATAATATAACAAATAGATTTTTACATAACACTCAATAACAAATACGGATCTATGATTAATATCTTACTTCACGGGTGGCTCCTCGACACGCCCCTTTTGATAGATATAGTATATCAGGCATATAACCGACACACCAATGCCACCGCACAAGGTCGCCCAGTGGACAATATTGAGGGTCTTTAGGGTGTTAATCAATTTCTTTTTGAAAAAGGCAACCATTTCGCCATTAAGTTGGATGCCCTTTAAATACATTAAATTAGTTTAAATTTATAATTAATTAGTTTTCTATATAACCAACCTCCTCTACCCAAATGGATGGCATCAAGACTGTGGGTAAGTTTTCGGTGATGCCGATACGATTGATGCTCTTCAGGAACATATTGAACTGAACCCTTTTGCCGCCTTGCAAGGGCGTGCCAGTCAGCTGATGGAATAATTAAAGTTGTAAGATATTTCTAGATCGAATATATATATATATCTTTATCTTACCGACTGGACATCCACAAAAGTCTGATGCTTTTTGGCATCTGGTTTCAGGCCTCGTATCATTTTTCGATACTCATTCGAGGCGCCCAGCATATGAGGCAATGTCAAAATCACAGGGGCAGCTAACCAAAGATAATAATAATAAAAATATATATTACTTAAGAGATACATTGTAAGGCAGACTCCTTGATTTGCATAACCAGCTCCTTGGCCATTTCACTGCATTCCATTATTTAATTATTCTGTTTACATTGTTGAAATGACTCCGAAAAGAAAAACAGGATTATGTGACCTTTAGAAGAGGCAACTACTTATATTTAATTTAATTAAAATTAATTGGAAGATATCGCATAAGTTGCGGAAGCTTCTTAACCTCTCATCACGTTTTCGTAGAACAACATTTATTTATTTACTTAACTACTTGTGATGTCTGTCCGAGCCGTCTGAACCAATTTGTAAGAATTTCCTCATCCGACAAAATATTTCAAATGCTCGTTACTGAAACTGTTAACTCACGTTTAGACAATTAAACAAAATAAAAAAAAAATAGAAGGCATCACCAAAAGAATCTCAAGTTTGAAACGTGCTCGATCGGCAAACACCCAAACACCCAAACAAACGAAAAAATATAATAAAAAATCAAAGTTAATGCTTCAATTTGTAGAGCGTTCGAGGCACTCGAGAACATCATAATGAAGAGCGGCTCATTATATCACCTAGTTGAATGGAAAAGGCAACACTTTTGATTTCAAATGCGCAATGCCCTCGGGGGAATATACACAGTTCAGAATGCGAAGCAAAACGCTTTTCTGTTCCACGAATCTCGAGTGTTAATTAAGAAATTAAACAATCGAAGAAGATCAAAGTCAGCCCACACAGATTCGAGATCAAAATCGAAATCGGTATCGCAGAATCGGAATCTATGCTTAAATCAAAGTCCTAACTCAAAACGTTTGCAATTTGTCTCGAACGAAGTTAGCGCGTGTTTATTGAGATCTTTGAAGATTTTTATATCAGCTTAGCTTTTAATTTAAATTTTATTAGCTGTTTGTCTTGATGCCTTCAGTTTGCACTTCTCAAGCTGTTAATTTGCATATAAGAAGCATTCAAATTCAAACTAGAACTGGCACCAACTCATGATTGCCATTTGATTTATAAGTGGCTGCCTTATAATTACTTAGGTAATCGACCACAGCCCGATGACAGAGAGGCGAGTGCCTCAAGAGGTGTCTTCTGGGGTAGTTCTTCTCACCGGTTAATCGCCATAAAACAAAAACACAAAAAACAAACACCATAAAGAGCTTAATTTGCATAACAAAATGCGAAGAGCAAAAATTGTCAAATATTATTCCAAATATTTCCGGTTTTCCTGGCTCTTTTTTTTTTACGTAGAAATTCTACAAAACGGAAAGTTTGTTGCCTAAGTCTTTAGTTTATTTTTAGTGGTGATCGAACAGCAGACGTACCAGCAGTGCTCTAGTTAGTGATAAAGTTTATATTGAATTCATCAAATTATCGTTAAAATCAGAGTTAAGTGATCGCAAAGTATAGGATCACAAACAAACTGTCAAATCGTAAGCTATCAGCATATATAAAACGATAATTAAATTAAATGGGTTTAAGTTCAGTATGGAATAATGTGGTGATGAAGATTGGATTAGTGTTGAGTTAAGTTATTAATACTCTAACAGATTTCTATGAAAAATATATAGAAGGGGATTTATTTGTAAGTACTTAAAGCTTCGTTCATTGATTTTTTGGGCATTCATTGATGGAATAGGGAATCCCCTAAGTTATAATTTAAATCATTTCTTATGTAGCAATCAAAATTGAAATGATGATGTTTATAATCAATTTTACAAACATTTAACTTATTATTATTATTATGTATAAATGTTGTTTTGAACTTGGCAAATGTTTGGACAAAACGGAAACACTATTCTTTCATATTTTAAACTAGATCGGCGCTATAGAACTCTTTGAACTGTCAATTTTATGGAAATATTTTCTTGATATGCTAATTAAGTTTATACTGTGAACTAACATGAGTATCTACAGATAAGCGGAAGATAACATAACTGAATTCTAATCATAAATATTTTCTATGCTTAATAATTAAAAATGCGACATATTTAAGTATTGATATTTAACATAAAATTTATAAATGATTTTATGACGACAAGATGCCCCTTTAGCTTTATTATAAAAACAAATACGGAAACGAAATCGTTTCCAGTTTGTTTGCTTCTTTTCTTAACTTGTTATGCTGAAGTTATGGCACCTGTTTGCTTTTCGATTTAAGTCTCATATAGATTGGGATAAACATATTTAAAATCTAACTAAATCACTCACATAAGCAGGTGGTCAAGTCCAAGGCACCTGCATAGAGACATCCATTTTTACGCTTTATCACATTTGCCAGCTTGTCAACGCAGAAGCACTCATTATCATGTTCCGGCCCGATGTCGTTTATGAAGTTCTCGCCAATGGAGTACCTATAGCCAGGTATGCCCTGGTACTGTATATCTGCCTGGTAAAAAAGCTGCACAGATCTACAGATATCCGCACTGAAGATGTACATGGAATCCCCGCGCTGGCGAAATGGTGGATAGCCGGATGCATCTGTTCCATTAATCTGATTGCAGACCGAAGTTTCGCCCTCTGCACTGGCATTCAACCAGACCTGCAGATTATGAGAGTCATCCAGCTTTTGGATCTCCAAAACCCTCATGGGATCTCCTTTGCCAGTATGAACTTCGTAGACTTCGTGGCCAGAACCATTTTTCTATTGGAAAACAAGGAAATATATTAGTTATAGGGAAGGTTAGATCTGAATTTCCAATCGAACTTACATGTCCGAAGAAGGAAAATGCCAGGCTGCCATCGCTTTTCTCTCTGATAGTCTTGGATCCACTTTCCTTGATCTGATTGCAAATCGCCTTGGCGATTCCTTGGGGATTAATGCAGAAACGCACTCCATCGAAGAGGTATTCCCGCACAGAAGTGCTCACAAACATAGATCTTGGATCGTTGAAGACCGCCTTCAGATTGGCATTTAAATGGACCAAGAGCAGGGCCAAGCCAGGATCATTCTCCGAGATTTGCAGGACAGACTGAAATAATTATAGATTTAAAGAAGAAAACATATATCGTTAATGGGAGGAACATGCAGTCGATAATCGATCACCAAAGCTAAAGGGCAAGGCATAAAAAGTTTAGTATTTAAAAATGTTTGAAAAAGCATTAGCAGCAGGCGGGGCGGTTAGCTATAAATTAGTAGCAAAGCGCAAGCTCAAATTTGTTATTTGTTATTATTAATTATGTTGTTTTTGTTTTTGTTTTTTTTTGCATTGGATGTGTATGAAAATTGACGTTCCCAATCATTCGGTTTTCAGCTGCCGTTTCTATTGATTTCTCATCGCCCATTCGCCAGATCAAGTCAACAATTTATCAAAATATTTACATAGACGAGAGAGAAACCCAAGGTGAATGCCAATCAAAATTTAGCCGTTCTACGTCTCTGATGTGGATGATCTTGACTTTGGCAGTTTGTCTATCAGTCTATCAGTTTTGAGTAGGAGATGCGCCGAATTGCAATAAATTTAATTAAACAGTTGCAAAGCTGTCAGGCGAACTGAAAAGCTGGTCAACTTACTTTGACACCATCGACAATGCTGATCATGATGCCATGTACCCAGCTAAAGGGTGCTATAAGTTTTGAGGTCATTAAAAAGGGTTTTCTGGTAACTTTTTTATAAAATCTTGTTCAGAAATGTGAAATCGAAGAGAAAAGTTCTTCATAATTTGTTTAAATGAGAAAATGTGATTCAATTTTGATATTTAAAACTTCCAATTTGTAGAAGATGAGGTCTTTATAAGCTGCTTAGACTTAGCCTCAGTTTATAAGTCTTCTAAGCCTGTCTTAACAAGCAGTTAATGAAAAATATTACGATATAATTATAAAATATTATTAATTAATAAATCAAACTCAAATTTCTAAACTTGATATCCCCCTAAAAAACTATTCCAATCCCGACCTAACCCACTTCCCTAGAAGTTAAGCCAACACAATCGGCGTAATAAATCAGCAATAAAAAATATCATTAGCTTAATAGCGTATAAACTATAGGACGTCTGAAAGATCCACCAATAAGCAGTGACGCACGTCTGGGGTAAAATCATAATTAATAAACAATGAACTGAAAACGGTAAATAAAGGAACAATAAATCGGTTGAAATCGCGCTGCCCCCAAAAGGCCAGAACAAAGACAAACATAGCCGGGCAAAGATTGGTATCCGTCCAACGGAGAACCGTGAAAAGCCATTACCATTAAGTTAACATATATGTATACCGAGGCATGCCAGTGGTTAAATCTTTGCATATACTATATATCAGAGAATATATAGTATATAGGCAAGGTTTCTATTATAAATAGACCATCACCGGTTGGGAGGGTTTTTTTGGCTCGTTTAAATTAGTAGTGGATAAAATTACTTTACGTTTCCCTCGAATACGTTCCATCAATCGTTTCAGTACTCGTACACCCGGTGTTTGATTCAATCGAGAGTTAAGCCTATTGGCAAATCCCTGAAAGATATCTGTGATTTCTCTTTCGAATACTTGTAAAAAGGCCTGGAAAATTATTGTAAAAGTTTTAATCTCTTAGAAGGTATTGTAAGATGTTTAAGTTTTTAATTTTGTATGTAAAAACAAAAGTTATACCTACATTCATGTGCATATTGAGAGCCACAATGCGATCATCTTGGGTGTAGGGAGCCGAGGCAGCTGCATCGAAGTCAAAGTGCACATTTTGCACATACGAGATTTTGGAGCCATCCCTCGAAAAGTGCTTAACCTTCTTCTGACGAAATTGCCTGAAAGATATTATAGTTAAATATTTAATATTTTTTATATTAACTATTAACTTACTTGTATACATAGGGTCCTATTTCCTCGACTATGGGTATGGCACCTTGCTGTATCCTGTCCGGATTGGTAACATTAAAAATGTAGACTTTGAAGTTCAATGGCTGAGGTAGGTCAACAAAACGCTTATATTGCTCCGAGCCATCTGCTATAACGACGCTCTAGAAAGATAGTAAACGATATTTGAGATTATTAATAAATATTTAAACAAGTTTTGGGGAATGAGAAGCTGATTTTCAATCTCAATCTTGAAAAATTCAAATATACCATAAAATCACCCATCAAATGCCCATTTTCTGTAGTTTCTTCTTTTAGTTAAGTCAAAGCCCTATGCTAATTACTATTAATATTTATCAGACCACACTTTAAGGTTGTTTATCACGAGACTGCGAAGCTTATTTATGACATTTATGGTGGCAATAAAAATCAAATCAAAACTCCCAGCAGCGATATCAAACTAAACCTGTTTTCGTTTTCATGATAATATTTTTCTCCACAGTGCAATTTCTATTGTTATTTTTTTTATTGTCTTAATTAAAATTGATAAATACCAACAGACAGCAAAGATCATTGACCATGCTAAAGATTTGCTTTGATTTCGCATTTTATCAAAACAAAACAATTAATTAAAACTTCTGTAAAAAAAAACAGAAAATTTATTCCCATGCTCGGAAAAAACCTTTAAGGTTAACCTTCCATTTGAATTTTTACAATCCAGTAGCCAGAAAAGTATTCACAATTCGGGGGAATCAAATCAAATTGGCAAAACATAAAAAGGAACACTAAAAAACATAAATAAAAGTCAGAAACAAGCTCAAAACATGACCAGCAATATAATTTTACGGTCTGCCCCTCGCACTTGATACAATTGAAGAATTGTCAAAAAACTAAAAAAAAAAACTAAACATAAATCTGGCTATATATTTATATGACTAAGGCAGATCTCAAGGTCAATGCACACGGGGCTCGGCTCAGCTCAGCATATCGAAGAGCATACAAACTGTTTGATTAACCTCAAGAGCCAAAGAGAGGGCTCTGGCGACGGCTGACAATGGCCCAAAATTCATTCAGAAAAAAATACAAAAATAATTGTTGCGAAATAGAGCGTTTTTGGCAAAGCGACAGGCCGCAGCGAAACGTGTTTCAAATTTTAAAATATGCTTGAAATTGGGACAAGAATGTGCTGGGTCAAAGAGGCGTATGCGTAATGTTTCTGAGGTATCAAATTGGGGAAGGGCTTGGCTAGAACGGTAAGGCGGGAAAGTGAATAAATTTTAAATCAACTTCAGTATTTTTGAGGTAACATGGAATTTATTTGATTGATTTACAAATTTTTCTTGTTAATTTAACAATTTTAAGAATTTTTAAGTCTAAAGTAAAAGATTAACAAAACTTCTTGAAGTGTTAAACTTAAATCTTTAATAGGCAATAGTAAGTAAAGGAAAAATACCCAAAAAACTTATACCATCTATGGCAGTACTCCAAATATAGGTCAGAATGATGAAAAGAAATGGTAATATCCCACAAAAAGGCCTACAAAGTGGTCCGATTGTTTGGCATTGCTTGCGGGTTAAATTGCACAACAACATTTCTGTTGGCCATCGAACAGACTTCAATTGCTTTGAATTTCAATTCATGACTCGTTTGTTTTTGTGGTCAGTTGTTATTTTTATTTTTATTCGTAAGTGTCTTTGGCGCCTGCATTTGAATTCCAAATAGAAATGGTTAATGTGCAAGGGACGGAGCACCTTCAAGTTGAAGGTCCTATATACCCATTCGAGGGTATTTTGGCCATTCTAGATCGGATCTTACACGGAAGTTCATTGCTAACGATGGCTCGTAAAAAGAGTTTTGCGGCCCAACAGCGTTTTGGGTGGCAAACTATAAGTTCCAGGGGCAGAGCCACAAAAACCAAAAAAATAAAAAATGGGCAATTAACTTGGCTTGGCTTGGCTACAACAATTAAAAAGAGCAAAACACACAAAAGCACCGACTAAAGAGATAAAACTCTGTATTTGCATTCTAATTACAATAAAAAAACAAGACCTCAGCTCAAAGTCAAGCCAAGTACTTCTAGTCGCCTTGGCAATGAGCGTGGAAGATGTCACGCCTGATTCAGCGAGCGTGTGCCTAGCAGATGGGAAACTAACTCAAGAAAATAGTTTGTATTATTTTAAATATTCTAAAGAATATATTAGGGAATCATAACATATAGAAATGCCAAGCTTAGTTCGGGATAACAAATGGTAGAAAAGTAACTTTGCTTAGCTTAAAGTTTACTAAGAACTTCAGCTGCTTGACTGATTTTTGTGTAAGAAGAAAGATTTTAAATCACATAACTTATAAATTTCAAAGTTCTTAACCCATGTTATATCATTATTAATGAACCAACGCAATGCCAGGCCTATCACCTTAGTCATATATCAAATTCCCCGAAGGACAAGAACATGCATCGTAATCTAAGCGTTTGCTTTTGGCTCTAATGGCCTGGAAAAGCCAATAATAATAAAGTGCATTTGACTAGCAAATTAATTCGCATTGCCCGTGGCATTTCAAATCGCATTTGGCATTCAGTGAACGGAGGGAGCGTGACCCAAGGGATCGTTTCCATAACAAAAATGTAATTATATCGTCGTGTCATATTCGAAAATATATTTAAGGGAAATGAAAATGTATGGCACTTGTTGGCTTAGCAATTAGTCTTGTTACGGAGCGTGGAAAAGCAATGGTTTTGGGAACTGACAGCTAGCGATGTCATTACGGATAAAGCTCAATAATGTAGGGTTTTCGTGACATACCCTCTATATAACAACTTTTTAGATCAGGAGCGTCCGATTCGGTATCCCTTGAATATTAAATGTCAAGAGTTGATCTGTGATGGTCGGACACTCAATGAATAAACTAATGCAATTACAAAAATTATAAAGAAAATGATAATCGAAGCTATGTACGAGTAGATTTGCAAATTGAGAGAACCTGTTTTATATTCCAGCCGTACATTAAGTAATTAAATCTAATAATTTCATTGATTAAATGTTATTCATGGCTTAACACTTTGAACTATCCCTGACTCATTGCCGGTCTAAGTCTGATTCTTTGTTACCAAGTCAATAATCTCTACACAGCTTTCATTTTGCCACTTGTTAGACGGAAAAAGTCAACAATGGAATCATTATTTCTCTCATTTCTCATTATTTCGGTGTGAGAAAACATCTGTGTGAACTTTGAAATCTAAATATTTGACTTAGAAACTTTGTCCGGTTTCTAATGAAAAGCTGAGCTTGTTGTTCAACAACAACGTGTTTATCAGATTCTTGGAAATTTTTTGGGATTTATTCGGGTTAGTCATTTTTATTCGGAAATGGAATAATCCAAATCTTAAGTGGGTATAAAAGGCAAACCAAGTTCTGAATGTATTCATTCATAATACTCAATTTATATCAAAGTTAACAGAAGTTTCGGAAACTCTTTTTTCGGTAAATATTCTTTTGAGTGTTTATTTTAAAAGCTCCACCTATGGTTGATAAATTGAACCCAAGGCTGTAGATTTAAGTTTTTGCTCATTAAAATTCTTGAAAAAAGTGTGTAACTCTTATGGGATAACCTTCTTGGGTTAACTCACCTGTTCGACCTTTTTGTGTACCATGTTGGGAAAGAGAACCCAACCGCAGTAGCCGCCCAAGGCGGCCACGCAGACGCCCAGGGCGCTGACTATCAGGGACCAGTGTAGCATTTTTCTGAGAGACACGATCGGCGGTATTCGGTGACTATGGAGATGGGTCGAGACCCATTTATCGGTTTCCCTCTCTTTTTCTTGATCGATCAAAACGCCGGCAACAGGTATGGAATCTTTTTATTTTTTCGTTAAAGCTAAGCTTTGGCCTGACCTACGTCAAGTGAGAGCGAGCCAATGTTGTTGGGGTGTCGATCTTGCTGTTGTTGCTGTTGCTGAGTGCCGAAACAAAGCGCACTATTTATAAGATACCCGTTTTGGGGCTTTTTTTTTTTGGTGTTTGTTATATATAATTTTGAAATAAACAAGTTGCCGAATGCGATGCGATGCGGCCGACTATATCTTATTATGTCCCTTATAGTAAGAGCAGCAACGGGTATATGCGCAGGTTTTTAAGTACGAAAACGGGTTTGGCTGTTTGGCTGTTTGGCTGTTGTGTTGCAGTGAAAGCTTTTTTCCGCCATCAGCTGGTATAATTAAAATATTTTTGTTAATTATATTTGCGTTGTTTTTTGCTTAATTAGGTCGAATCACAACTTCACACACACACACACACGCGCGTCAAAGGAGTTGGCTTCTTTTTTTTCCTTTGGTCTTCCCCATTGAGGAATCGCCGGCCAAATGACAAACGTGGTTAATGGTGGGACATTTTTATTTGATTCTCGGTTAACGTAACAAGCGTAAGCGAACTTGGCCGGAAAAAAATGGTGGGCGGCTTTCGGTTGCGATAAAAATCAGGTGCACATTGAAATTAATGGTGGCACGTGAACGGGGGAGGGTGAGAGAGAGAGGGAGGGGAATTAAGGGAAAACTTCCGCCACAAAGCGAAATGAATCAGCAGAATTAGCACAACAATTTCCAGCGTACTTTTGTAATTGAGTGTCGGCCCTAAGTGCGATTTTATTGCGAGTCTCCTAGGTAGTGTATGATTAAGTTAAACTTTAAAATGATTTCTTAAACCGGAGATCCAACCGCTCGGAACAACCGCTGACGACTGGCAGAGTTCAAGACAAGCTGCGATGACAATGCTGTGACTTATGGCTTTCAGCAGCCAAAAGCCCTAAGCCGCACCGATCGCAGAGAGTCTGAAATTAAAGAGCGCATGCGCAACGCTCCTCGAAACTTTGGTCGAGGGCTTTTCATTAAGTCTTTGGCCCGCTGATGAGTGAGTTGCTCATTTGCAGTTAGTTTGCTCGACATTTTCGCTCTCTGCTTTTGTAATATTTCTTTAACTTTTTCGTATTTCACTTAGCTTATGGATGAGCCGCTCATTAGCAAATTAGTGCAAGTCTTTAACTTGGCCATTTTTTTGCTTAATTTGTTTTGACAAAATGGGAAATTCCCTTTGTTTAGAGTAGCTTTGTGGGTGGCTGATCAGTAGCCTTGGAAATAATGGAGGGCATTCTTTGGGTTTATCTATTATCGAAAAGTTCTAATGATGCACTCTGCTTAATTGAGGGGATTGGGTTATAGATTTAGATGGGGGTTATTAATCAGTTGGCTTTTGATTAATTTAGGATGGTTCTCTGTCCATTGTTCTTTGGAGGCAATGGCTATAAAGTTCTTTTTGATATATTGGAAGGATATGGGGCGATTAAGCATGACTTGTTGATATTTGTTTGCTGATAAATATTGGAATTTTCATTTTGGTTTTATAGTCCTTAAATATCTTCTTTTAATATTCCTAGCCTTAGCTTTTAACTTGTTATTCTTACTTAATAACGAGATTAAATTGTCATATGTATCTTATTAACTTAAATTGGAAATGTGACCTACTTTATGGAAGGTCCTTAAACCTATAAAACTCAAATAACTTAAGTTCTCTTCTAGATTTTTCTTCTAGAATCAGCAAACATATCCTTAAGGCAACAAAATATATTTTATCAATCTTTAATTAAATTTTAAAAGTGTTATCTTACCAACCTAGCCCTTAGACCTCCCCAAAACTCTTCCAAACTCACTCACACTCTTTTCCTCAGCTCTTCATTTTCTGGAAATATCTCTTCCCCCTCTCTTTTGAAGTTGGCGTGGGTGCAAGACCAACCCCTGCCTCTCCCGTCGAATCCAATATCATTTTTGGACAAACGCACTAACAGGTTTTTCGGCTTGGCCGTGCGTGCCGTGAAATTTATATGTAAAAACTTGTAAGACAACAACAAGGGGTAAAAACAATAGTGATTGGATTCGGCTGCGGGTGAAGCTTTTGTTGAACTTGACACGATTGTTGCCCATTCAGTTTTCGATGTGGTTGCTGTTGTTGCCGTCGTTCTTCGCATAAATATTTCGAATGTTGTGCAAAAATGTAAAGCTTTAAATATTAAACAAATCCCAAAATATAAACAATTTTTTGAGATTTAGAGGAGAAATAGAAAAACTACACAGGCGTGGTTACCAATATTAACGTGAAAAAGTGAATTAAATCTGTAATTTAATTAAATAGTGACTTGAAAGTGATCAAAAGGTTTTAGGAACCATCAACTGACATAAGTTAAATCATTCTTAAAGGTAAATATAACCCATTTGGGGTCAACATATCTAAATCAATCTTCTTTATAAACCCCCCTTAACACTTTTTTGAACTGGAAACCATTTCCTTGCCAAGTCCTAAACATTTTATGTGACTCCAGCACTCGACACTCATTTCAATTTCTTTGCTACATTTCTTTTAATTATTTTGTAGTGCGATCCACATTTAGCCTAGTTTTCCGAGAAGTCTCCTTCTTTCCCCTTTCCATGCCCCGTGGAAGAGCCCCTTGTGAGTTCGTTCGTTCGTTCGTTCTCCATTTGCGTGCAGCATGTGGATATAGTAATTTAAATATTTATTGCATTTTTTTATGCAGGCAACACTTGAGGCACAAACAACCTCCTCGAGCCCAAAACTCTTTGCCTTTGTCTGACCTCAAAATTAAATTCAAATCTCGGGCAAATGGCAGAGACTTGGCAGAAGGCAGTTCTTTATTTTTTCTCTCTTTTTGCGTAGTTTTCTTGTTTATTTTCTCATTGGCAAATTGATAGCATTAGTATGTGAGTATATGTTATGGGTAGTGATGGAAAATAAAACATAGATTGTTGCTGAATATTAAGTACTTTCTGTAAACTATGTTTTATTATAGTTTTACAAAACAATCCTTAAATAAACTTTAATTTTTAGGTTCAAAATTCCCACAGAAATTAAAAATTAAGTTAGAGTACCTTTAAACATTTATCTAAATATTTATTTCCTTGGGTACATCTCCCCAAACCATTGCCAACACTAGCCATATCCGTGCATGTGCTCAATGGAGTGATATGAAAAACTTCACACGACAATGTGAAGGCAAAAAGGAACAATCAGCGAACACGAACTGGATTTATCCAAACACCCATCTCCTCCTCCATTTCCGGGGCTGAGGAGGATTTTCCTTTTGCATTGATGGCGTGCCTAGGCAATCGCAATTTATAGATAATTTGATACGAAACGTCAGACAGTCGCTCAGTCGAAAGAGTTGGATTGAAAGTGGCACAAGGACAAGTCGCGAGTGGGGGGTGCGCGATGGTGATTTGTAGGGTTTTTCCTTTTTTTTTTTTTGGGTGGCTTTCGGAATGTATTTCTAACGAATTTTCATTAGCCACCAAATTGCAAATGAATATTTGAATGCAACGTTTTGGGTGTGGGTTACTGGGGCGTATGCGTAATTCGTTCTCACGTTCCACATACGACCCGTATGCACTGGAATGCACAAGAACAATTGGTAGGGAGGAGGATGGGTCTTAACTGCTGCACCAGAATTGTACGAAAAATGCAATTAAATGGATTAAGCAAGGGAAAAAAAAGGGCTAGAGTCAAATGAGGCCAACGTGAAGAAGGTTCTGCTGATTCTCGTGGCCCTTTCTCCGCTTTCTCCTCTTCCTTTTTATTTTCCTTTCTCTCGTCAGTGTTTGTTTGGCCAACAACAAACCAAAGGCAGTCACAACATTCAAGGGGGCAACAAAAGGGGTGCAGAGCACACAAGGATTCAGCCACTCGACCGCTTATCGTCAACTGTCATCGTCTGCCAGTCTCTGAACCCCTGTGCACTGCAAGAAAAACGTTAGAACATAGTTAGGTGCAAGTGTACTTGATTTATAGACAGTGTGAAATCACTTTTTCAACTTAAGGCATTACTAAATTCCCATAAATTCATTTAATTAGTAAATGAAACCTTCCTTGTTTTAACTTTCCTACAGAGTTTTCTATCCATGTAACTGCCTCTCCAAGGTGCACGGACATCACTCTGCATTGTTGGAAATGTGAGCGACCGATTGATGAGCATGTGACGTTCTTTTCTGGCCCTTGGGCTGTCTGTCTATATGTCTCTCTGGCTATATGTCCGTCGGACTTTCCGTCCGCTTTCCGGCCTGAAAGTGTGTCAAATAAAGTGCTAAAAGATTTATGCCCTGCACCTCCTTTTCCAGCTGGGCCTCTCGCTCGTTCTCTCGCTGTCTATTGCTCTCAATAAGTGGCACAAAGGACGAACGACAGGCGCTCACCGCAGGCTTAAGTGTCTCTAACTGCCAGACAGGACACCCAACTGGATATCTGCCCATATATATCCATTCTGTGCTTGTCTGTGCTCTGCTGCAGTTTTTCACTGGGTTTTGCCTGCCGTTGGGCTGCTGTTGATGTCTCTTTGGCCCAGGCCAATTTAGAGCTAGAATATCCTGTTTTCCATTTCATCTCTCGATTTCTTTCAGTTGACTGTGCTCATGAATAAGGCAAGGTTTCCTATGAAGCCATATGAAGTCTAGATAATCCAGTCCATGGCTGGACTTGAGGTCTAGTAATGAAAAGTTAATTGAGTGAGAAAAGGATTTGCTGTTTATAAGCATAGAAGTTCGTTAGTTTAACTATTTTGAATCGTTTTAAAAACTGAAATATAATCCAAGTTAAGTCTAGTAACATACTAGAACCTTCCCTATGGCCGGAAAGCTGTTTCGTTTATCAAAAAACGCTAAAACCTAACGCTTTATCCCCACCATAAAGTGAACCTTAACGAGCAAAAATTGAATTGATTTAGCTGGCAATTTCCAAACACGCAGCCTTCGCCGCTCACAGTTGTGCCAACAAATGAATTATTGCGCACTAAGATTTCGCCAACCCCACACAGATACACACACACATACAGCAATGAAGGGCTGCAGGGCCGCAGGACATCCCCACCCACTGCTCGTTGTCCTTCGCTCTGCAGTCCAGGGACGCGCTTGAAAAGGCATGAAAAACGTGAAATCCAAAACGCTGCAGAGACGCTGGAGGCCAGAACGAAATGAGGCGGCTTAGCGTTTGGCGAGAACCTCCAACTAATGACAATAAGGCGCGAACTGGGTAAAACCCTTAGGCAGCCCAACCAACTAACCAACCACCCACCGAATATCACGCATACGCCGCCTTGGCTTGGGTTCCTAACAAAAATATCACGCATACGCCGCGTTGCAGCAGCGAAATCAAAACATAAACCCAAATCCAGTGACTGCATCGGGTTTTCCTTAGCGCGTGACCAAAACACAGAGAGAGAGAGAGAGCTCTCACACTCTCTCAGAGAGAAAGCCTTTCTCTCACTCACGAAGGAGTTTCCCCATCATCATCATCATCATCATGATGAACATAAATGCGACGTCGTGTGCCAGTTGAGAATTGCATTTACCTTCAGTTCTGTTTCAGTTTCGAGTCCGTGCAGTCGTGTTGGCCGGAGTGAAAAGCGCTGGGGAAAATTTGCAAAACAAAATATTACAAAAAAAAAGAAAAAGAAAAAGAAAAACAGAGCAGAGGAAATAGAAATAGAGAAAAGTAAATAAGCAAACAAGTGCAGTTTTGTTGGGAGAGAAGTGTGTGTAGTAGCACTGAAAGGGAGATTAATCCCTCGGACCTAGCATAGATACCTACATTTTTGGTTGTTCCAAAGAAGAGGAAAACAAAAAGCAAGGAGTGTTGCAAAAGTTGAGAACTTCCGAACTATCCACAACCATGTCGACGTTACCCTTTCTTTTGAGTGTCGCCGACGAGCTGGACAACATACACTCGCAGTCCTACATGGATGACTTTGGCCTGGGCTTCCATCCACATCGGCAATACTATCGCACACCCACCATCCAGTTGTCTCTGCCCGCCAGCACCGACTGGACGGGATCGGGTCGGGATTGGTCTCAGGCAGCGGGCAACAGGCATACTCGCTATCGCAGCTATAAGTTCTATGATGACTCGCAAAACAATTTGGAAGAGGAAGAACCTCCTGTGGAGGAGCCGCTGCCCATGGAGCAGGTGGAGTTGCCACAACAGCTGGCCCAGCAGGGTAATCAAACGATATCGGAGGCCCAGCAGCCATCGAGTGCAACTGCCACTGCCGCCACAGCTCGCAAAGGTCTGGGCATGGTCAACTCGCATTCCCATGATGTGGGTGTCGGAGGTCTGGGCCTGAATCTTAAAGCCAGTGAAGAGGAGGATGACGAGAACATCGACCGAACGGTTCGCATGTATAATTTGTCGAAGAAGTGCTGCAAGAATTACTATCGCCATGCCTTGGAGACTGGACCCGGTGCCAGTGGCAAGGTCAAGTGCAGCAATCTGCGCTCTGAGAGCCACAAATCCAGCTCCAGTTCGGAGGAGAGCCTCCAGAAGATACCCTCGCCCATTGAGTTCCTCACTTGCTTTCTGGTGAAGAAGTCCCGCACCCCAAAGGGTAATGTCCCAGTGGGACAGCCCCTGAAGAAGACATAGAACACGGCCCGGCTGCTGCCAGCAGCATTGTCCGCCAGGACCTCCACCATCAGCTCCACGGCCACCAGTGGAGCCGTGACCAATGCGACCACGGATTCGGATACGACCACATCGAAGCGGCGAAGCAATTGCTTCTGAATGTTGGCCGGAGTCGGAGTCGTTTGTGGCCAGGCCTGGAGTTGGCTTCAGAGGTGCGGGGAGCTACCAAGCTCCGAGCCCGCCTCGTTGCCCTCCACACGTCTGGGCAGGATTGCCTATTAGGCCCACTCGTCCGACTCCGATTCGCAGTCAGGGGTATAGATATGTGTATTATGATTTGGCAGTGGGTAACCTCTGGCTTGACTAATGAAATTAATGGAATTTATTGAAGAAGATATGGAGGGGTTAGCGATTTCGATTTGCACTGGAAAAACCTTTGGATTGGAGATGATAATAGGGAATTTTTCAGACATTTTTTTAATCGATTCAACATCAAACATTTTTATCTGTCTATCAAACATACATATTCCCTTTAAGCCCTATTTAAGGCAGATTTTTAAGTGCAAACATTCCCTAACCACATTTTGCAAGCAACTACAGGCCAAAAGCAAATCAAAGCTTAAAGCAAAAAGTAAAATAACAAAAAATTATACATAAATGTATAATGAAAACGAAAAAATAGTATTTAAATAAAGAAAAACTATTCAAGCTACACCGGAAAACTTTTGCAAACCAAACACACACAATTTTTAAAGCCAGATTTATACGAAATTAAGAAGGATACCAAGAATTTGTTAAGCAAACATTTTTTATACAATTTTTTGATACCAAGCAAACGATATAACTTATATACGGATATTATATTAATACTGGGAAAGTTTAATTCAAACAAGGAAGGGAAATTCGAGCTGAACCAAAACCTTTTCGGCAAACTTATGATTCCATTTTATTTTTAAGTAAGTTTTCAACCAAGAATGTAGATTACTTTCAGGGAAACTTTTATAAGAAAAAAAAAAACCTATTGCCATTTTACTTATTGATTTCATATTGGAAATTTTCCTATTTTTAGACCAACTTTAAGGTAATGGTTGAGCTGGAAATTCCTCAGAATTTTATAAAAGCTGTTAGCTGTTTTAAGCCAAATAAATTGCGGGCTAATTTAATAGGTCTTCTGACACACACACACACACACAAATACACCAATAGCAATGTTTCATTTTCACACAAACACGGGAAAGTTTAGCTTTCTCCTATTTTTCCACAGCCAACTGAAAAATGTTGGCAAAAAAGAAGGAAATTTCCAGCAAAGCTGGGAGAACTTTGCACAATATCAGCAAGTGTTTTTGGCCTAAAGGTGGGTGGCGGGTAGTGAAAAGGCCCTATGAAAAGTGAAACATGTTTTCAATTTCCTTTTTTCGGGGGACTGTAAACAAGTCAATAGCAAACTACGGCTAAGGACAAACACACAGAAGACCTTGGTCCCAATTTCAAATTAGTGGAAAAGCAAAACGGAAAGAAGAAAGATTTTCCAACAGAATTGTAAACGGAAAACTTTGGCGCGGGGCTTGTGTCTAGTTAAAAGGATATAATAGAAAGATAAAATATATATATTTATAGTTTTGTAGTCAGATATTCTCTTGCGTGTTCTAAATGTATTCTAAATGTTGAAAAGGAAAATATTTCAAAAGTATTTACAACTAATCAAGAAGAACATTTTATATATATATATATATATTATATGGATACTATATGTGTAGTCACACTGTTTGCACTTTTCAGAGTTTAGAAACCAAACATAAAATGAAAGAAAATACACAAAATATATCTATGTATATCGCAAAAGTCATAGCTTTATTGCAACACAGAATATGAATTCAGAACTCAGCATCATATCTCTCGGATAAATGTAATACCTAAGAGCTCAAAATCGAAATCACAGAAAATATGCCACAAAATGTTAATGAGAATTACTTAGCTGTAGTAGCTGGACAAACGTAGCTCTTGAAAACAACTTTTATCTAGATGGAAAAACATTTTAACATTGACCTAGTCGAGGTCGTCGCTCTCATCTAAACGTTATAACCAAAGTAATTTAGACGTTCCTCAGAACATGATCAACCTCTCGTAACTACATACTTTATCAACGAAGCAAACACTCAACGCATATCATTCCAATACAATAGATTTCAGCTAAATCGTATTCAACTTGAGATTCAATAAATAAATATGGGAAAATATATATAAAAAAGCAAAGGTGTTTGATTTTTGAAGGAATAAAGTGTTTATGATGATGGCTAAATTGTATCCCTTTCCCTTGACACTTTAACACATATTAAAAACCATTTTCATTGCCAACGAAACTCCTCTTTCATTTTGGCCCTGACAGACGGACAGGCAAGGTCATAGTGCGTCCTTCACACAACACTTGTCACTTGCATTAATTTTACTGTCTTGCCGCCTTCTTTTTTCGCCAACTGACACTCAAAACTGTCCGAAGGCATTTACAAATTTTCAAGTGCAAGTATGCGAGTTTCCTTTTTCTGTATTGTAAACGCTGACCTTTGGTGACTCATAAGGACGAGAATGTGCTGGTATAAAGTGTCCTTTAGCCGTGTGCATCTCGCCCAAGGATGTGTCGTCATAAAGTTCGTCTTGGAATTTTAAATTAACTGCAGTGGGCGAGGTTGATGGTTACAAAAAAAAAGAAGGCCAAAAAAACCCATCGTGTGCACTTTCCATTTCGGTGTTTGGCGTTGTTTAGCCATCACGTCTATTGGGTTCAATAGCACAAAACAAAAATAGAATAATAGGCCGGGCCAAGCGTTGTTTGTTCGCCTTCGGGCTTCTGGCTTTCACGTCCACCTTCCACCACATCCTCAATCCTGTCGAGTCCTGCCTGTAAAACTATAAATATAAATCCCTCATTCGTATGCAAACAAGTGCAGTGACAGGACGAAAGGGTGAGCCTTTGCCTTCGGTGGGCGTGACTGGCGGCATAATGGGCGAGTTTCGAAATGTAGTCGCAGTTCTGGATTTTGTTGAAGGTTGCCTCTGGGCATGATAACTATCTAGAAGCATGTGGGGAAATATTTTAGTGGGATATATAGTTGTATTGAGGAAAGTTTTTCATTTTCATGACTCAGGAAAATGTGTAAAAATTAGTTTGTTACTTTATTTTCTTAACATTTTCTGGGAGTTTTATATATATTTAATATTTATTTACACCAAAAGGTGTTAAAAATGTTTTTAAAGTGTCCTTTTTACGTAACATTTATTGATTTCCACTCCGTTGGTTAAATGCAATGAAATATTTATTTGTAAAAGATTAATATGAAAACATATTTTCTACCTCACTGAACTTGATTAAATATTCAGTTGATTAAAGTATATGTGACGTTTAACATGTAGGATGATGCCATTTTTATTATTTATAACTATTGGTATTATTATCTGCATTTTTCCTTTCCCTAAGAGTATATCCGGATCGACTGTGTCCCACTTTCTTGGCCTTTTCTTCGGACTTTCCCTGAAAAAAAAAACACTTTGCCAGTTTGTTGGTTCTTTTGTGGCAACTATTATTGTGGCTGCCTTTTGGGGACTCATTCTTTGGTGCTGGAACCTGCAACCTGCAACCTACAACCTGCTACCTGCGACCTGCAGTGTTCACTTCGCATGGCCAATTACAGTTTTAAGTCCTGCCGGCTTCTCGTCGTCCTGTCGTTTTCTTCGTCTTGAACTTTTGCTTTCGTTTTGCCCGTGCTTTGTGATTTTTTTCCCTCTTTCCCTTGGCAGGCGTCGCATTGCAGTGGCCTGTTGGCCAGGTCGACTGCACCTGCACCTGTTTGTTGCCCTTTTGCGGCTGAATGTTTAGTGTCTCGGTGGCCATTTATTGTTACACTCGACTCCATCGCCGCAGACGACTTCATTTGCCAAGTGAGCGTTGCACTTTATTGATTTCTTAGACTTAATTTGCTTGCCATTTAGCCGGCTATTGTTAACTACAGGTATTAAGCATACGTCACGTTTGTCATGTACATCGAAAACCTTTGTAGCACACTTTTAGGCTGAATATGGGAAAACGGTCAACAAGTGGTCTAAAATTATCTTTCATTTTGGAAAAAGCTATATTTCGTTCATATAGGATAAAACCGTTTTTAAAAGGTGTTCTCGGAAAAGTAATAAGCTTAAAAAAATATCATTAAGACATCAAGTCATTGACATCTTCCTTAATGTGGCTATCCAACAATGTTGTTCTTAGAACGACTTAAATTTGACGCCATGGAAGATAAATTTTCTTTTATAAATGGACAGCATATGGAATGTGGCTTTTCAACAGTAAAAAATGAAATGTGTGTCATCTCTTGGGGATATATATATATATATATAAGGTGGATGTCGCAGTGGGTGAGATTAGTATGCGATATGTTAATTAGATTTACGATTTATAGAAAGTCATCTCTTAGATAATGCCACACACAGAGAGAGAGAGAGAGAGAGAGAGGAACAGAATCCCAAAGAAAGTTATGTACAACCCACACCTTCGGGAAATTGATACTGATTTTCATTTGATTTTGCCATAAAATCAAACAAATTAGTAGATTGCTTTGTTTAGCTTTAATTGCGAATGTATTGTTGTTCCGCCAGCTGCGGCACTTCGATTGATTTCTAAACGAGAAATGCTCTCTAGTCTTACACTGAAAAGCGGATGTTATGCATTAGAATGATTTTTGATTAAACCTGCCATTTTCATTAAAAAATCATTTATGTTTACCACGAGGCAGCGAGGTTAATGGCCTGGTTTTTGGAAACATTTTCCTGGGAAACCCACATGGCCAATAAAAATTTTTTTGGCACCAACTGGGGCTTTTTGAAAAATCACATTGACCTTGTATATGTATATTTTTTGTGATATTATTATTCTGAATATTAAATATGACAGCCAAGAATGAAAACTAACCAACTACGAAAGTTTATAGCTACTAAACTAAATATAATTAAAAGTATATAATTTATGGAAATAATGCAATTAATGACACATTTCACTGGTTCTATTGGTATGCCAACGACTGTTCACCAGCTTAACTAAGCTTCATCGAATACCTATTGAACTCGGCCGGCTGCAAATGACTTTATGTACAAATACAAGCTTAAATGGCATCTAAATTGCTGCTAAGCTTGTTATAATTATAATCAAATACACGCAAAATCTATTGCCACAACAGCAATAACAACACCAGCAACGTTTGCCACAACAAATTACAATTACAAAACGTGGGGTGGCCCACCCCCATCCCATCCAATCCAAATCGATGATTGTGTTTCGTTATGGGCATAGGTTTTATAAAGAGGGAAGGCAGGGTGGGCAGCGTCAAGTCAGGTCAGGCCCATAAATGTCGCTACATTTCAATGCATGTTCGTATCTGTTTTCATTGCCTTTATCGACTAATCTGCTCTCTGCAGAATCGTCAAAATTTTCACAAATTGCCCTTTTGTCATGGAAAACCCAATCCCCCTTTTATGTACTACAGATCAGTATCTGTAATCCGTGTATCTCTGTTGATTTGTATCTTTTGGCGGCTGAAAGAGCTCACAGCACAGATGCCAAATTTAAAGCCATTTTTGGTCAAAAGTGAAAAGAATTATATGATTTTCGTGCTTCCGCCAAAGAAATGTTTAACTTTTAATTTGGGCATTTTGCTTTTTTGTTTGTTGTTTTGCATTTTTTTTGTTAATTTTCAACAGGAAGACAAAGTAATTAATTTCCAAACAACCAAGCTAAGCTAACTTTTTGGCATGCCTTTTGGCGTTGGCGTTATGGGAGAGCAGTTTGGCAGAGCAGCGTAAACAAATAAGGAAGGTCAGTGATGATAGCCGCTGAAGCTGATAGAAAGTGAAAATTAATGTTTGTGGATGATTGAGATTTGAAAGATTTTCATGATATGAATAGCAAAGTATTAAAGATGTGGATGTAATAAATAACAATCCATAATCCATACCTTAATTAGTATTATTACCTTTGGGGAAAAACGCTTCCAGTCAGATCCCTCTACGGAAGCAAAATGTGCAAAGCAACCCACCCAGCATAAGATCTTAAAGCGCCTCAAGGAAATAGCATTCAAATCGAAGCATTGCCATTGACGGCAAAGACACATTTCGACCCACAGAGCCCCTTTCTGGAATAGAAACGTCGAAAACACAGCCAATGCGCCAAGATAAACAATCGAAAACATCGCCCAGCTTCTACTGCAACTGCAAATAGTAATGCTGCACTGGAAAATGTGTTATAATATCAGATCTGTGCTGATATTGCATTAAATCGAAACCATTAATGCTCAATTATGTTCAACAATGTTCAATATTTCTCAAAAATGTAGAAGATTAGCTAAACTTTTCCTTACTTTCGAAATTATTATTGTTGTCATATATTATTAAGAGAAATTATAAGTGATTATTTTCTAAGTAGATTCAAGACCTATTACTTTCTACCCGTGTACTTACTACGTCACAACTGTCATTGGCTCTAGACTAGAATCTCGTTGATCTGATCCCAATGGGCGAAGCTTATGGCTATAAAAGCTGCGGCTACTGTCGATACCAAGCTTAAATTGCCCAGAGCAGAGAACGCGAGTGGTCGTCTATCGGAAAACGCGAGTGAAAAGTAAACACAATCTTGCGCTGCTGTTCGTCCTGATCTAAGGAATATAATAATAAATTACTGAAAAATATGGCTCTGGTGCCGTCTACAAACAATACGGATTGGGATTATTGGGATTACCGTCGCCGATTGTGGCGCGATTGGGACTTAAACGACTGGGATTTGCCCTACTGGAAGCGGTCATTGTCCCGAGTTGGATCAGCACCCGATCTTAGTCGTGTTATTGTCGGAAAGGATGGTTTCGAGGCCAATGTCGATGTACACCTGTTCAAGCCATATGAGATTACCGTCAAGACATCTGGGGATACGGTGGTTGTGGAGGCAAAACATGAGAAACGACGTGATGGGGATACCTTCGTGGGTCGTCACATTGTCAAGCGGTTCGTCCTGCCCCGTGGATACTATCCGAATGATGTGCGATCGGAACTGTCATCCGATGGCATCCTAACCGTCAAGTGTCCACCGTATTTGACCAACGAGCGTAGTGTGTACGTCCGCCAAGTTGGTCCTTCGTATCTAAGCATAAAGAATTAACCCCCAAGTCTATATAGCAATCGTAATTTCGTGTTTTGTTCTTAGTTCTTTTTTGTTGGAGCAAAAATTGAGTGACAAAATTGATGGCACATAATTCTAAGACTAGAATTGGACTCTTTTTTGTAATTAACAAAGCAACAATTTGTTTAGTTAAATAAAATAAAAGTTTAATTTATTAATAATGTAAGCAGAGTGTCTTATTTGGAAGTGGTTTCTCTCTTTTAATTACCAAGCGCCAGCGGATGTTCTCAACTCGAAGCTTAGACAATGGCAAGGCAAAGATGTCAACATAAATTCAACTCAAATGATGGACTCAACAAAATGTCACCGGACGACTAACCAGACAAAAAGTATCCGCTCAGATATAGTATTTCTCTTTGGTGGGTCTCTGTTTTTCTAGTATATATAGTTATCCAGAGACTTTTGTGTGGACAGCACGCCCTCTGGCAATTTCCGCAATTTGCCAACTAAGGTTAAGTTTGGATGTAAATGGGCTACGAAACGACAACCGCTTTGAGCATAAACCTACACGGAAAAGTATCGCTGGGAAGTGGCTAGAATATAGAGCTTAGAAATTTAATCTAGATATATGTCAATTGACCATACAAAGTAAAAAGTGTGGAGTAAAGTCACACGCCCACGAGATTGGTTAGGAAGCGTGGAAGCCAGCGTTGGGTTGCGTTTTTAAACGCTACTGCGATTTTTAACGCTTCATTTGGCATGCGTTGAATATCAGCCAGCGTTGGTTAGCGTTTTTAAACGCTACTGCGATTTTTAACGCTTCATTTGGCATGCGTGGAATAAAACAGACTTACGTTTATTTAATCATGCAACATTGTAAAAGAAAATTGAATATAATTAAAAAACAAAATAAGACTTTAAGAGATGGTTAGCGGTGTGCGGTCACTCTGCGGTCCGTGTGGTATTCGGTATTTGGTATTTGGTATTTTTATCATAATTTGATAAAGTTTAAGGTCAGTTCTTATCCGTTTCTACGAAAAATAACTCTACAGTCGAAGTGGTAACTTTGCCTTTACGTTCGTATCAACATTCAAATCTTTTGAAGAGAAAAAATGAATGAGTAACTGTGAGTAAGTGTTCAAGCTCTCTGTGGAGGAACTGAACTAATACATTTTTAATTGGTTTTTTATTGCAAGCCTAGATTGGCAACATACGTGAATTTAATTCTGGAATCACTCTCGTCTCAGCTGTTGAAAAGTTCGAATGTGTTTTTTGTTATTTTTACTTTTAAAATGTTTTTATAAATTCCGAAAAATAAATGTTGTTTGAAGTAAAAGTGATTTAAAAAATTAAAATTAAAGAGGTAACATGCTTTGAAATAATAATACTTGCCTTTAAGAAATCACTTAAAATTTTACTATTTTAAGCATAAGAAGTTTTTAATTTTTTAACCTAATCAAGAATTTCATCAAAGTGTTTCTGTTAAGTTGCGTGCAAGTTCAAGGTCAAGATTTTCAATTAACAGAATTTATGTTTTGTTATGAAAATATTTTTCGGAAAACGGCTACGGAATTTTATATTGATTTTGAGATAATAAACAATCCCCGGCTTTCTCGGAATTCAATTTTGGCGGATGCTGTATTATTCATTGATGAAAGTGAATTTCCAAAATATTGAATGCCATACTTTATTGACCTTCTTTTTCTTCTTCATAAACTGACTTCAAGTTAACTTTTTTTATTGTATTGTTTTGAAAACGTTTCCTTTTCTCCTATCTTTTTTATACTTTTAAGCAGAAATTTTAAATTTACTTCATCAATCTTGTCAGAATATAAAGTCGAATACAGATCTGAATAATTTTGTTTTTTATTTCAATTAAAGCCACTGAGTGCAATTCGTAGAATCGTTTTTTGCGGCACGTGGAAAGCCACGATGGTCCATTGTTGATTTTTTCGTTGCTCTTGCTCTTTCTTTTCTCGACTTTTATCTGTTCTACTAATTGAATACAAAAACAGCGAGATAAATGTTATGGGATCCGATCGTGAAATACCCTTTACCGTTTTCTTACCTCTTTTATTTTTAGTGTAAGTTTATGTTTTCACACGCTTACACTTGGCAATTTGATTCATACATGATACGATCATCAATGCTTTTGTCAAAGATGTGCATTGTATCTAAAGTACTTTCTTAACGAATATACAGTGAGTCAAAACAGGTGAGTCAAAGTCGTTTCACCGGAATGCGTCGTTCTGGCCATTGTTATCAATTTTCCAGTGTACTACCTCTATTCATATCAGGTATTCTCAGATAACAAAAGGAAAGTGTTAAAAAGCAGACGGAGTTGCTGCAGTGTTATTTAAGACGTCAGCCGAAAAAGTTGTGTTACCTCGCAGGTAAAAATTTGAAGTGAAAGAAACGAAGGTCGTTGCTAATCTAAAAAGCTTTTTGTGAGAACAAGTAAAGTTATCTGGCTATGTTTGTTGTTAGGAGTGATAAAGATTGCCAAAATGTATCTGTAAAAACGTATTCTAAAGCAGGGAAAACAATTTGGCAATGAGTCTGTAAATTGCCTTATTTCCACTAACACTCCCACGAGAAATAAACCCAAATCGGTTAAAATAGTTAATACTGAGTGACCAAAGTCGCGCCCAAGTGTCTGTCAATCCGCAAGTCAATAGAACGTTCAATTATTTGTAACCTTAAAATGTTTTTAATTTGTCAATCAAATTGTGATCTGTCCAATAAAAAAGACTGGACAATAGCTTTCGATCGAAAGTGCGGTGCTCGGGCAGTGACTTTGCCAATATGGGAATCGAACAGATAGACTATAGCCTATATATATAGAATAACATGTTTGTTGTTTTGCCAGCCAAATAAGTCGAAGAGTAACACACCTACGCGGCTTCTATATTGTATTTAATTTTGTTTAATTAAAAACAATTTGCAATGGCAGCGGCGCATTTGATTTGAGATGATTGAGTGTTGTTTCGTTACTAACTGCCAGCTAACATTATATAATAGAATGTAATATGTGAATCAATAACAATAATTAGGGTTATCTTACCAGATGAGAAATGCGTGAGCTTTCTCTGGACAGCACAAAGCAAAGGCTATATACTTCTTGCGTACAATTTGTTGAGGTATAAAAGAGAGAAAATCTGTTTTCATTTTAGTACAGACATAGCTCTCGGCTGAGATAGAACGTTTTGTTTTATTAAATAACATACAAAAATCAGAAGAAATAAAAATGTTATACGAAATGCTAAAAAGAAAACAATTTGCTGCTGTGTTTCGAATTTGTGTTCAAGTTTTTTAATCAGCTTAAGTTCATAAATAATCATTTATAGCAAAGTGATTAAAGTGTTTAATCAACTAATATAATAGGTCGCTCAAATCATTTGTACTATAAGTACTTAAATGTCATCAAAAATCATAAGTAATATCCAAAAAATATTTTAAAAAATATGAATAAAAATATTTTTTTGGACTGTAAAACATTGTTATGAAACATCTTAAGTGCAAAAAGTGCTCAGCTTATGGATTCTGTGTTCTTGACCCGCCTTCGTTTCTAATGGCTTTGTGTAGCATGTAAAGTTAGCTGCGAATTATGAGTATCCAGCGGATGGTAATAAATTATTGAATACCTAAAGATAGAGATTCTTTTATTTTAATATTTATACCAACCCATTTGATTTGCATGATTTCTAAAATAAAAATTACCCACTCACACTTTGCTATAGTAAAAATTATATCTAAGAAATTTAGCAGTCAAGTTCTGTGACAATTACTTAACTAAACTAATTCAAAAATAGGTGACCCATTTACTATGTGAAGGTGAATAAATATGAGTCAGCTTGTAGGGTATATAATACTTTGATCATTAAAAATAGAATACTCGTATATATGAAGAGATATTTACTAGAAAATGTTCCCTTGTTAAAATGAGTTTGTTGTCTTCTGAATGCTTGACTAATCATAATGTGATCTACTCTTCATTTTATATTTATTCTGATCTCTTTATTTACATTCCTCCAGCTGTTGTGAGTGCCGTTGTCGCCTAAATACTGAATTCTCCGTCTGTTCTTCTGCTTTAAGTCTTTTCAACTTTCGTTTATTTCCGAACATGTTTCGGAATCGGAGAAGAGCCGATCCACTGGTCGTTTGATAATAGAGAAATAGCGGCAAATGTTAGTGTGTAAATAAATTTCTGTTGGGCTTCCTTAACTCTTAGCATTGCCTGAGTCCATAAGATTGCCATTACTGTTAGATAAAGAAAAGGCATTGGCATTTCTTTTTTGTTGCAACAAGTTTTTAGCTTTATTTGAATGTTTAACCAACAAGTCCCGCATGCTAAGTATGCTTTAATTTTATATATTTTTATTATATTTAATTTAAAGGCTTAAAATTACCTGCAAAATGGCAACGAAGGAAGTTTTGTTATGCGTTCTAACATGCATAGCTTTTTCAAAAGGTATGTGTTTATCTGTCCTTATCTACTATTAAACGTTTTCGCTTGTTGGTAAATAAACTAAATGTTAACTAAATACCTAGATAAATATTGTTTAAAACAGTAAAAATGAATGTAATGTAAAATAAAGTATAAAAGATATAGTTTTAAAATGTATTGCATACTTTTGAGCAAAATGTAAAATTAGTTCTAACATACTTTTCGTCACATGCCGAATATCATTAAATTAAATTAAATAAAATGTATTTTCCAGCCTCTTTTAATTACATGAGTATTCGCGAAATTTACCCTCCTCTTAGTCCTGCCTCGGTGGCCGAGCTGGACGCCTTGTGTTCTTCTGCACCGTCAATTGAAAACGGTACGGTCTCCATTGAATTACAACGCAGTAAAGAAAAATTCTTTCTGGTGGCCTCCTATTCCTGTAAAAAAAACAGCGACAAACTAAGGCTTGTCGGAGACAAGGCTTTGTACTGTTCAAGAGGCCAATGGCGTGGTAATAAACCCGAATGCAAACCAATTCGGGCTCGGCCAAAATCTTTGGTATTAACTTATAAAAATGTTACAGTTAGAGACAACATTTATTTACGAATCTCTTTACTTCCAGAATTGTGCAAATGATAATGGCGGTTGTTCTCATATATGTAACAGATCTACTGGGAAATGCGAATGCTGGGAGGGTTATTCTCTGAATTCCGATTTACGTACTTGTAAAGGTAACTATTTTATAAATTTCGATTATATCTGAATATCTGTTCAGTAATATCTTAAAATTTCAGATGTCGACGAATGCCAGAATTCAAATGGGGGTTGCTCTCAGGTTTGTAACAACCTTCCTGGAGAATATATATGCACCTGCAGATCTGGGTTTGACATAGACATAAAGGATGGAAAATCTTGTTTTGGTATGTACTGTATATAAATCATTAGTAGATTGTATTACTTAATAACTCCTACCCCCTTCCAGACATCGATGAATGTGCCGATCCTGATTTGTCTTGGGACTGCACAGCTGGCTGTGAGAACACATATGGATCCTACAAATGTCTACCATCAACAGTAGGCAGAGTTGATCCCCCAGATGCCTTGGCTGCCACCGGAAGTGAAACAATTTTGTGCAAACCCGGCTTTAAGCTGTCTGACGATGGCAGCGAGTGTCAGGACATCAACGAATGCGCCGAGTTCGATGATGATGATAGACCACGTTACTGTGAGCACAAATGCGAGAACCTAATAGGTTCATATATTTGTCACTGTCCCGAGGGTTATCATCTACTCGACGACCACCAAAGTTGTGCCTCGAACACTAAAAAACCATCGAAACAAACAAAATGCCCATCCGGTTTTGAAAGAACTGCTGATGGTAGCCAGTGTCAGGACATCAATGAATGCATATCCCTTACTAATCCCCATAATTGCCAACAAGAATGTATTAATGCGATTGGCTCATTCAACTGTAGCTGCATTGCAGGCTATCATTTAATGAGTGATATGAAGAGTTGTGAATTGGATGCCATTGAGAAACCTCCAGAAACTGTACTACAGTGCAGTCATTTCATTCAGGATGGAAATCGCTGCTCATGTCCTCGTGGCCTCAAACTGATCAACAATACCACTTGTGTAGATCCCTGTGAGATCGAAAACAATGGTTGCGAACACATCTGTCACACTTCCACTGGTGGTCAGTGCTCTTGTCGCAATGGATTCAGCATAAATGCCAATGGAAAGAGTTGCGACGATGTAGACGAGTGCTTGGTGAACAACGGAGGCTGCGACCAGCTCTGCCTTAATATACCAGGTTCATAATGGCAAATATCTGATGTTATCAAAATAATCATAATTTACAATTTTTTAGGCTTATATATGTGCAAATGTGACAGCGATTCTGAGCTGTTACAGGACCAAAAGACGTGTCAGAAAAAGATCCCAACTGTTTCACCTATGATTCTTTTCTACTGCCCGGCACTGCGTTCAGTACCCAATGGAGTTATAAATCCGCCTAGCTGCACCGAAGGCCCCTCTGCAGATAACACAATCTGCAGACTGACGTGCAATAACGGCTTTGAGCCCGATAAATTAGATACTGTCCGTTGCTCGATGTGGTATACTGGATGGCTTTACGACTCTCAACTAAGTTGCATACCAAGCAAGCGAAATAGTGGGCCTTCAAGATTACCAAAAGAAACCAGAGTAGGTAAAATATATTATTAAAAAGATATTTATTAAATATTAATATAAATTTTATTTTTTATGCAGACCAGATATACGGCCTTTGACCCGGTCGGGGTACCATTATATTAAAAACAAACAGCGTAACATGACATCCCTAGAACTCTATACATATCAAAGACAATACGTAAAAAGAGTGAGCCCGTGAAGGTCTTGGTCTATATAAGCACTGGATTATGGATAACCATATCTCACATTTCTGCATCTGATATTGTAGGTCAGGCTGGCCAACGACTGTGTACTTTTAACAATCATCGAATAGTTACATCTCTTTGTATTACATTCTGCTGTGAATATAATGTATTAATTTATGTCTCGGGGATGGAAAACCTTTAATTTATTAACACACTTGGTATATGTAAACTTTTGTAACATTTCATCAGCATTAATTTGGGGCTTATCAGCCAGCGTGCTGTAAGCCAACTGAACTCTGTAAGCAAAACCCGAATAAAGAAACCTAAAAAAAACTAAAACGAAATAAAACTTCCGGAGTAAATCAATGCATAATCTGATCTTTGACTAACTATTTAAGTACAGCATAAGGTAATAAATTGATCAACATTGTAAGAGAGGCTTAGGTGAGTGAACTGATTGAATCCAATCAAACTGATGTGGACCGCAAGTAGAAAACAACAAAAGCAGCGCGTGCCAGGCCCACTTCGAGCTATTTGCTACTGAAATAATTGCCCTGAAATGCCGTTGAACTCGTTTGGTTAGAACCTGTCATTAGAAAAACACAGTTTAGATTATTCATTTATACATTATTTTTTTTATATTTTTGCAAAAACAAAGAAATCTAAAACTAGCTGAAATAATGTTTTGTTAATGTGGACCCCAGCAGAGACACAAAAATGAGCTGATAATATTTTGACTATACAGTGGTGATTCCAAAGTTATAGACGAAAATAACTTTTTAAAAAGTAAACTGTAAAATTGTTTTACTTTGAACTAATAGGATATGTAAACAGGTTTCCATCTTTTTCGCACCACTAAAAGTTACATTTTCAGTAATTTCGTATAACAGAAGCTCCACTGTATCTATGTTACAATATTTAGATTTGGTTGGCTAGACGACGGCTTCTGTAATGAGATGGAATGAGACTTTAGGCCCGTCGAGACGGGGCACTGATAACCCCACAGCCGCAGAGTTAGTGCTGCGATTGGACCCCATGTGGATGCCGTTCCAAGATCGTTCACTCGCCCGATTGCCCGCAATATTATTTGTATTATTTACTGGTTTCAGTTCGAATTGGTTTTCGTTTTCGTTTTGGCTCAGCTCTGGGGCCTAGCGAAAAGTCTATTTAAGCGCGTGATTAACTAAGAATTTAATTCAGTTTTCAATCGTTTGCTGAGCGGTTCGGTTTCTTGTTTTTTAAGTGAGGACACACGTCAGAATGTACCAGCGGCAGGTCTCCTTTGATAAGGTTTGTTGGGTCAACAAGTCCTCTGTGCACATCGTATAGAAAGTGAACCGTAAAACAGCTATTAAATTAATAACAATAACAAGTTTATTATTCTGCGTTCTCATCATGAACATTTTTCCAACCTTGAGAAGAACAACAAAATGTGTATATATTTTTTTTATAATTAGCTTTAAGTGTGAAAGCGGATCTATAATCAATGGATCTTGTCATGAAATTGGGTTAGTTCGCATGACTTTTAGACAAAGGAATATGGAGTGTTTTTCTGGATTTAGTTGAAATTTTATTATTGTCTACGATCATCAAAATGGTATAGTTTTCTATTTCTGAGGAACTGGATATAAAACCTGAATTGCAAAGTCATCTGAATATATTTTTGTAGGGGTAATGGGATATATAAATTCCTAGAAGAATACAACGTTTTGAAGCAGGTTTTAAAATTTAATTTAAATAGATTTTTTCCGACTTTTTTAGATAGTTTCGCAGATCTTATTAAGACAGTAGGATTAGAAAGCCAGAAAATTAAAGAAAGCATAAGGTTTGATAACATAAATTAATTTTATCAAGTATTTACAGTGTTATCTATGATATTTGCTCTTGCTTTATCTCAAGATCTGGCCAAGTTAACCACTTAATAGACCTTCTCACAGTCACAGCACACCAAGTTCTAGGTCGGGTCCTTGGCAATATGCGCTGATTGCCATTGCGGTCGGACCTAAACCTTCAACATGGTGGTCCATAAACCAATAAACAATCTCAATGATGCAAAACTTATGCAAGTAATACAATCGCAGTTCATTGGCTGATATAAGGCTTCGGTTAAATCATTAAACGATTTGGAGGTAACCATCTCTGTAATAGGAGATTAGCTGATTGGTAATTCATAATCATTATAGTTATAGGTTAAGCTTAGGTCACATAGTGTCAATCATTAAAATGGCGAATTTGCAAATGGGTTTTTCCCAACGATAAAGAAAGCGCCATTAATTATTTTTGATTTATGTTTCCTTAACATTTAATAGCCAACGCGAGTTGAGGACTCGGCTTATATAGTCGAGGGTGTAGATATTAAGGAAGCCAGGAACACGTGTCTGCTGTTCTCGCCGAAGGATTCCTCGTTATCCAGCGGAGCTTTAGCTAATATCTTGGCCATTTTCAAGAAGCATGACATTAACCTAGTGCACATTGAGTCGCGATCCTCGCTGCGTGTCCCCGGCTACGAGTTCTTCGTGGAGGCCGATGGAAAGTCTGGAGCCCTGGGCAAAGCTATTGAGGATGTGAAGGAGCAGTGCAGTTATTTCAATATCATTTCGCGTGATTACAAGGATAATGCTACGGCAGTACCCTGGTTTCCACGGCGCATACGTGATTTGGATCGTTTCGCTAATCAGATTTTGAGCTATGGCTCTGAACTGGACTCCGATCATCCGGGATTTACCGATCCGGAATACCGCAAGCGACGCAAGTACTTTGCCGACATCGCCTATAACTACAAGCACGGTGAGCCCTTACCCCATGTGGCTTATACCAAGGAGGAGATCGAGACCTGGGGCATTATCTTTAGGAATCTGACGAAGCTTTACAAGACCCATGCCTGTCGGGAGTACAATCACGTCTTTCCCTTGTTGGTGGACAACTGTGGCTTCAGAGAAGATAATATTCCCCAGCTGGAGGATGTCTCCAACTTTTTGAGGGGTTCGTTATGATTACTGATTATTAAAAGGGTGTTGTATTTCTAATTTATCATCTAATTTTTGCAGATTGTACTGGTTTTACTCTGCGTCCTGTGGCCGGACTACTTAGCTCTCGAGATTTCCTGGCTGGCCTGGCTTTCCGCGTCTTCCACTCCACCCAGTACATCCGTCATCCCAGCAAGCCCATGTATACGCCAGAGCCAGATGTCTGCCACGAGCTGATGGGCCATGTTCCACTTTTTGCAGATCCAGCTTTTGCCCAGTTCAGTCAGGAGATTGGATTGGCTTCCTTGGGAGCCCCTGATGATTATATTGAGAAGTTGTCGACTGTAAGTTGTCCTTTATAAAAGGTACAACCTGTGCTAACTTAAATCTTTGAAAACTTTCAGATTTTCTGGTTCACTGTTGAGTATGGCTTGTGCCGTCAAGAGGGTGAGTTGAAGGCCTATGGAGCTGGTCTGCTATCCTCTTACGGAGAACTGGAATATTGCCTCACGGACAAGCCCCAGCTGAAGGACTTTGAGCCCGAGGTGACCGGCATCACCAAGTATCCCATTACCCAGTTCCAGCCCTTGTACTATGTGGCCGATAGTTTTGAAACTGCTAAGGAGAAGACCATGTAAGATGTCGGATATAAACTTTTCTTATAAAGTTTCTTAAATATTTAACTCACTTTTTAGTAAATTTGCCAACTCGATTCCGCGTCCATTTGGTGTTCGCTACAATGCCTACACCCAAAGTGTTGAAGTTCTCGATTCCAAGCCTCAGATTTCGAATCTGATGGACAACATCAACTCCGAGTTCCAGATCCTCCAGAATGCCGTGGCCAAGCTGCGTGTCTGAGTTTATTACATATACCTTTTATTACTCCCTCTTTTTACATATTATTAAGACCGAATTGAATAATAAATAGCATCGAAATTATAAGTTTTATTTTAGCTTTATTACCACTTCTTTTTGGTTTGATAATTTATTTTTTGATTAGCTTGTTCAACTTCTTTTTGGGGAGGTTGTTTTAAAAAACATTTAAACATTTAGTTATGTACAAAATAGTTCTATATATCTCCTCAACTTCTTTCTTTTATTTACAAGCTTAACCAAGTCCTCTCAACTTGTCCTATAGGTATGTACAGAGCTTAAACACTGAGTTACTAGCATTATTAAGGTAGTTGTAGTTGAGTTTAAGATAGTTTGTTTCCATTTACAAGTTCTAAGTTTAAAGCATTTGGCTCTTTATCAGCTGAAGATCGAAGCATATTCGAGCGAACTTTTCCAACAGCAAAATGGTAATACATGGGAAAATGGATATAACGATTGAACTAATGGCATTTCAACAGTCGGAAAAGATCGAGCATGAAGTTAACTTATGGGAATATGTTCACAGCAAAATAAATGTCAGTTGCAATCTCAACCTGAGTTTTGATATATTTAAAGTATATCCTATTTTTTATACAGAATAAACACTAAATCGTAAGATAAATATCTTGTTTGACCTCAATGGCGAAGCCCAGTCTTGAAAATAATATGGAATTGGATAAGCTTTGCTCAACTCGATCGATAATTACTACGCTTATCGCTATACATATATTCTGAATACAATTAACTTAGGATTAGGTTTTAAGGTTCGATTACGTATCAGAGATCCCTGTTTGCGCCTCGATGGCACTTACTGGATAAGGCTAACTTATGGAAACGATGGGCTCTTGCTACAAACTAATCAGTAAGACTACAACAATTTAAAACCTACTTACAGTGGAATATTTTGAGAACTTTTTTAACAACTAATTTAGTTTATACACAACACACGAATCGGGATTAGAACAATACTCAGTCTGTTGAGATCTACAACTAGCTCTGGGTTTCCAACAGAGAAGGTTCGATAAAGAGAGCCAGAGGCCAAACTTGATAATACACGGACTATATAGATGGGGATGTCTAGGGGAGTTCTTACAAATCGATAATCCTAACACTAAAGAGAGTTATATACATTGGGAAAATGCTATTGACTACTGCCTGGGGCTGTGTGAGGCGAGTTGAATAGATTCTGTGATTGCTCTTGGGACATCTGATATGGCAATATTTCCAGATCGTTTGGCAACTGATTTTGGTTCTGATTCTGACTGTTGCTGAGAAAGGGATTCGCACTGAAGAAACTGTTTGACTGTGGTTGATGTTGCTGCAGGATGTGCTGTTGATGTTGCTGCTGCTGATGCTGTTGCTGTTGCTGCTGTTGTTGCTGCTGCATTTGATTGCTGCTGGAACTGTGCATCATCTTGTTGTCATCACTCTGCGTTTCAGAGCCATCATCGCTAATGCCCATGTGAAAGTTGATCGAAGGACTCGATTCGGTGGCCATTTGCATGTAGGACAACAGCGAGTCCTCATTGTTGTTTAGCGGGGGATTTGAGCTGCGATTATTGTTGCTGCCACCATTATAGTTGTTATTGCTGCTGGAGCTGAAGGGATTTATGGAGGATTGCAGGGGTGACAGATTGAGAAAGGCGTCTATATCATCGATCTCCTCTCGTAATAAAATATCATTTTGTTGCTGCAGTTGCAACTGTTGTTGCTGTTGCTGCTGCTGCTGCTGCTGTTGCTGCTGCTGCTGTTGCTGCTGTTGCTGCTGCTGCTGTTGTTGTTGATGATGCTGCTGCTGCTGCTGTTGCTGATTTTGTTGCTGCAGTTGTGTATGACTGTGCTGCTGCTGCTGCAAATTGTGTTGGTGCTGCGAGTGTAGATTCTGCTGCTGCTGCATCATCATCTGCTGATCCTGCTGGTTTAAGATCTGCTCCGAGTTCAAGGCGAATCCATACTGATTAAACTGCGGCTGCACAGCATTGCTGCCGGTAAAGTTAAGACCCCGCTGGCCAGCGGCTCCCATGGGGCCTACCGCTGCGGCTGCCATGTTACCAGGTGCAAACCCCATTGGCATCATAGGCTGAAGATATGTATAGCGGGACAGAAGCAATTGCTCCGAGACTATTCTCAACTCATTCTGCTGCTGCAGGATCAGCTTTTGCAGCTCATCATGCTTTCGCTGCAATTGATCCTGCAACTGGCTCTGCGTCGGCGTCATCACCACAGTGTCGGGCAGCAGATCCTGCTGTCCCTGCATAGGAATAGGCGATAGAACGGGGGCAACAGGAAATGGTGCGATCACCGGTTGCATGGGTATGGCTGTGAGATATTGTGGAGGCTCCAGAAATGTGGGTGCCACCAATTGGGGACTAGCCAAGGGGTAACCAGGTTGAGGAAACTGACACCCATTTCCGGCCATTATTTGTGTGGGTGCAATCGGCAGGAGGGGCACCATTTTTGGAGTACCCACTGCATGTTGCAATTGCTGTTGCAGTTGCTGATGCTGCTGCTGCTGATTCTGTAGCTGCTGTTGTTGCTGCTGTTGCTGTTGCAGGTGATGATGAGACTGACTGTGGTGATGTTCTCGATGATGCTCTCGGTGATGCGATCGCTGACGTTGGCTTTGCTAAGAAAATTAAAAAGCGGTGGTTATAGGGAAAGTCTATAGGAAAATTCATGGATGATCGAAAGAGTAAACTTATCTAAAAACGCTTTTACACTGCCTTTGTAGTGTGTGAAACTATCCGCCGACGATAGCAAGTGTCAGGACATCAATGAGATTACAGGATGCACTCGCTGATATCCTGACACTTGATCTTCAGAAGGACACAAACATATTTTTACTTCGTAACCCATTAAAAGTTTTAGAACAACTCAAGGGCGTTTATTCTTATATTTTTTTAAGAAAAAATATACATATACTAAAGACCGGGCGAATACTTATCTGTTTTTCATTCAAAAATAATGAGTAATCAAAAGCATAAAATTAACTCTTTAAGAACCAGTTTCAGTTTTTTGTGGTGAAATTAAAACTGTGAATCTATCCCCCGATGGTAGCAAGTGTCAGGACATCAATGAGATTCCAATACGCACTCGCTGATATCCTGACACTTGACCTTCAGGTGAACATAAATTTTAAATTTGTAACAAATCAAGAAAGAACACTTTTAAAACTTTTTCCAATCCGTTTTACTGTAAGAAGCCCACCACTTCCTGCTCTCGCTCTGATCTGCCACAACGGAATGAGTTTTAATTTCTGAGTCGTTAGTATGACCAATTCGAAATTAAAACAAAATCTTTTAAAATTTAGACGTTCATAAATACTAAGACACAGCGCTTTTCTATATGACCAATTTTCAAAATAAAGCCAGTCTGAAATAACTGTTCTTTTCTACTTTAGAATATCAAAAACTCTTTAGAGAATAAAATGTGAATATTAAAGAAATTTTCACTTTTTCTGGCAACCCTTCGGTATTTATAACGAGGCATTCTCTTAAGTCTTTTACTTACTCTTAACTCTTTCGATCTTTTTATGTTTATTAATGGCTTTACCCACCGAACTGACGTGCGTCATCATGGACTGCCGGCTGGTTACCGAATCCGCGGACATGGACGTGGAATCGGAGTCATTCCCACGATTATTATAGAAATAGCACTTTCGCTTGGCCTTCGGTGAAACACCCGTGGAACTGATATTCCCATAGCTTGAGGCAGGTCGCGATGTCTTCAGAGGATTCATTTGCCCGGAACCAGATGGTTGGACAACCGCGGCGGACCACATGGGCGATGAGTCCACGGCGGGTGAATTGGCTGTAGTTTCATTGCCCAAACTGGCCAAGCTATTGCCCAGCAATGTGCTATCCAGATTCTGGCTACTGAGCTCGAAATCCCTCAGAGTCGTGGTGGCGGATGCACACTTGCTGCTATTTGCCGTGGATGGAATGATTTTACTGCTACCATTATTGCTGTTACTGTTGCTATTCTCGGACTTTTGACTCTCCTTTCGACTTTCCTTGAGTACCTCCGCGTAGCTGACCACCTTGTGGGTGCACACCACATAGTCCGGCTTGGAATTGAACTGATGGGAGCTCACATAGTAGTCCGTTTGCAGCCAAATCCATTGTTGCCCTTTTGTGAGGAATCGGTAGTAACAGGACTTTCCCTCGCCGGTTTGTCGCACTATAATTATGTTTTTTGGTACATTTATGGTTTAAATATACTAATATATGTTTTTATGTTGCAGGATATTTAAAAGCACAGAGAACTTACGCTCTTCGTGGCATGCCACAATGCTGTCCAGGTCGTCAAAGTGGTAATAATCATATCCGGAAGTGCCTAACACCTCAAATGGCATATAACCAATGATTGGTGGCGCCCGATGGTCCAGAAACAGGAACTTCCACTCCATGCTGTGCTTCGATGTGAATTCATTGCTAGTCGGATCGATGATGCTCATTTCCCTGATCAATTGAGGATTCTGAACTCGTCCGGTTCCCACAAAAACCAACTTTTTGTCCACTTCGACATTAGGATTCTGCTGGAAGATGCGGGGCAGGACTGCTGGTTGTCCATTTGAAGCATTCGAATTGTCCGAACTGGATCCCGTAGAGGTATTAGTATCGTTACCTAAAGGATAAGCATCAGTGGAGGTGACCCAACCATTATGAATGGCTACCTACGAAAGTAACCCACAAATTTGACCAACTCGTAGGCATTGGCATCGACTTTCTCCAAACCGCCGCGTCTCAAATGGATGTAGAATGTGATCTGATTGCTGGAACCTATATTCGTCTGTCGGGGCTCAATTACCGGTGTGGGATTCATGAAAATGTTCAGCAGCGCCTCGTGGTCCATCTCGTAAGCCAGATCATAGATAGTCATGTTGTACAAATCGTGCTGGAAGACGCCAAACTTGAGACTAAGTTTTTATATAAGGTATTTATGTTTTTAATAATTAACTCCCATAAATCTTTTCTTTCACTTTGAAAACTAAACATCTTCCAAATAACTTTCATAACTTCATAGAATAAAAGTAGGCTGAAGGCTTCCTGGAATGTATATTTCGTAACAATCATCAAAAATGTGGAAAAATATCGAAAAAAACTAACAATTTTGGAAAATAAATAGGGGTTGATATATAGTTTCAGTTGGTAGTTGTGCTTCCATCCTGATCAGCGTAAATAACGTGAATAATCTGTCCTAAAATAAGACTTAGTCGGTTGTCAGAAACTTTGCTGTTCTGGCAAAGAGTTTTGATATTTCGCAATTTTGTGGAATAGAATTCTTTTTCCTTTTCCATAGTCGATGTATATTCACAGTAGATTTTAAGCTCATTGGAAAGCTTTAAGAATTCTTTTTCTATTGCTTCTTTTTCGGTATCAGCCTTGGCCGCTTCCTCTGCCGATTTAGTGGAAGGTTCTTCAGGAGTTTCACGGGGCCCCTTAGATATCTTTTGTGATTTAGAGCTAACAAGACCCGAGCATATGCCCATGTCTAGTCCTTGCCGAACGATAATGGGATTATAGGAACGACCTTTATAGTTGGCTTCGAAGAATTTTTGAAACCATTGAAGGAACTCCAAGTTATCTTGAAAACGACCCTTGACAAGTCTGTCTATGGGCACGACCTTATCCACGGACAGTTTATTGAAACTCGCCTGTAAAAGCTTGAAATTTTGAAAATACTCATGCTCTTGATTAGATATAAACTTGATTCGCCTGACTGGAAGTGATTTGGGAAAGAGCATATCCATTAATTGACAGTAAGCGGCTCCGGTGCACATTTCCTCGACTTTAGACAAGTTGGTCTGCAATGTCTTGTTGACCCAGGATAGCATCTCATAACGCGAACGATTGTCCGAGGACACGTTGGTGGAATAGACATTTACTACCATTCTACAGTTCTTAGTAGACATAATTTCGAATAAATTTGTTTACGATTGATCTAATTTTGTTTTGAGTGGACTAGTAGTTGATCTGGTGAAATTAGAATGACTGATATTATAGGAATGACTGATATAAGTCTCAGGGCATGCTCTACAAGACTTTTAAAGTTGTCCTACTATCCCAATTAAATTCTATCAAAAAAGTTAATTTCAACAAATTCACTTATCAACTCACCGGCAGATATCCCAGCTGAGAGGTAATACTTTCCGAGGAATAGAAGATGGAGCCCATGCTACTGAAGACCATCATGAAGCCATCGAGAGATTCCAGCATCAGATGGGTGTACTCATCGTTGCTTAGAAACGCTGGCTTCCAGTCTTGTTGGATCTCGAAAACCTTCGAGCGATCGGTGGCCTCTGATATCATATATTTTAAATTAAAAGAGAACTAATTTTGAAATTCTGATTCTAGCCATCCTACCATTATGGTTCTTCAGGAAGGCTATGGTGGACTTCAGGACCGTGGATTTGTCCATCTTTCTGCTGGAGGTCGATATCAGGGCACTCAGATCATTGACCAGGGAGTTAAACTGATCCCGCCGCTTCTTCTCGCTCAGATTTCGCGATTTTCTGCAAAGGAAGCTACGAGTTACATATAATCAATAGGATGCATTTACGGTTAGCAACGTCACAGATTCACAGCTTGAAAGGATTTAACAATAAACAGGACTCGCCACCACCACCCCCCAAGGTGAGTTCGTTCGTGACCCACGTGCGCTGTATCTTTTAAGGCATTGTCTGGCGTTGATTAGCCACATATGCCCATATGCTATCACCATCCCATATTTTTCTTAGAAACCCGAGGGTTGTGTTCCCTTTGTCACTTTCAATTTACTGCGCTAGGTTAACTTATTCTATCCTGCCATTGACATTTGCATGTCACTAACTGGTTTGATGAGCGGAGTTTCGGCTTTAGGCTTATTGCTATTGTCAGTTTTTTGAGTATGTTATGATGGTTTATGACCAGTTAAGTTGTGTTTACAAAGTATGTTTGGAGTTAATTGAAGGGTAATGAGTTGAAAATGCTTATTAGAGGATTCAAGAGTTTTATTAGTATAAGGAAGTTTTCCTTTGATAACCTCATCAATAAGGTTGTTTTCTATTCTTCTTTTCCTCAAGAAATAAATAAAATATACATTGAAAACTGTGTCTAAGTTAGTTAATACAACCATCTTGTTCTCACCTTCTGGATATCAGATAGCTAATTTGTTGTTACGCGATGAGTTCAAAGAATAGGTGACTAAAACTGGCCAAAAAGTAATTATTACATCAGTTAATCGAGTCCGCACTCGAATTACAACTGACTGGAGTTGGACCCGCAGGAAAAACGCATCAAAGAATTAAATTACGACTTTCATTGATTGTTTCTTAAGGGTGTAAGTAACGAGGGGACTTTATGAATGACGACAGCAGTGATTTCTTAATACTGTGTATATTCATTGGTAAAAGTAATAAACAAAGGGGGGACATTCCACTTTCACCTGGTGGAAAATTTTATCAAAACCTCAAAACCGCCATATACATGTCGTTTTCTTTCACTTCTTGTCAACTGTCATTTGCAGTTGGTCCATGGACCTGTGCTATCTGTGCTTCTATTTATGAATAGCTAACGATATTGGCTACATGAGTATGGGTGCTTAGTGTCTAGTCAATTTACCTTTTTGTATCATCCTTGTCATCGCTTTCGTCGTCCATTTTCGGGTCTGTCAGATAATCCACTACGAACTGAACAATTTTTTGGAAAAAACTCTTGCCGAAATATAGAGAAATGGCAAACAAGAAGATCGTGAAGAAAGTTCGAAACTTTCAACTTCTTTTGAAGACTTGCTCACAAATGCCACAAATAATTTACACGCTCACATAATTTTCTTCATATGTTTTTTTTTTGGTTTTTGGCTTAAAGTTCAGGTAATGTTCACACAGCAATTGATTTCAATATGCTCAATATGCCACATTTTGAATAACTATAAAGGGTAATTTAAGATTTAATTAGATTTACTTTCGTTGGGTTGGTTATTTAATTTTTCCCGACGCGTTTTTTAAACGAAATATCTTCGCGAAACGACGCGCTGTGTCAGCAACAAGTGCAGTTTTGGTTCTGTTTCGGTTTTGCCAACTGGCAGCATCCGTTTCGAATCCGTTTGGCCGGAGGAGGTTATGTAATAGATTAAGCTGCGCCTGCGCAGGCTCCACAATTGGAGGCCCCGTGGCCAATTTGCCAGTTGGCCGTGCCAATCAATGTTGCACATTTGCAACCCCTGAAATGTATGCTACGCTATTTTGTCATGTTACAAAATGCGTTCAGCGAATGCCATAACAACCACTCGGTGGTTGGAGTGAGTGGTTGGGTTAGCTGGTATTGGGAATGGGTGGTGGGTTGAGTCAGTTAAGAGTTTGAGTGAGGCAGCTGCTAACCAATTGGCCGCCTGCATCTGGATGCTGCCCCTTTTTCCCGGGCTATAAATAAGCCATCCATACACGCTTCGATTGCATAATTCCCTGTGTTTATTTGCCTTTCTATTGATTTCTTTTTTCTTTTATTCGAATATTTCTCAAACATTTTCATGCAACTCTTTCGTCAATTTCCTTAACACCCACAAAATTATTCAATGTTAATTGACGGTCCAGCATTTGGAAGGCTTCGGCGGAAAGCAATTTCTTGCCAAACAAAAACTTGAAAACTTTTCAGCAAATGTCAAAGGTTTGTGCAAGCCTGTTAAATGCATTTACCCAATGGAATGGGCTAAAAACTTGACTTAACAGCCCAGACCAGTGACGTCGTTCGAATTGAACCCATTTAAAGCTGGTACATTGGACGAAAAATCAGTGTTTAATTAAAATGTGGAAAGCAGCTTACAAATTGCACAGCTTTACATCTGCCGTGGCAGCTGTAATTAATCCGTTTACCTTTCGTTTGACCATGGACCCAAAGCGCAGCTCATAATTTCCCACATGTACGTGTGTGGATATGGGATATGCGGATGGGAAAGCATTTTAAATACACATCAAAGCCGAAATGGCCCATACCTTTTGTGCCAAGTGTTGCTGGTTAACCGTAAGTAGCTGTTTGGCCCAAACCCAGACTCGAAATGCTGCCAGATAATTGCCAATGACTCGCTTAATGGCTCGTGTTGCAATTAGTGCGGTTGGTTTGGTTTCTCGCAGAGTGCAAAAAATATATATTGTATGTAGCGGAGTAAAGGGTTAAGATAGAGACACATGTGGAGAGGGTGTCAGGTATTTATATTGAATGGATTAGCTTTACTCCAAGGAATGTGGTCCAATTACAACTTTGCTTGCTCAATTATGAGTTCTGAGTTTTATTGGGTCAAAGACATTAGACATATTGCACTTTATAAAACTCAAACTAACTTTAAGCTGTTCTTTCTGAGAAATCGTAATGACTAACTGCCTTCTTTGCTGCCTTCAATAGTATTCTACATTAGGATTAGTTTATGAAAGGCTCATTAACTTCAAGTAGCAAGTCTATCAATCACTTTCTAAAATGAAATCTCCATTAATCTCAATCTAAAATGTTTGGTCTTTAAGTTGCTTAATTATGAGTTTAAAACTTTTCTAGGAACCACATCACTATCTTTCTAAAACAATATTATGATAAGTTAGTTTTAGGGATTAAACTGGAATCCTTTAAGGTCTTAAAGTCCTTGTTTTAACGAGTTTTCCTTCTAATTCTTAGCAATGCTTTTTTATTGAACTCGAAAAGAGAATATATGTTAAGCCCTTTACCAATAAGTAGATATTAATATATATCCATTGGAATAATCCTATAATTTTCAAGCAGATCTACCAATCACCACTTGGCCTTCACCTCCTCAAATCGAACTGCATTAACTGCAAGTTTGAAGTCATCATCAAATTATATACTCAAGCAAACTAATGAAACCGCTTTACTAACCCATCGTCTATTACAGATAGAAGCTGACATATTAAACATTTGGCATTGACAACATTGTTGCTGATATGTGTTTTATTGTATTTACATATATTCGTATATATATATTTGCAATGCGGAAGCCATTTGATCGGAAAAATGAGCATACTAGTCGTATGTGAAATAGAGGAAAGGCACCGAAAGCCGGTTAGAGCGGCAGGTTTACTCAACCCAGGCGAAGATCGTTGACTGACCTACTCACGAGCGTTGGCAGATATGGTGGCTATATCTTTATAGCTCTCTCTGTCATCAACAGTCGCCCCGTCCCGTTCACTTGCACTCTCTAGCAATTGCTGTCTTTGTCTGGTACATGGAAAAAGGGGGAACTAACGTCATTTGATTGCATTTGTAAAGCTTCGCTCAGTTACAGAAATTATCGCATACTACCGATGTGTGGGTTACCTATATATATATATATATGTTCTCCTTCTCTTTCTTTCTCTCTCTTGATTTCTTTGTCAGTGAACTTGAGCTTTTGCTTGGCACTGCTAATTGCATTGCGATTACAACATAGTGTCGGTGTGTGAGTGATAATACCAAATACTCATACGACCCGTTGTACAGCTTTTTTTTTTAGTTCGTTTCTCGTCGTTTTTCCCTCCTATTTCTCTTTCCGCAATATAGTTAGCGTTTGTTGTTTTAAACTTGACTTAATTAAATTTTTCACTATTATTTTATTTTTATCTTTTGCCGTTCATTGATTTATTTTCTGCAGCTTTTGCTCCCTCTTATTTGATGCTTAAGTATGGCTCATTTGAAAACCGATTTATAGGGTTAAAGGCCTTTACATTTAACCAGTTTTCCACTTGCATTTCCTTGGCTCGTAAGGGTTGGGGAAACGGATCTTGGATTTGCCTTTCCATCAACTGTTGAAAATCTAATAAAAATTCAACAGCTGGGATGAGTACTTAATCATCAGCAGCCCGCCTGCTTAATATCATCAGCTCATCATCACATCATCTTGTCTTGATCATGATTTAGTGGGATTAATTAAGTATGGGAATCACTGGGGGGAGACGCTCTAACATTGGAAAGGCTATGTCAAGGGATTTACAAACCACTAAATTTTGTTGCAATTAAACAGGAATTTTAAATTGTAAGTGAGAAACACTTTAATAGAACATGACAAGCGATTGAGCATGTGGGAAATTGATTTGGTTGGAAGTTTAGATAGTTCTAAGTAAGTTCCACATGAAACTAAGGCGAAAAACTATAAATTTCAAGAATTTCTTTACAGGATTTCCTTCAACCTGTATAAAAAATATAGTTTATAGGTCTTTCGTAAACCCAACTAGAACTTCTATCTGTCTAAGGGCTCCCTTAACTGAACTTGAAACGTTTCCTACAATTACTCATTAGATACTTCACTGCCCTACTAAATAATTACCGCCAATTCTAAAAACTACCAGAAGCTTTCCTTAAGTTATCTTTCTTTGTTTCCAACCAGTTAAATTTTGCTAAAATAAAAAAAAGGGAAGAAAAATATACCTAGGGCAGTTGTCAATCAGTTGCTTATCTCACCGTATCAACAGCAACCTATTTGCTCAAACTGAAAATGAAGTATACGCTCTGCAAGCCCCAGCGAAAATGCCCAGAAAGTGCAGCTGACTGCAGTAATTATTTAGTTGCATTTCGTAATTGTGCCACATTTTATTCGATTTAAAACAAGAATAAAAACGAAAACAAAAAACCCAACTTGTAATGTTTAAAACCTTTTTTTTTTATAGTTTTTTAGTTGTCAATTGAAATAACTTTTGCGGAGAGCGTGTGCAGCTACCGCATGATCGCACACCACTGCACAAAATGCACACGCGCACTCACACTATCAGCCCTGTACACTGAACACATTGACAGACTGGGACACACAGATACACTCAGGGCAGTCAAACGCTGACGATGACGTTTCAAAAATTCAAAAAGACGCCAGATCCGAGACCTGAGACTTGTCAGCCAACAATAAAAGCAACAAGAAAAAAAAAACAAAAAAATTAAAATAAAACAAATGGTAAGGGGCAGGGTTAGGGTAGGCGACTGGGGAAATACCTAGCTCTGGCTGTTTCTATGAAAATTCTTTCGCGGAAAATTTTAGGAATTTTAAAGCAAAATTACAATAATTTGAAAAGCTTGTTTTAGCTTTGCTCGAGAATTTTAGACAAAACTAGAAATATTTGAGAAATAAAATAAAAACAGGTAAATAATTAAGATTCGATTTTTAAGATCAATGAATTGCTCTTTTCTGATTCTCACATTCCCTAAATCAGACTGTTAACCTGACTTAGATATAACATTCCTTTAACCTGGTAATAGCTAACGCAAACACAAACACCATATACCCATCTCAGTTTTATTGGGTATAAAAGCCGACTTTGACAATGGAAAAAAATGCCACAGCACAAGTGCAACAAGCGGTGCATTATAAGAATAATTATTTTTTTAATTTTATAATAATATATGGCGGATGGCTTGAAAAACTGAATTAGAATACTCCCTGGCCGGATAATATGTTTGTAATTTTTGGTTGAATGCACTTTTGTTTTTAGCAAGAAAGCTCTCTGCTTGTTTTCCCCGCATCTCTGTGCCAGTTTTCTTATCGCTCTGGTGCGGCATTTTTCTAATAGTAATAGTATATTTGTCACTGCGACTGTTTTTCCTATTGCACTTTTATTTTTCGTTTGTTTTACTTCACTTTTACGCCGCACACTTTGCCATTTCGGAGCAGCTGATTTGTGATTTTATTTCTGATGATTTCTGGTGAACAACTTTGGTAATTGCTAGTTAAATTTTGCAATATATATTTAAACCTTTAGTTTAGCTGCACTTGGTATTACTATTGAGTTTTCACTTTTAAAAATTGTAGTTATTTTGAGCAACTTTTTTTGGTCTTGACTTGATCACTTTCCTCTTTCTTTGACTACAACATCACTCACATTTATTAATAAGTAGACACATTTAATTGGCCTATAAAAAACCTTCAATTATTATTAATTTTTCCACTTATTTTGCATCCATGCATATATATTCCCCTTCGAGGGCTTATCCACTTCTGCTGCCCTCCGCTTCACATTTTATTTCTTTAAGAATTATTTCATTCTTTTTCCTGTTATTTTACGCGCGTGTGGGCAAAATATTTTTAAAGGTTACATAATAACTTTTCCCGTTCTGCTTTGCTCATTTTTTCCTCCTTTTTTTTTTGCACTTCTCACCGGCTTGCACTTGATGACATATAAGCAAATATATATATAAAAACAGATATCCAATAACAAAAAAACCGATTTAGTTATTTTCCGCGGGCGTCTTAATTCAGGTTTTTCACTTTTTTGGGCACTATCAGCAGATAAAAGAAAGCTTAGGTACTTCTGATAAAAAGTAAAGATGAACCATTGAAGTCGAAAACCAAAACCGAAACAGAGTCCCAAAAAAAGTGTGTTATTTCCGATCGGGTTACAGTCAGACTCAGTATCGTCGACAGACGGCTTGACTTTGCTTCGGATCGTCTAAATACTCGTAAAATACCAAAAAAAAAAAAAAAAAAAACAAACTGCACGCTCAAAAAAATGGGGAGAAAATACGAATAAAACCGATTTGGGAAAACAGAAGAGAGAGATCCGCTCGTTGACGCTGCGCGTGCTGGACTCAAACTGAATAAATGCACGAGAACTGCAATTTCTAAGCTCGCGAAACAAAAAAAAAAAAAAAAAAACACAGAAAAAACAAACTACAAACGCAAAAAGCCCGTGGATAAACGAAAAACCGCGAAATGCATCGAAATGTGAGCGATTTGACCAGAAGCGTTCTCACCGATACCAAGATACCCAAATACTATATAAATCGGGCAAAAAGAGAGAGTGTGTGTTGGGTCTACAAGTCAGTTTTTCGAAATGCCTCTTGCCGGCCGGGGCGTATACGCGATATGTGCAAGCATTCCCAGCTCTACCTCACTGACTGATTGAGCCCGGGCCACTCGGCTATTATTTAATATGTATTCTCTCCTACCACTCACTACCCTCAGTGTCATATCACTCAATTGCACCGATCGCCGCCGTTCTGAGTCGAGTCTTTATCTCTAACGCTCTATCAAACTATCAACACCCACTCCAGGGTTTCTCCCTCTCACTGGGGCTCTCTCTCTCTCTCTCTGACATCGGCGGTAGTATCATGATTTTCTATAGCTTTCTTTCAGGTTATTTGTTTGTTGTCTTATATTACCCGTACTTCTGGGTGTCCGTCTGGAGATTACAGATATAAGGGTCTCTATTTCTGAGCAGCCCTAATGGTGAGTCAAAGGGTTTGGTTTGTTGGGTATTTGAGTTCAAGGGCTGGGTGGTCTAGGGGTGAGTTGTAACTATAACTTAGATTTGGATTCTGTTGATCGTCTTATCTTTGTTCAAATAGTGGCTTTGTAGTAGCTCTGTCTGGGTTATAACAACAAAAATATCAAAGGGTTAATAATTATCATTTTGAAATTCGACCTGAAGAAGGTTTCAAAATTGATAGATATATTTCCATTTAAACACTCCTAGTGTCTGTAGATTATTAAATAAGATAACATAAATTTTCAATAAAATAATTTCCAATGAAAATAAACACATTTTTCAGGAAGCAGGCAAATTCGTTAACTGATAAGCACTAAAGGGGTCTTTTCCCAAGACATACCCGTATGTACCTTGAATCCATAAGTTATGTTATCAAAGAAAAATGTTTATATAAATAAAAAAACAAATTCATAAAATGCAAGATTATTAGTACTGTCTCCTTAAAAGCTCAAATTAATAACAAAATTCATCCTCAAGTTTTAATTTATCAACATTTTTACTCTCCTGAGTATTTAACATAATATTTTAAAAACTATTAAAAACTATTTGAATTTACAAAAATAGTCATAAATTGTTTTAAAACTTATAAAATAAATAGATTAAATAAATATATCTTTAAATACAATATCTAACGTTATGTCCTTCAAAAACTAAACAACAAATTCTGGGTCAGTAACTCAATAATCTGGAGTTCATATACTCAGGGCCACCTTTTCGTTTTCCTTTCAATGCGTACGCAAATTTCTATGAATATTTCATAAGTATAAAGAAAGTTTTTTTTGAGTATATAGAATTCGGACGTGCCCTCGCCCTCGCCCTCACCCAAACCTCTACTCCTCCTAAATCTTTCCAACTCTTTGAGAATTCAGCATCGAACACAGAAACCAGCACTATGAACCCAGCAGAGTTAGCATATAAACTAATAATTCTGATTCTTATTCGATAGTTGCCTAATCGCGGACCGCTTGCACTAGAAATTCGATATTTATTAGATGCTTACGTAACATTTCGGAGCACGATTTGCAATTTACAAGTTATTCTCGATTTGATTTGAAAGTTTTATAGGCTTTATAGGTTTATGCAACACGCAGGATATATATGTAGAGCTATCCGCTCAGCAAGACAGAGGTGTAGTGAGAAGAATTTTGGGCTTAACCTGAAACTTGCAGCTTAGAAAAAGAAGTTTGAAATCCATTAAAAAATTAACCACAATTATGTTTCACATTTATTTTATATTTCAATTGTTTTCCTCTTTATTTTACATCGTTATTAAATTAAGAAGTACCAGTAAAAAATCTGTTTTAGCACAAAAAACGCAGAGAAAAAATGTTTTGCTGATTTGATTTTGAAATCTTAAGAATTTAAGAAATTTTTAAATTTATATTTTTTCATATTGATTTTACATAATAAGTTCTCCATTACAAAGTAGACACAAAAAACTGATGTCAAATTTTTAGGGATTTATTTGTGTGTGTTTTTTGTTGTTTAGTTCCTAAACTTAAATACAAAATGATTTAATTTAGACGTATGTGTATATTTTATATAAAAAATTACATAAATATTTAGTTGACAAAAGTTGTTTGTTGATTTATTATTGTTTATCTTTTGTGTTGAGCTGAAAATTAAATTCGTGTTCTATAGCTAAAACGTAGAAGATATACATATAATTTAAGGATTATCCGATAAAAGATATATTTACAAAGCTAAAGATAAAGATAAAGATAAAGATAAAGATGTGCCGTCGAATAAAGCAAATTGTTGTTTTTAAAATTGATTTGCTTTATAGGGAGAGCTTGAAAGGTTACGATAAAAACTATAAACAAAATGAGCGTGAGGCTTAGAAGTTAGAGAAAGAAAGAAAGAAAGTTCTAGCTAATGGTTCGAAGTTATATCAAAGTTATATATCTCTTAAATAGGAATGCGGGCTGAAGATACAGATACAGATACAGATACAGATACGAATACAGAAACAAGCATTCAGCATATAGAATTTTATATATAGGATTATATAGGTGAGCATATCATTTAGTTTAGCCTAAGCATAATCAAGAGAGAGAGATAGTAGGGGGTGTGTTATAGAGAGGGGTCACAGGTTAGACTAGTGAAACGGGTATTAATCAACAGAAAGGTAATTTAAACTCCCATTCACTTTCTTTCATAACTAGTTGCTAGTTCAGTTTTTGTTTTAATTACTTCTTGTATATAGTTTTTAGTTTTTAGTTTTAGTTTTTAGTTTCGTTTAGGTATATCAAAAAAATATTGCAGATTGTCTTAGAGTTCCAGCCGCTTTATACAAAGTAAATGAAGAGAAGTTCAACTTTTTGTAAGAGTTCCTTTTCTTGGCTCTTTTTCCTAACCGATTTTATATTTTGTTTTGTTTCTTTGCTAAGTGTATGTTTGTTGGCCTTTGACTTGGTATTTAGTTATTAGTAATTTTTAAAATTGTTTTTTATGTTCAAAAATTTGTGTATTTTGTTTGTAGAAACCATGAGTTTTGTTTGTCAGAGTTTTCCTTATTTCTTTTCTTGCTCATCGCTTTTCCTATTCTTTTTTTTTTCTATATATTTTCAAGATTTGTGGAATGTGGTTGTTGTCGATCTAGGGAAATCAAGTTAACATTTATGGGTATTTGGGCAAGAAGGGCTTGAGCCAAAAGCAAGTTTTTTGATTGTTTCACTGGTGTTTGGGTTTTATTTTAATATTTTTACTGCTCCTAAACAAATATCTCTGGCTTGCTCTCTACTTGTTTTTTTTGTTTTTTACACACACATTTACAATATACACTATTACATACAGACACACACATAGTTGGTTATCGGTTAGAGCTAAAGATTATGTTGCTGATCTAGTGATAATTTTGGTTCTGCTAAAGTTGCTTCGCTTTCGGTTTTGGCCCCTAGGATTAACATGTAACGTTCGATTACAAACGAAATGGCTTAGACACAGAATTTACAAAAAGAACTGTTTTTCACGCAGATATCTGACTTATAATTTCTCTCATTTTCTTTGCTTTTCATCATTTTTCAGGTTCAGAATGATCTGGTAGGCATTTTACAGGAGCAGTTCCTCATCCGTATGCGGCTCGTTTCCGGTTTCCGCAAAGAGGCAGCACTCATCTGAACCGGATGAAGCGGCCTCCTGCTCCTCGTAGTCGAGATCGAGATGATGAGCCTGCTGCGGCGATTGCGGAGCCTGCTGGTGGTGCGGCGGCTGCTGAGGGTGGCTCAGATCATGCAGCCAGTCCAGGGTCTTGTCGATGGCGCGCAACCGCTTTTCCAGCGAGGTGGTGGCCAAGATATCAACCTGGTAAGGAAAATTGTATTATTGGAAAACTTCCCAAAGTTATGAAAATCTAATCCAACTCACCTTTAGCTGCTGGGAGAGAGGCAGCAGGGCTATCACCCACCACGCCCACGCCGGTCCATCGCTGATCAGCTCCCAATTTGGCTCCAATGGCGGCATTTGGCCATAGCTCTGCAGGATCTCGTGTTTCTGTTCCGTACTCAGACTCTCGAACCAGCCACTGGCCTTGGCCAAGACCACACCCTGCATGCCAGCCAGGATCTTCACCTGCTCATCGGCAATGGGTTCGTCGCAGATATACTCCACCTTGGCCGTCTCATAGCCATCCTTCTCGTTGCGTGCCAGGATCTTGAAGCGTTTACAGCCAATGGTACTCAGGATGGAGCAGCCATCGCCCAGCTGAACGCAGTCCCGGATGTCCAGAATGGTGCCCACATCATAGTAGCGCGACTTGCCGCCATTTGGCTGAACAATGCCGAAGGTCTTGTCTCCGGATTCAACGGCCCGTCTCACCATCAGACGATAACGTGGTTCACACACGAACAGCGGACATGGAACTGCTGGAAAGGCTGCCGTACAAATGAACACCGGCACCGAGGGCTCCTGGTCGATCTCCTGACGGAAACGTGCCTCGTAGTGGTCTGGAATGAATCGTTTCATTGCGGCTTCTAGGAACTTTGTCACTGGCCGCTTGGCCAGCGCAAAAGGAACTGGCGAGGATGAGCCCGGATGCAGGTGGATCTGATTCTGATTCGGATTCGTATTCTGATTCTGACTGGCACTGGCACTGGCATTGACATTGAACTCCACAAGTGGTGACATGCACAATGGACACGGGGAGTTGTAATCCATGCAACGATCCAAGCATACCAGGCAGTACGTGTGTCCACATGGTGTCACCACCGGCTTCCACAGAGTCCGGCTGCAAACGACGCAGTCAAAATCACTGGCATCGATCAGTTGCCCGGGCACCGAGCTCACCGCCAGCGATGGAGCCGATCCTTCCAGCTCTGAAGGGTAAAAATTGGTTATTAGTTAGGTTAAAGTTCATTTTCTTTTCTAATTAACTTACTTCTTAATCGCTGCAGTTCCTGCTGCGTCCGCTCCAAAACACTGGCGAATAATCGACTGCATCGCCGACTTTCCCCAGTCGCCTCGGAAAGATTCACATCCTCCTCCTCAATGACCTTGCCACTTAGAGGTTCCATGGCCGCTGACCATTTCCGTTTGCCGGGCTTCCGATTGGCATGACGACGTGGCTGCAGATCAAACTGCTTCTGCTCGAAGACATGCCGCTGATGACGATGGTGATCCATAAAGTCCAAAGCACTGGGGAACAAGAAATCCCCATCCAGATGCAGGGATCCAGGCTCCCCGCCGTCCACCTCTACTTCCACTTCCTCCTCCTCCATATCATCGCCGGCCATTATGTAGTTATCATAATGACCAAACTCATCTTCCACATCGTCCAGACGGACATGGTGATGGTGGTGATGATGGGGATGGTGGTGGTGTTGCTGTTTCCTTCGTCTCCGCCAAAGTTGTAGATACGGCGCCCTGGAGGTGGCAAAAGGCCGATGCTGCTGCTGAAAAACAGGTGGCGCTGTGGTGCTGATCGATGATCGATTTTTAGGCATTTGGACCAGGAGACGTTGGAGAATCTGTGGGTGGGGAAAGGGGGATGTTAGTTTATATTTCCTTGCTTTAAAATTTATAGATAATATTTTAAAATAATGTATAGGTTAAAAAATTATAATGTTTACCTTGGCGAGATCATGTTGAAATATTTCCGAGTTGCTGAGATTTGTTTTCTTATCAAGGCAAATGGCCAAAAAGCCGTTGTACAAAGCCTCCTCCAAACGGCCAAGACCGCTCAAAGCCAAGGCTCTCAGATAGTGGGCCTGAAAAATGAATAAGTTATTTTATTGTTTAATAATATTTACTTTACAAACTCACCTTGGGTGAAGTGCAACGCGTTCTCAAGGCACTCTCAATGTCCGCCAGGGAACTTTGATAATGGCTCAGTTTTAGAAGAACTTCGGCACGCAGGCAGAGACTCTTGAAATTTGCTGGCGCTGAAAAATATTAAAATTATAAGAATATTAATTAAGTTTAACTGCTACAAATTAGCATTGTAAATAAAGTATATTTCCTCATAAATGTCATAATTTCAACGAAATAAAATGTCAAAATCTGCCAACATGGAAACTTTACGGCGTGCGGCCAAGGCAATTACGTCTGCCAATATGCAAAATGTAACGATATAGACGTGTAAACAAAGTCTAGATATATATATGTTGTGGGATTGGGCAAATGTTCAACACGCGCGACTATTCGTCAATTAGACTTTTCATCTTTTCGCGGTTCTTTTTCACAATTTTTCCGTCAAAAAGGGAAATGGATATTCATTTTGACAGCTGCTAACAGCGGCGCCATTTAGCATTTACATTAATTGGGTTAATTATTTAAGAGATTAGTCATAGAATAACTAATATTTTTCACTGATTTACCAGTAATATTTATTATAAATAATTTACTGCCTAAAAACGCGAGCTTCGGCCATCGGCAAATGCTATGCGAAAGTGAAATCAAGGTAAGCGAAACACCTAGAATAGATAGTCATTGCAGTGCCTAGGTCATGCATTTTCCAACCCCGCCCCTTGACGCCAACCACCCACCGCCCCTCAACCATCACGTTTTATCACCCCTCGCTACGTCACGTAGGCCACTTGTAGACAATGTTGCCAGGCTTCCCCCAGCAACATGTCATATTGCAACATCCTAAGAGCAACAGCTAAGAGTATTAACAGTCGTGATTTCTGTTAAGATTTCCCCTTTCGCTGTTAGTTTCGTATACCTCTCTTACCGAAATTTACTCTTGCGCTGCTTAATTTAAAAGAGTTTGAAAATGTTAAAAAGACGCGCGCAACTGCTGTTAAACGACAGAAAACGCGATTATGTAGCATAACATTACGCAACATAAAAAGGCGCAACAACAAAACGACAGTAGCCGTACCTCAAGCAACAACAACAACAACAGTAGCTATATAATATTAGGTACGCGACCCTATAACAGTTTTTGTTGTAATTGCAATTGTTATACAAATTGGTGAAAAATGATTACATTGTAGAGTGGAAAAAGCTGCTCATCGTGATCCCTTCACTCCGCCAATTTTCCTTTACTTTTTTGCCATATTTGTCGCAACATTTGATTGCTGTTAATATTGGGTAATTTTATTATGTAAAATGTTTTTTTTTTAATAATTTTTATAGGCCTTTATATGGGAATTTACTTTCAAATTATGCATTTTTTTATGATTTAGATAATAGTTTTGAGCTTTTAAAGTATTATTAACACTATTTTATCACCCTTTTTATCAGATTAAGACTTGTTCTGTTAATTTTATAAATTTCCCTGACTCAAATTTCCCTAATTCCCACTTCTAGTAATACAACTAAATCAAAATATAGTTTATTATGTAAAATGTTGTTCCCTTCGTCATGCCTACTTTGTTTTTTTCTTTGGTTGTCAAATAAATTCCAAAAATATAAATAAATTGCCAGTGATAGTGGTGGGGGTCTTGTTTGCCAGATAACGCTCAGGGGATTGGATTTGCGGCTGGCTAACCGTTATGTGAATGAAGGTGCCGAAAAGGCAAAAACAATAATAATAACCACACTTTGCTGCGCCCTGTCAGATAACGGTAGAATGTTATTTAACTGTTAATTCTCTAAACGCTTTTTGAACGGTCTTTGTTCGTGAGATAAGACAGTTTACTTTATATAGAATTATACTTTGACAGATTACCGATATCTTAAAGGGAGAAGGGAAGTGGAGAAAGGCAAAGTTGTGGAAAGAATGTAAGTTTAAGGGATTGGTAAGATTTTTTAGACTTATTAGATTATATCTCTGTTTTTCAGCTTCATAAAAGTCATAAAAATAGCTTAACCCATCTGCTTCCAATATGTTTTTCCCACTTTAAAAGTGATTTTCCTGCTTATTATGCAACAATATCATTCGATCTCCAGTCGCCCCCTCTCACCCACTTAGCCATCAAAGTCCAGAGCCATAACTATATGTATTATGCATACTAATTATATTTATTTCTACATTATATCACCCTGAAGGCGACCACGTTCTCGGTGACCAGCTACTTCCCGTTCGATCTGTGACTATATTGGTGTTTGTGTGTGCGTATCCATCAGATACTTTTACTTACAACCGCAAGTCTACATATATATATCCATACTAATATATATATAAACACAAATTCAATTAAAATGCAAAGCCAAACGCTGACGGCCTGCTGTCGCTGGCAGTTTTTGTTTTGTTTTTGCTTTTGCTTTTGCCACTGCTACCAATTTGCACTTATTAGAGAATTTTACGCTCTACGACGTACGCCTCTGCCGCGCCCCCCTTTTGCTGCCAGCGCCCCTCTTCTACCCCTTCCGAAGATATAGCAAAACATCTTCCACGCGGGGCCAAGTTTCCGTTACGCTGCAGACAATTTAAGCTCAACTGTTGATAAATTGCATTTGGCTTCAGATATGACTATGCTCATATGTGTGCAATTTATATATATTTTTTAGGTTTTAATACACTTAGAGAAAGTGATGGTGAATTGGGAGATGATAGAGAAAGTCATTTGGTGAAGTTTTAAGCTGTTTAAATGGGAATAACTATGGGTAAGTTGGAAAAACTCAAGAAAGTCGCAGCTCTACATTCTAAAGAGAAAACCTTTCTTACTTACTAAATCCCTGACAAGTATTTTTTTTTGAGAAGAATATTCATCTAACTATAACCCCAACATCTAATATTTTTCTTCCCCTGTATCTATATCTTTTTCGTGTGCCATCGTGTGTCGTTTTTGGCGTGTGAGTACCAGTACGAGTACGAGTACATTGAAAATCAGATTTCGTCACGTACATTAAAAATCGTTTGCAAAATTCCCACACAACACTACAGAAACCAAATCAAAATCAAACCGAAAAAAAAAACCTGCAATGAAGCGAATTTTCCTTGGCGGTTGACAGACAGCATTGGCATGGATTGCATAATAATGAAATCAAAAATCTTAGAATTCTGATTTCCGCATAAAAGCAATCTAACATCTGAGTGATACAAAGACAAAAGGCATTTTTCTCAAACAAAACTATTTAATCGGTGAATCATTTGATTTATTTATTTTTAAATGCCAGCCTACAATGTTGCAAACAAAGAATGTGCATGTCCCACCTCCTCCCGTACCGCTCCGTCTAATTTTTCAATTCAATAGTGCTTAAAAGTCGTTAAACAATTTGCTAAAAATAAATACGTTGCGTATACGCCGCATGGTCCGAGCTTTGATTGTGAGACACGACGACCGACAGAACGCACATATACTGGATTATATTATGTAAGAAGAGTGGGGGAAGGGAAAGGGGCACAAGGCTGAAGGGGTGGCGAAAAACTGACCTAAATACTAAATGAATGCCCATAAAAACTGCGCCAAGTGAAACGGGAAACGAGCGGCCATAAACGAGCGGCAAAAAGATGGCAAACTTTATGCGACACCCCCCAACCCTCCCTCAGTTTTTCCAGCTCCAAGTTCCCCCCCCCCATAACGTTCTCATTGCCGAAAGCAAACCAAAACCCGTAGGGAAATTGACCGTTTTTTGATGTCTACGATGACGGGGGGCTAACTGGAGCGGAGCAAATAAATGCAAAGAGACTAGACCAGGACCAAGACTCCCGCCGCTTGGCTAACACTCTATTCGCTGGCATAAAATATGGCCATTATGCAGATGAACCTAATTGTGTGGAGTTAAGTTTATGACCCTCGTAAAGTTCCTGCTCTCGATGTAAAAGCCAAATAAATATATGAGAATTTCGGTTAAATGTCAGCAGTTAAATGGAAGGAGAAAATTATGTTTAATTTAACACAAAATTAAAGGAAATATGCGTAGTTAAAGACAAATATTTCCTTCCTCTCAGCATGGATTTGTCTTAAACATTTTCTAGGAAATTGTTCTGTGAGGTGATTTCCTTGTTTGATTTCTAGTTTTGACCTCTTTGTCAATCGACAACCAAGTTAATCTACCTCAATTCATCTTGACCAATTAATTTCTATGAAAATCCTCAACTGATTTCCTTGTTAAACTCAAATTTGTCGAGATTTGTGAATTTCTAGACAGATTTATGGGAACGAGAATCGTCTACCATTTCCCTGCTTAATTTGCCTTTATAATTGTCTTCATGAATGAACGCTCACTTGGCCACTCTCTTGATGCTGTTGACGGAAATGTGAAATGTGAAATGCATGAAAATAATATGAAAAACCAAATAATAATTATTCACTTTCAGGAAGTGCAGGCTGAGGCCGAGGCCGAGGCAGTGGCAGTTTCATTGTTTTTACTATTTAGCATTTCTGCCGCCTTCGGCAATTCGGCGTTAAATCTGCGACACAAAATTCTGAAATTCTATAAAATTTCTGTTTTATTTTTTGATGATACATTTTTACGAGGCCATCAGACAGGCAATTGTTGTGTAAATTATTCAAATATGCGGGTGCTGCATATGTTTTTTTATATTTTTCTTGATATTTTTGTTATTTTATGGAAAACCATAAGTTGAGTTTGGCTCTCAATTTTGGAGTTGGTTCGGGGTGTGCCTTATTTTTTATTGATATAAAACCCTTACTTAAGGCAACGTTTGAAAAAGAGTTTAACAACTTCTTAATTCATTTAAAAATCTAAATGTAATTAAACGTCCTTTAACAAGTTTTCCCCCACTCATTGCGTCATGTGGGCGTTATCAGCTTGCAGCTTGCTAAATGTCAAACGCCGCCCCCTGAAAAACCTCCAAAAATTTGCTGGAATTTTGTACGCAGTTTGTTTTTCAGTTCTTGTTCTATTTTCCTTTTCTTTTTTTTTCTGGTGAAAACCAACCAACTGTAAAGATTTTTGTGGCTGCTGCTGGGCGGGTTACATCTGGGAAATATCTCGCTATGCGTTGTCGCATAAATTTTCGGCGCTGGAAAACAAGACGCAAAAAACAAATCTCCCCAAAAAAAAAAGGAAAAAAAATGACAAGTAC